ACCTAGGAATTTTAAACATTTTTCAGTCCTGACATTTCATTTGCATTTTAATTAATTGTTTTTCCAAATGGTCGTAGTTTAATCTGCCTGCTATTGCTAGCAGATAAATTCTCTATAGAAACAGCTGTATCTTAGTAACATGCCAAGAATAGACTGAAGAGGTGTGTCATGGAATGCATCAGTGCACACAATAATTTTAAATCTAACTCTTTATCAACATGGTAAGTAGTGCTACCAAATTGGTTTCTCATTGATGAGGTAAGGGGGCCTGCAGGTGGTCAGAGGCACATCTTTCTTTGGTCCTGCCTCTGTTATTTCCTTTTTTTGCTTTTCTTTCTAATTTTTCACATGCTGGAGAGCAAGTTTGGCTATCTGTACAACCCATTGTGAATGCTGATGCTCTGTTCTATGGTTCTTGCTTGCCATTCAGTTGATTGGCAGGCTGCTAGGGAGTACTCTCCATACCTAGGAAGTTCCCCTGGGCAATAGCAGAGCTTCCCAAGCCTGCTAATAGAGCAGATCAATGACTTGCAAGGGAGCATAGGGGATAGTTTGCAAAGTGATCTAGGCGGATCATTGGGATAAAGAGAAAGCAGCAGTGCTTCCTCATCCTGTACACTCAACAGTGTACATCATCCTTCCACCCCACCCCCCCGGTGACTGGTAAAGCATGCATTAAGAAGAGGAAGTATTTGTGTGATGTGTGAAACAATATATTATGAAATTATTCTAATTCTGAGTGTTTCAGGACTTGCTTAAAGTGAAAAATCTGTAGCATTTTAAAAGTTTCATTCTAAAATATTGATGATGTATCTAAACTGTAGTATTAATAAGTTTGGGTTCAATTAAGTGAAGATTTTATTTCTTCATAAAAGTCTCTGACATCTTTATTTATTTCACATTTCGAAAAAGCAGAGGCTTCAGTTGGTCAGTGAAAATTCGGTTTTCGGAATCTAGGGCCATATGCTTTCTGATTGTTACATACTAATTATTGGAAACCAACTCTTGCTGTTAATTTTCTGAATTGGGCAATTTTGGAATATATATATCTACATAGTAGCTTAGGTTGGAAAGATAATATTAAGAGTCAAAATACACAGAACTTTAGTATCTCTGGAAACAATTGTATTAGTTAGAAAATTATGAAATGGAATGTCTAACTGAAGATTTGATCCCAACCTTTAAAATTAAGAAAAAGATGACAATATGGAAAAATGGGATGAAATAGAGATGTTGGCTACTTATTTATTTATTTGTATCCTGGCTTTATTATTTTAAAAAAAAAATAACTCATGCACCTTCCTCTTTATATTTTCCCCAAATAACAACCCTGTGAGGTGAATTGCGCTGAGAGAGAGAGAGAGAGGTCACCATTCATGGCTAAAATGGGATTAGAACTCATGGTCTCTAGCCTCTAGCCTGGTGCCTTTTTGTAGTTGACTATGGATCAATTGATAGATGATGGAGATGAAATTGTAATGTGTTGTGTTAAGAGACAAATATAATCTGTCATATGTAGCCCAATTGCTGTTTATAGCTACATTATTTGTTAACCACTGTATCTGAACCAACAGAATTTTCAGTTTTGGATACACTTGAGATCCCAGAACATTTTGTTATAATCTTTAAAATTAAGAAACCAATTATGTTTATATATATTTGTTATCAGTAAATCAATTTTATAATACTAAGAAATGAGTGTAATAAAGAATTAGATATTCCTATATTGCCTAGAAAATGGGACAATGTCTTAACTTCTTTACCAAGCATGCCAATGGATCTTAAACTACAACTTATACAACAAAACATAATATTTAGAATTTATTGGACTCCATTTCATTGGAATAGAAAATATGCATCTAAGGCAGCATTTTGTTAGAAATATAATAAGGATAATGCTTCTTTAAAACACATGCTTTTACAGTGTCCTATACTTACTATATTTTGGGAGAAAGTAATGGATTATATAAATATAACTGAAAAATTAAAATTTTCAGACGATAATGTTTTTTTAAATTACATACCTATTACATGGAAATTGTTAACAGGACAACTGAATGACATAAATGAATTCACTGTGCCCTTATTATGGCCAAAAAAAATGATATTGCAGCATTAGAAAGATAAATTACAGCCCTGTTGCCCATAGATGTCTATAGTACAGACAAGTATAATGAAATAAAGAACTCATTTATAAAAAATATACAAATTTTGTCTTTTTCTTTCATATCTTTATTTAATTTGCAGTTCCTGCATTCTTCTCTGGTTTTTGTTGTTGCATAAGTACTTTTGATTATTCAGTGGAAAACAGGTAAAAAGGGAAAGGATGTAGAAAAAAATCAATGGAAACAGGGAGATGGAAATGTAATCAATGGTGTACTGTTATGATGAGCATTATGTAATGCTATAATTATAAAGACTTCAGAAATACCATTTTATATAGCATTTTCTGGTGTATTTTATACTTTTTCAAGCTATTACTAGCATATAATGAGCTCTACTTGTGATATTATGCCTCAGGTTTGCTTACAACAGACATGCTTACAACAGGCACATTATGCTGACTGCAAAACAGCACTGGCACTTTATAAACAGTGGAAAATTCTGCTTCCACAAAACTAGCTTCTTTTTTCTTCTCTGTTGCTTCAATGCCAGCTTGAATATGTGTTTTTCTTCTCTTTGAGTGTTCATTAGCCTGATGGTCTGCCACACTCCCTGTTTCTTGTTGTACTCATCCAGTCCAGTCTGTGGAGAAAGCATTTAAAAAGAAGAAATACAAAGAAATACAAACTACAGGATTCTACCACATGTTTGTAATAGAAAATACCATAAATATCTTCTTTTATTAATGAAAAAGATACAGCTGCTTATGCTTTCATTAAATGCTGGAAGCTCTAGGAAGTGATTGTCAGATAAATAATGCATTTGAAATGCTCATATGGTGCCTTGGGCATGGTTCACACCAGTGATGGTGTCCTTTCAGTACTAGTGACTGAAAGGACAAAGAGCCAGGGATAATAAATACACATTAACTGTTTGACTTGTTAAAAATTCCTTAATTTTCTTATAATTATTTTTAAAGCTTTTTAAAACTATCAAAACTTTCTTATCTCATTTTCCAGACCCTTCATCTTTTCTCATTATTAGTAATGGGTTTATAGTATGACATTTCATACATTAGATGCCACCTACTCAAAAGGGTTCAAATTTGAATCTTTATTTTCATTATAAAAGTTGCTGGAATCATGACTGCTAGGCATAGCTTTGTATCTGGTTTTGGGCAAGCTTATCCAAAATTCTGGGGCCCTTGGTGCTCTCTGAGCACCATTGTTTTCTTGCAGATGTTTGTGTCATCATCATGTTTGTGGTAATGATGATATCTAGATTGGTAATAAAATGTCTGCAAGAAAACAGTCAAGCTCAAGGAGCACCAAGGACCCCACAGTTCAATCCCCATTTACAAATATTTTCTTCTATCGGTTATCCCAAATCCTCCCAAATGATGGGGTCAATTATATTTTTCTACAGGTAAAAAAAATTCTGGAAATAAGGATGTAAGGATTATATGTAATATTAAATGGAGAACAGACAATAAAGATTCCAAAAATATTTGTACGTAGATTCTAAAAGAAAAAGTGGTAAACTAGTAACATACAGTAAGTCAAATGCTTGATTATAGAACAGGCCTGTCAAACTGGCGGCCCGCAGGCTGGATACCCATAATGCAATCGGGTTTGACACCCATGTTATAGAACAACTAGGCAGGAATGCACTAATCACAAGTTCTGGGCATGTGCAGGAACCAACAGTGGTATACAGCTAGTAAGGAACCAAGGAAACATTACAGTTGAATAATGGTCACTTACAGGTGTAGTTATAAAATGAGTGTGCCAAGTTGATTGCATTACAAAAGCTGGAATAGGATTTTAAGACAGAATTCTCTTTTAAAAAAATTCGTCTCCATAGAGCTTTTCCATGGTACACGTTTCATGTCCATTTGCCTGGGGTCAAAGGATTGATAAGCCAATTAAATAACTCATTATATGCAACCCCTTGCTCCCCGCTGGATAAGTACATTTTTTCACAAGCAGATTTGGAAATCAGTGAGCTTCAGAAACCATGTACTGTAGGCAGCTGTCTAAAGCACTTAGCAACAGAAAAGTGTGTGGGTTGCAATGACAGCCATATATAAAAGGCAAGTCAGTACCATTAAGAAAACTACATGGAAAATAATCACTTTCAATTGTTAATTTAAAGTTGTGAAAAAACAGCTTTTTTCTTTTGTTGTTATCATCTTTACTGCTATGAAGGAAAGTTTAGTAATGAAAGGTCACATAGATTTATTCGCAGCAGTTAAAGTAATATACTTCCCTTTGTTTGTAATTCAGTAGAACATTCTGATTTAATACTGAGCTACCTGGTTTTACCAGTAACTGTCTCAAAAAAGAATAAAACACAAGGATAAAGCTGCTTCTTGAATCATTAGCAGGGACAGCCTTACCAATAAGGAGAGGAGATAGCTGCCTTAGGAAATACGGGGTCATATTATGACAGCAGAAGTAAAGAGCTGTTAATGAGAAGTTTTGTCCAAAATGAGTTGTTTCATTTTGGATGCAGTGCACTTCAACATAGGTGCATCCATTCCTTCCTTGGTTCAGATACAAAATTTCTTCAGCCAGAATTTTGATTCTATAATCCTCAAGCATTGTTAAAACGATAGAGCTTTAGAACACATAGAACTGAGACATGTGAGTAATAGCTTCAGTGGTGAATAAATATATTTTATGTGAGTATTTCAGAAATAAGAAAAAAACTCCTTGTCAGAAGGGTGGCTTCCAGATTACTTTATATAGCACAAACCTAGTAATTGTTCACTGGTTCGCCACTGAATATTTATGTTGGCAATAATGTCCAGGCACTGGAATCTTGAATAAAGTATTTTGCCATAAGAAATAAATATTAGAAAGGAATGTCACAGGCAGCCACTATCTCAGAATTGGGTAATGCAGGACTAGTACCTTTAATCAGTAGGTTAAACAGCAATAACAAAAATATTATTCTCCATTTTGCTGCAGAAATGGAAACAAAACAACAATAACAATCCATTAAAAATTGAGAATGCATTTCCTTAGAATGATCAGGCAAGAAATCAATTTTCTTCCATTGGTAAAATAGAACAAATGGCAATCATTCTTTATTTCTGTGATGTCATTGGCTAAAGGCTTTTGCAGCTCTCAAGCAGTTTTTTTTTCTAGGTTCTGTGCATTCTTGGTCTTACTAGAGGCACATACATCAAGCCTATATTATTTTCCTGGCACAGATCGTTCTCTACATTTTTTACCCATCAATCAAATTCTATTCTTCACTGGAGGCAAGCTTTCTTTACTTTTGATCCTGTTGCCATGTTTTATAATGCTGAAAAAGTGCTTGATGTTGAAGATACTTCAAAATTTCTGAGAAATCTCAGTACAGTGTCACACCTGGTGAACTAAATGACATATACAAGATGGCTGGTATCCTTCAAAGTATTATCTTTGAAGAACTATTAAGAAATTTTTATTTATATCCATACAGGCAATATTTGCACATTGCTATACAGGTAGTCCTCGACTTGGGACAATACTTGAGCCCAACATTTATGTTGTTGAGTGAGACATTTGTTAAGTGAGTTTTGCCCCATTTTATGACCTTTCCTGCCACAGTTGTTAGTGAATCACTGCAGCTGTTAAGTTAGTAACACAGTTGTTAAGTGAATCTGGCTTCCCCAATGACTTTGCTTGTCAGGTTACAAAAGGTGATCCCAGGACACTGCAATCATATGACTCAGTTGCAAAGCATCTGGATTTTGATCATGTGACCACGGGGAAGCTGCAATGGCTGTATGTGAGAAAAATGGTCATAAGTCAATTTTTTCAGTGCTGTTGTAACATCAGTCACTAAATGAACTATTGTAAATCGAGGACTATTTGTATTACAATGTAAACATATTTGTCTAGAGGTATACTGCTTATTTAGATTCTGTGGTATTTATCAAAGATACATCCCAGATGAACAGAATGTTAAACTACAGTGAAATAAAATATTATATCTGGAAAACAAATTGGATGGCAGTATGTTTCAGAACAGCATTTGGATAAGATATAAACTTCTTCATACTACTAGTTCTTTGCCCACCTCCTGGCCAATGGTTTACCAGATTAATACCATTTTTAAAAAGTTCATCTACAAAGGGACAGATAAGTGTTAGTTGTTAGGTTTGCATAGAAGCAGTTGAGGTAGATAGGATGAACATACCTTTTTTTCTGTTTTATCTGAATATTTTTTTCTAGAATCAGATTGTGCTATTAAAATAGGAGGCAAAAGTATGGATTTCAGAATTTTGCCTTCACTTCTGTCATATTGGAGGAGGCTCATTACAGCCTGATACAGCTCATTCCTCCTTACCTAGGTTTTTTCTACAGCCCAATATGTCATGTTCCCCAGGCAATAAGCTGCCTGCTGCCAAAAAAGCTTGTGAGCATTCCTGTGGAAAGCTGCCCGCACTTTCATCTACCTTTGTTAAGGAGCTTCTGAGTTCCTTTGTACTTGTGCCTTTCAGAGAATTATACAGCTTTAATATGCATACTACATTATATCCGTGGGTTTAAAAATGAAGAAATAAGAAATGAATAATCATGATAGAAAAGCAAAACACCAGCTTTATTATTAATACTAATTTTGGTTCTGTGTATCATGAAACAATTAAAAAGTAGATAAGCACATTTATATTCTTTAGATGCTAAGATGGGCCTTCCTACCCATTATCTCGATATCCCACCAGCCATCTATTGTTCTTGACACTTGGCTGGAACAAAAAAGAAAAGGGATTGGTATCAAGTGGTAGTTGTCATATATCTGGCAGTTCATAATACATGGCTAATGCCCTCCGCTTTGCCATTCATGAGTTGCACAGATATGTTTTAGAGAATCATGGTTTTCTTTCTCCAGTAACAATCGACTATGTGACTCCTGTTTTTCTTTCCTTCCTGTAGTCATCTAAACTGCTTGGGAACGATATATTGTTGGCCCTTTCATGCTACTCAGTTTATCTCCAGCAAATTTTGCAGCTGCAGGAAATAACAAGATGACTATTGGAAAATAATAACTTAGAAAAACAATACAGCATTATTCAATATGTTAGAAAAACAGTTAATATAAATGTATTTTTATTTTGGTATCTTCATCTGGAGATGGTAAATTAAAATGATTTACAGTTGTTCGGTTATTACTTTTAAGGATTGAAGCTGATGAAATGGGAATTAGCATTGCTAAGGCCAGCCAGGACCATTATGTACTCATGAAACAAATACCTCCAACTGTGCAGACTGGAAAAAAAAATAGCCAACAATCTATTGACTTGAATCCTAGGAAATGTTTGAGATTAAACCATGGGTCAGGGCAGTATTTGTCGTTCAGAATTATGATAGCAGCAAGAACTTGCAAATACTGCTGATGAATGTAAAACCAAACTTTTATAGAAATGATATTTATTGCTGTGTCTGATGCTAAGTCTATGCTATAACTATACTATGTAAAAAAGAGAAAATAAAAAATATTCAAGGGGATTATATATTTAACTAGTAATCTTTTGTGCCTGATCTGGTAAGCAATGTTAACCTTCAGCCATTACTGAAGACTGAGTGTTCTGATTAAAAAAACCTAGTCCATTACATGTCTTTCAGTAAATTCATTCTTCTTAAATGAACAATTTTTTATCAACATAAATTTTTTTAGGAGTTTCATTTTAAGACAGCACTTTATGAGTGTATTCCCAAATGTTAAGCATTTTGTTTATTTTAATGAAAATGGATATGCAAACAAATATGTATCATTTCCTTACTTGTAGATTAATTCAAGTTATATTCCAAGCAGCAGGATATACAGTAATTGCTTGGATATAATTTTAGAAGAAATTACATGTGTTCTACATGTAGGCTATTTCAACATTGATTGGACTCACACATTGCATTAAGTCCTAATATAATTTCTTTGCTAGGGGTTAATTATTTCTTTATTAAAATTACCAGTATGTTTGCTTTCACTTCAAGAGCATAAAGTGGCAAAGATAGGGCTCTCTTTACCAATTTTATTTAATATTAATGCTGTGAGATGTGTTGAACTGAAGTAGGTGATTGGCCCAAAGTCCTCCGAGTGAGATTCTCTGAGGGAATTTGGATTATTTCTAGTCTAATCCTAAGCCGCTACACTAAAAAACCTCCCTTTTTATAACCCTATACTATCTGGCTTAATATATTGTATAAACCCAAAAAGTGCAGTTTGTAAGTCATAGTTGACCGCTTAACATAGTATATGTCAGTTAAACAGACCATGTAATGATTTATTGCAGTGTGTGAACCTAATTTAATAAAAAATTAATGTCTGCATAACAATAAAATAAATGTGGATAAATGCTTTTAGGATCTTGAAACAGTGAATGCATTGCATATTTTTTTTAAGAATATAAGAACTATTTAGTCCAGCTGGTACTCGAAACAACATTTATAATTCACTAGAATGAATTTCCAGTTAACTTAAGTTTGAAATGAAGAAATCTGACAGAGAACCAAAACAAAGGAGTCTGTGCCATTTAATGTTTCCCTGAATTTATTGATAGACAAATGTTATCTAAGTTACTTATTTTACTATTTATAGTTAACTATACTTAACTAGTTAACTGTAGTTTACTTTTGTGGAATATATTGATTACCGATAAGCCTCAAATAAAAAATAATAATAAAGGAAATACCTTACTACAGGTTGTTAAAATCTGAAAAATTAAAAAGTAAATGTTGAGTAACAGAATGGCCAAGGAATAAGTTTAACCATAAATATTTCAATTGAAGTACTCTCAACTGCCTTCCTCTCTCTCCATACACATACATACATACATAATACATACTTACATACATGTGTATGTATAGTGTATACATACACTATATACTGTATATTGGCATTGTTGGAAAAAAATCAAAGCTGCTTTATAGTTGTTGCTTTTTGATAGATATCACTCAAAATATACTTCCAACTTTAGATAATTAGACATGTTCTTAGCAAAGTTTTCAGACCTACTTTCTGATTGGATATATAATTCTTCTTGCAGCTTAAAGTATGCCATTTATTGCATTTAGTTCTCTTCAGTGAATATGTGTATCACTGGATAAACTCTGTAGTATAGGATATAGAATAAGTCATTCTAAGATTCAAGTCTTTAACATATGTTATATACAATATAAAATAATATGCTTGTAAATATATATATAACACAATAAATGTATTGTTTATATCATGAGATTCATTTTTTATTTTATCTTTTATCTTTTATTTCCTTTATTTATTTACAACCATTCATATGCTGCCTTTTGTCACAATTTTAGAAGGACTGGTATAATTGGAGATTAAGATTGGGAACTACTGTCATTGTGCATGTATCAAATGACATAATTGTGGGAATCTTAGGAAAAATGTATTGCAGTAACTCATTGCATAGATTTATTCAATTATTTTTCAGCTACTGTGAAGACAAGATGCTTGTTGTTGATTGATCCACTTTTGAAAAAGTCTGTACTGGGTTGGAATATGATCCACTTAGATATATCATATATTCCCCTCTCTGAGTGAGATGTGCGGTTAAGAAATATGAAATATATGAATATGAGAAATATGAAATATTAATAAATAAGTACATATTCATAGAGATAACTAGAAGCTATTGAACTGAAGATTTGAAAATGATATGAAGTTATTAAATATATAGGGAGTAATATTATTTTGAATTGATTTTAATTAAAATTAAATGAAAGAAAATCAGATTTTAGTTTGGGTTCTGTCTTTATATACAGCATAGAATTGCACTGCTGGCATAAAGTGCTAAAGGCAAAAAAGCCTGTGTCTCCTGTATCAGGGTGAAACCTGTATTGTCTGGCTCAAACCCCACCTATTTTCTGGGCTTCCCAGAAATTCTAGCTTTTTCTCTGGCCATGTGCCAATCAAGAGCAGAGATGCCATCCCAGTTTTCTACGCAATTAGTTGCACATATTATTTGCTGCCACTTTCTGTTTTAATGCATGTCAGTCATCCACACTGAACAAAAGAAGAAACTCTTTATATTTTATTTTCAGACTTGTGATTACAGTACTGTATAATGGAAAACCTGATGATTGGTTCTTGCTGTTAACAGTATAGGCAAAATATTAGCCCCCAATGAGCAATTTAAAAGTCAAAAGTACTGTATTATTTTAGACCTGTATTAGACCTGGTTGGGCCAGGAGGGGGGAGTTCCCCTCGTGGATATGTGCCCACAAGGCTTCCATGCATTTCATCAGCCGAGGGCTCAGGGTAGGGGCGGGTGTGTGTGTGTGTGGCGGTTATCATAAAGGAAGGTCTGATCCGAGGGAGACCACTGTTCCACATATAGCCGGATGCGAGTCCCTTTTTATGAAGTGGGGCCGTGGAGTACAGATGGGCTTGTTGATCACGTACCTGGCTCCCTGCCACGTGGTAATGGCCCTGCCCGAGCTGCTCAACGTCATAGCCGAGGTGGCGGTTGATACCCCCAGACTTGTAGTCATGGGGGATTTCAACCTGCCATCCATCGGCGAAACGTCTGAGGTGGCTCGAGAGTTCATGGCTTCCATGACAGCCATGGACCTTAATCAGTTAATTCATGACCCCACTCACATGGGTAGACACACTCTGGACTTAGTTTTTGTCTCTGGTCAGTGGTTGAGTGGCCTTGATACAGGGGATATAGTCATCGAACCCTTGTCATGGTCTGACTACTTGCTCCTTCGACTGGACTTTCTAACCGCTGCACCCCGCCGCAGGGAGGCGGGACCGGGACCGACCAGGTGGTTCCGCCCCAGGCGCCTGATGGATCCTGATAGGTTCCAGATGGAGCTTGGGCCATTCCCTGAGACTCTGGCTCATGACTCGGCTGAAGACCTGGTGGCTGCCTGGGATAGTGTGGCCGCCGGGGCCTTGGACCGCGTCGTGCCTTTGCGGCCTCTGACCCGGCACCGAACTCACCTAGCTCCTTGGTTTTCTGAGGAGCTGAGGGAGATGAAGCGCCGGAAAAGATGCCTAGAGAGCAGTTGGAGGACCAGCCGCTCCGAATCCGACCGAACACTGGTGAGGTCTCATATTAAGACGTACCTAGTGGCGATAAAAGCGGCGAAATCCAGCTATTTTGCCGCTCTTATCGCGTCATCAGATAATCGCCCAGCCGGGTGACCCACTCCCTCCTCCCTCTGGGAGCGCGGGATGACCCCTTGCAGGGTCGAGCTGAGGATTTTGTGCAGTATCTGTATGACAAGATGCTCAGATTCGGGAAGGGCTGGCCTCTGACCGGGTATGTCTGGACGGGATGACTGAGGCAGGTCTTGAGAGCATTATCTGGGAGGAGTTCGATCCTGTGGCTCCCGAGGACATGGACAGGATCCTGGGCCGGCTGAACGCGACCACATGTTTATTGGACCCGTGTCACTCCTGGTTGGTACTGGCTTCCCGGGAGGTTACACGAGGCTGGCTCCATAGGATTGTTAATGCTTCTCTGAGTGAGGGGGTCCTGCCGGCCGCTTTGAAAGAAGCGGTTGTGAGGCCCCTCCTCAAGAAGCCCTCTCTGGATCCGGCTGTTTTGGCTAACTATCGTCCAGTCTCCAACCTTTGCTTTGTTGCGAAGGTTGTTGAGAGTGTGGTAGCGCGTCAGCTTCCCCAGTACCTGGATGAAGCTGTCTATCTAGACCCGCTCCAGTCCGGCTTCCGGCCTGGGTAAGCACGGAAATGGCATTGGTCGCGTTGGTGGATGATCTCTGGAGGGCTCGGGATAGGGGTTGCTCCTCTATCCTGGTCCTGTTAGATCTCTCAGTGGCTTTTGATACCATCGACCATGGTATCATGTTGCACCGGTTGAAGGGGCTGGGGGTGGGGGGCACCGTTCTGTGGTGGTTCTCCTCCTACCTCTCTGACCGGTCGCAATCTGTGTTGACAGGGGGCAGCAGTCAACCCCGAGGCGCCTTGCTTGTGGGGTGCCACAAGGGTCGGTCCTCTCGCCCCTTCTGTTAAACATTTATGTAAAGCCGCTGGGCGAGATCATCCGTGGCTTCGGGGTAGAGTTCCATCAGTACGCTGACGACACCCAGCTGTACATCTCCACCCCAGGCCAGCCCAACGATGCCCTTGAAGTGATGTCCCAGTGCCTGGAGGCTGTGCGGGCCTGGATGGGGAGAAACAGGCTCCGACTCAACCCTTCCAAGACCGAGCGGCTGTGGCTTCCGGTGTCCTGATATAGCCAGCTGGTGCCATCGCTGGCTATTGGGGGCGAATCACTGGCCCCCAAGGAGTGGGCTCACAACTTGGGCATCCTCCTGGATGCACAGCTGTCTTTAGAAGAGCATATGACGGCCGTGGCCAGGGGGCTTTTTATCAGGTTCGCCTGATACACCAGTTGCGTCCCTTTCTAGATCGGGACTCCCTACACATGGTCACTCAGGCACTCGTCACCTCCCGCCTGGACTACTGCAATGCTCTCTACATGGGGCTCCCCCTGGGGTGCACCCGGAGGCTCCAGCTGGTCCAGAATGCAGCCGCGCGGGGGATTATGGGAGTGACGGGGCACTCCCATGTGACATGTCTCCTGCGCAAGCTGCACTGGCTCCCGGTGGTCTTCCGGGTGCGCTTCAAGGTATTGGTGACCACCTTTAAAGCGCTCCATGGCTTAGGGCCGGGGTATTTAAGAGACCGCCTTTTGCCACCACCAATAGCCTCCCACCGGCCAGTACGCTCGCACAGAGAGGGCCTCCTCAGGGTGCCGTCCGCCAAACAGTGTTGGCTGGCGACCCCCAGGGGGAGAGCCTTCTCTGTGCTGGCGCCCGCCCTCTGGAACAACCTCCCCCCAGAGATACGTACAATACCAGACCTCCGGACTTTTCATCAGGCCCTAAAAACTTATTTATTTCACCTAGCCGGGCTGGCTTAACCCCATAGTTTTGGTTAATTTTAAATTGATTTTAATTGGGTTTGTTTTAAATTGCGGCCAAAAATATTTAATTATTTTTAAATTGTTTTTTAATTTTTTTATGTTCTGTTTTATTCTGGCTGTTCACTGCCCTGAGTCCTGTTGGAGAAGGGCGGTATACAAATTAAAACAAACAAACAAACAAATAAATAATTTGTTATAAAAGCAAATTTGCTGCTGTACATAAAACTAGGCAATTAAAAAAAAATCACCTGATGCTTCTATCACAACTTTATTTTGGTAGCACTCTCTATTCTGGAATAACTATACTTACAGATCTTCATTCAAAGTACTTCCTGAAATCAGTTATTTTTTCTCCTATTTTCCCTTTTATCCATCAAATGTCCCAATATAGCCCATTATCTTTCCTCAAAATATTTTCTCCCTCCCTTTTGGGTAAGAAGAAACAATTTTAACCTCTAGGTGGCAGTCAGGCCTATGTACATGCTTCTTTGCTTAAGAATAATATTTGACTCATGGGACATTTGTGTGTGTTATGGAAAAATGAGGGCACACAAAGATGTCATCCTATATGATTTCTTTGATCCTGTGGTTCTCAGGGTTACTGTGCTTTCAGTACAGCGTGGTTCTATTTATCATCATTATTAGGTTTAAAAACATGCTTGGTCTTGTGTGGTCTTCAGCTGCGGACTTCTAGGAAGTTTAGATGAGAGCTATTTCATTTCATTTTCCCATGGCTTTCTCACCTGTTGTCCTACTTATAAAGATTGACCTGTAGGAAATACGTTAAGATCATTTCACAATTTAGAACTTTAGAATCAGTAACAAAGCCAAATACATAGCTCTGGTTTGATCGTATAAGTGGTCCCCAACTTAGAATCATTCATTTAGTGATCGTTCAAAGTTACAGCCGCACTGAAAAAAGCGACTTATGGTCATTTTTCATACTTACTGACTGTTGCAACATTCCTGTGGTCGCATGATCAAAATTTGGACGCTTGGCAACTGGTACAGGGGTTATGTGATCACATTTTGTGACCTTTTGACAAGCAAGGTCAACGGGGAAGCCAGATTCACTTAACAACCTTGCAACTAACTTAATTACTGCAGTGATTCACTTAACAACGGTGGCAAGAAAGATTGCAAAATGGGGTAAAATTCATTTATCAGCCGTCTTGCTTAGCAATGGAAATTTTGGGCTCAATTGTGTTGGTTAAGTGGAGAATGCATTTACATATCAAAGATTTCATCACTAACTTTTAACACTACATTCTGGAGCCGAGTGTTCATTTGGGAGAAAATCTAGAAAAACTCGATGAATAATTTGGTGAGCGAAAAATTACTCCTGTGCCCTTATTAGTGGGGAAGATATCCTGATATATACAGCATTACCCTAAATCCCGTTTATAGAAGCAACTTCTGAAAGAGCAAGCAATTTTTAAACGAAACGCACCGCTTCGCGTTTCTCACAGAGCGGGAATGCAAACATTATTCTGCCACTGGATGGTCATGGACAAAGATTTGGGCGATCTCGCCACTACCGTACTTCGAAATGCCGGGACGCGATGCACCATCACGAAAGCCGAAGGAGCTCCGCGAGCGCCCGGGAGGACAAAGAAAGCGCGGGTGCCCGCCAGCCCCTCCCTTTGCTTCCCCCCCCACCTCACTCGAGATCCTCCTGCCCCCGCCTCCCCTCTGCTCGCGCCGCCTGTTGGCCTGTCTCCTAGCAACCGTCCGCGTGCCGCCGCTTGAGCAGGAAGGCGAGGGAAGCGCCATGGCTGAGCTTCCCAAAAGAAGAGCGCGATCCCCGACTCTGCCTCCCCCGGCCCCCGCCATTTTCTACGGCTCTGTGGATCCAAGAAACCCAGTGGTTCATCGATTCGAGTCCGACCTGAGTGATTGCCTGGGCATCCTCAAGCGGAAACGGGAAGCGGGGGCCGCGAGCTCCAAGGATCAGGAGCTGCACAGGCGAGGGTAAAGCGGAGAGGGACCTTCTGCTGGTTTCCCCACTCTGTCCAAGGCGGCCAAAGCCCCTCGCCTCCCGCTCCTTCCCCAGGGGCCACTCCCTCCTTTCCCGTCCTTCCCTATGTAGCAATTTCTGATTACTGAGTGGATTCAGCTGCATTTAACTCACCTGCATTTGTATTTGCATGCCAGCCTGTTAGCAGCGGCTGTTAAAAAACTAAGCAGGGTCGGACTTCGTTAATATTCGGGTGGGAAAGTAGCAAATAATCCGGGAAAGCGAAAAAAAAAACCTTCCGGAAAAGCTTGCGGCTAACCCCATTTATTGTCAAGAAAACAACACGTCTTAGATAAACATCAGGAGTTCAGCATGACTCAAGGGAGACTTTACCTTTAACACTATGGAAAACAACAATTTCGAAAGTGTGATGCTGTAATTGCCATTTCCTCTCCTCTCCAGCATCTGCCTAGAATATTTAGGCAGTAAAAAAAGCTTATCAAATGATGTTTCTCCCATCAGTGAAATATTTTATTCTAGTCTGTTGTGAAACTGTACCAAAGGCAGAGGAGCTTTACAAGAGGAGGATGAAAGAAAGATAATTTGATTTTTTTATTAAAATTAATTTATTTGATTACTGCGTTGCTAAAGCCATGCTAGGTATTTCTTATAAAGTTTGGCTGTATTTGCATATGAAGAGTTATAATTTTTCACAAATCCAATTTCAATTATATTTTTTATTTGTTGAATTGGAACAAGGAGGCTTTTAGTTTTTAGAAACTGGATTCTTCCTAGAAGTTGCAAACCGCAGATGGGAAAGCCTTCCTAATATAAACATGTACCACATAGAGTTTAATTAGGTGAATTAACAAACTGCAATAATACTACTTCAAGTGCAGTTGATATGTTTACTTTTGTGAGGCCAATGAGGAATGAGATCACAGAATGTCATGTCTCCTGGTTATGGTTTACAGAGGGTTTTTTCCCCCCCTAGAATCTTAAGTGAACTTGTATGTCATTCTACTAGTTGTTTGTTCATATCAGCAGCATTTGCATGAGTAATCTGGTTGGAATAACATTTGTATCAATTGTCAGAGTGTACAAAACTACCAGAATAAAATTGATATCTGGCAGCTTCTTTTTGTATTCATTATTTTTACTTTAGGAGTTGCTGTAGTAATTAGCTTATAGAAAAAAATGTATAAACTTTTAGAAATGAGGGAGCAAGTGATGGAAGTCTGATTTAAAATAGCCGCAAATTGATGAGAATAATTGATCAGCAGGTATGGATGTTGCTAGGCTGCTTTACAGCTTTCAGGAACCATTCTGCACTTCATTGCTCAGTGAATATTATTATTTATTTCTAAAAACTAGTTCCCCTCCTACACTCCCGCCCCCCATTTTCAGGTAAGAGGCTATTCCAAATGGCCAAGTCAGCTATAGTCATGCTTCAGTCCAGTGGTGGGTTTCAAAAAAATTTTTTTTTGAAAGAAATTTTTTATTTTTTAAAACAAAACATAAAACATAAATCCATCATCCATACAATTGCAAACAGTGTGTCAGTCGGTTACAAATCTTTTGTGCCTCCTCACCATGTTCATTACTACTAATTATCTAATTTCTCATATTACCAATCTAATAAGTTTGTTTGTAATATAATCCTCATTAATCATCAGTGGTGGGTTTCAATATTTTTTACTACTGGTTCTGTGGGTGTGGCTTGGTGAGCATGGCATGGATTGGTGGGCGTGGATTGGTGGGCGTGGCAGAGGAAGGATACTGTAAAATCTTCATTCCCACCCCACTCCAGGGGAAGGATACTGTAAAATCTCCATTCCCTCCCCACTCCAGGGGAAGGTTATTGCAAAATCCCCATTTCCTCCCGATCAGCTGGGATTTAGGGGGCAGAGAATAGATGGGGGCGGGGCCAGTCAGAATTTTTACTACCGGTTCTCGAACTACTCAAACTTTCAGCTACTGGTTCTCCAGAACTGGTCAGAACCTGCTGAAACCCACCTCTGCTTCGGTCCCACTACTAGGCTATAACATTTGAGGGAAGAGATCTGGAACATACTCATCCTATCTAACTTAGTGGAAGAGCAGACATTCTCAGGAAGGAGTAGTCTCTCTAATAATCTGACCCTGTATCATGTAGGGCTTTTAATGGTAATAACCAGTATCTTGAATTGCACCTGAAAAGCAATTGGAAGCCAGTTCAACTCACCAGTGGTATAAGATGGCAAACTGCAGAGTGCCCAGAACTGCACATGCAGTTGTAGACCCATGATTGCTTTCATAAAGGTCTCATTGAGAGAATGTTATAGTAATATAATTTTGGAAGTGTTTTAGATGTTGCTTGTTTTTATGTGATGCATGGCAGCATAAAACTATCTCTTGATTTTAGAGTTTCAGAAGTGTATTTATTTCTGTTGGATCTCTTTTATTGCTTCTGTTGCTTTTCCAACTTTTATTATAATCTACTGTTTACTTAGATCGCAAGGAGGTTTTATGGAAATAGTATTTCGATATTTTATGGTGTCTAAAACTTCTACAGACAACATATCAATCAAACGATAATTTAATAGGTTAAAATATTTCAGATATTTTATAAATGTTACTGTTATTTATAACTTTTTTGGTCTTCAACTCAGAGTTAACTCCTGGTAACTGCTTGGAATAGTTCCCACAGTTTTCTTGGCAACATTTTTCAGTAGTGGTTTGCCACTTTCTAAAGCTGAGAGAAAGCGATTGACCCAAAGTCACCCCACTAGTATTGTGTCTCAGCCAGGAGTAGAACTCACAGTCTGTTGGTTTCTAGCTTGATGCTTAGCTACTAGATGAAACTGGTGTTAATATATATGACTTAAATATCTGTTACTTTATAGATATTTATAAACAGTTTTCGTTGTTGGTATGGTTTGGAAATCCAGTAAAATATAACACTACTGTCTTGTTGCCATTCTAAAAATATTAATCCGACAAGATTATTACCATACCTCTCAATAAGTGATTTCCTGTGGTTATTTTTATTTAGAACCACTTCTTTGTTCAATATCTGGAACAACTACAGGCCTCTACTCCCGGATTGGTATTACAATGAAACACTTGTGAAAATTGGTGATCAGCTTATGGAAATAAAAGTAAGTAATGATTCTGATGAATCACTTTTATTAGATTTCTGTTACATGTGTAGGCATGAATGTTCATCAAGTTGTACAAAATGATACTTCGTATATAATATTTTAATTCAGTTGGGTTCAATTCAGTTCAATTTTACATAGCAGGAATTGGAGATGCAAACAGGATCCTGTTGTAAAGAGGAAGTGGTTTTATTGAATATTAGGGAAGTCTGAAACAGATGGGAAGAATGGTAGAAAGTTGCAAGGAGAAAAAGGAGTTGATAAAAGTTACTATACTTTATCCCATTTCTTTAGTCAGTGCTTCCACAGGTCTTCTTTAAAAGGATTGTCCACTTTTTCTCAGAAACAAACTCTATATGCAGAACATTTTAAGTATTAATTTCAGCAAACATACTATCTTAAAATGATAAACATTGATTGAAATCTTTTTAAAATTTGAATTTATTTCACACCATACTGCCTGCTTTCAGCATTTTATAATCCTAAATATGATTTAATTGTCTCAGCTTAGCCTTACATGATGTGCATTTTGGAAAACTACTATTATATGATTTTGTATTCCCAATTTTGAGCCCTGTTTCTTCCATTCTGTGTATAGGTAGGTAGTCTTTGACCTATTTACATTCATTCCTTCAGTGTCTGTCTGAAGTTTCAGTGGTACTGAACAAATGATGGTTATGACTGATCCTTAGAGTTCTTGCCATCCCAGCACCCCCATGGTCACACGATTGCGATCTGGGTGATTGGCAACTGATTTGCCCTTATGAACACTTTCAGTACTCTTATGATTGCCATTTGCAACATTCCCTGCTGCCTTCCCCAGAAAGTCACTGTCCACCTGCACACCCTCTTCCAGTCCCTTTGTGTTCACTTTTCACTGGCCATTCATGTCCCCCACACCCTCATGCACTCTCTCCAACCTCCACTGTACATCTTACTAAGCTCCTTGTAATCTTGCACACCCTCCCTGCCGTTACTGCATGTCTCATGCACCATCTTGTATCTTCATGCACTTTTTCTGACCCTCACTGTGTCTCCCTTGTATCAGCACACACACTGTTGCTTCCTCTACCATACAGCAGCAGCCACTTACCTGCATGCAGGCTTGGGAGTTGCAAATCCCTTGTTGGCTTCTCCACTGACATGGATGGGGAATCTGGTTAAAAGTTGCTTTGTGTAATGACTATGGGATTTGATTAACAATGACAGCTCTTCAGTAACGGTTGTCACTTAGCAATGAAGTTGTGCTTTATGACTGCACCACTTAGGGATGGAAATTCTGGTGTCAATTAGCATCATAAATTGAGGACTTTCAATATATTTAATATTACTTAAAGATACCTATGTTAACCTATTATTTTATTCATATTTGTTTTTTATATTTAATACAGATTTGTATGAAATCAATTTGAGTTACTTATGATCCTTATTTGAGGTATTATGCCTCTTAGTGTGTCTATTCTTTATCCTACCTAAGCCATAATCTAGTTTAAATTGTTTTGCTAAATAAGCATAAGTGTTTGGGTTTACACAGCACCAGTCATAAACTGTAAACCATTTAAACATAGTACATGCAATATACTGATCTAAAGCCAATGAACCATATGATGGCTATTACTGTGTATTAACTCAACTAGTATTGTATCAGTTGCTGTGAAGTATAAGCAGCAGGGATAATTTTACTAATTTTGTCTGTATTAATGTTTCTTTTCAGTGAAAGTATTTAAAAAAAATTACTTGAGACTGCTCTTATTTGGAATAAAGAAGAATTTAGTTTTAAGACTACTAAATAAATAACAAAGTATCCCAATGTCTTCTATACTGTATCAGCTGTATTCCTCAGTCTGGTTTCCTAATTTATAATATTTGCTTATTTGAAAATGAATTCCAGTGGATTCAGTTGTTATACAATATGAGCTTATTGAACTTTAAATGTTTAAGTTTAAATATTCAATAAGTGTGCAAAATAACTGAATTAAGTATAATTAATTTTCAAGCGAATATTATAATTATTGCATTTTTATCCTACCTGTTTGTGTACAATTATCTATTAACAATTTTATGGAAAATATATGTAAAACACATTATTTTTGTTTTCAGGAACATAAGCTAGCATTTTTGTATTGCTATGAGCAGTATCTTCAACAAATTAGTGGTATAAATATAAACAAACCTGGATTAGATGCACATCAATTAAAGTCTAATTTTTTCCCAAATGGATTTAGAGATCAAAGTGCTACACGTACAGTGAGTATTTACAACAGCTGTTAATGTTATTTAATGTTTCTATAATTTGGCATTAATCAGGCTTCATGAAATAGGCCATGAATATGGCCCATATTATATTGCAAATGCATTAATTTGATGAGAAGAAAATATGTGATTTTCCCCCCAAGATGATTACACTTCATTCTAGAAGCAAGTTTAGAAAAATGAGAGCAGAAAGAAAATATAAGTAATGTCTTTTTTCCCTTGTAAAATCCATTCATAAATTGTGAGAGCAAAGTATTAGAAATGTAATTTTCTCTCCCCCGCCCCCATAGTTAATTTCTGGATTTTGACAGTAAAGTATCTTGGATTACAGGTAGTCCTTGTTTAGGGACCCACAGTTGAGATAAGTAATTTGGTTGCTAAGTGATGTAGTTGCTTAGTGGAAAACCATGTGACCACGACTCTGATTATGATTTTATTTCAGCTTTTCTTTTCTCCCCACTCCTCCACCCTTTGAAACGTTCATGCTGGCACTTGGATAATTAGCAAGAAGGGAAAGAATGTTTATATTTGCATTCATTGGAAAGGAAAGGACTACAAGAGAGTAAACTGGTACACAATGGGGAATATAGATTGAAAGAAATGCGCTAGAGTGAGTGGTTATCCCTCGGTCTTCCTGCACATCACCCTGCCTTGCTATCCACCCTTGGCCTTCACACATACATGCTGTACTATTTCACCAACCCCTGGCCTTCGAGTGTGCATGTTCTGTGCTGCAGTACCCCCACTTCCCCTGCATCCCTCAACTCATACATGGTCTCCATTGGGTCTTCCAATCTCTCTCAGCTTCCCCAAACTCATGCTTGGCTGTGCTGGCTTTCCCCTTCCCGTTCCCCTTCCCAGCGGCCATGGCACATTTCCACAACCCCCATATTCCCCTGCATTCTTGTGCTCCTTACCTGGGATTCCCACTGCACCCCCATTTGATCTGCATGTCTTGAGTTTAAGATGGCCACCAGGACTCTGGCATTACTGCTAAGCAATGCAGTTGTGTGATATTGCACTTTACAACTGCATTGCTTAGTGACAGTCCCAATTGCTGTCATCACTCAAGGGCTGCCTGTATTGTTTTATATTGGGGAGATATATCATCTTTTCCTTCTGTACTGTAAATTACTTTTGCTCTATTGCAGATGTTTTGCAGACGGCAAAAAGGTTAGCCATCACTGTCATAGAGCATTCATTCATTTACTAGCTCATTTACTCTACTAATGTCTTCTGTAGCTCTCAATGGCTTACAGAATATAGAAAGCAAGAATTAAAACATCCACAAAGAGATTAAAACCAATTTGAATAAAAACATAATAACCATTCCAAAAAACCATGTAAAATAAAATATAAAAATAATGGAAGAAAAAGGACCCTACGAGAACAAGGCGGCATGAAATAGAAACCTTAGATAAGACCTCTGAAATATTTTTAACACTTCCTGTTAAACCAGCAAGGAAGAAGCCAGCTTGTTCCCCTGTTGGGACACTGTTTCAAAGCATCAGCATTGCCAATGTTTTATTGGGTCCTTCTTTACATTTAAATATAGATCAATAAAACCATTGCCCTAAACAAGCATTAAATGATACCAAAGTTTATTAGACAAATAGTGAAGGATTTAAATATCAAAGGATAAAAAAGCAAAATAATCTTGAAAGAAGGAGGAGTAAATGGATGTTGTAAAATAGGACCAAGAAAAGTTGAATGCTATAAGAATGATCTGAGTACTGTTGGAAGAAATATTCATCTGGTTCAATTCCAAGTAGTGAGAAAGACATTGGAAACATGGAGGCTGATTGGAAAGATGGTTTAATGGTGAAGCACATGTGATTCTGGGTAGCTGACTCCACGTGGAGTGGAGAGTGAGGGTTATTTATACCCTCTCTGGGCTTTGAACTTGAGCTTCCTGTTCCTGTGGCAAGAGCATGTATTCTGTTGGTTGCTGCCAGACTCCCATGGGGCTATGCAGGGATCATAGCTAATTTTGTAGGTTATCTGAATCAAGCTTGGTTGAAGCTTGGGCTGATGCAATGAAGGGGCTTGTTGTGCAGTTCCTATTGTGGCTGAATGGCTTTTCCCTGAAGGATAATCCTGTCATCCTGGAGCTAAATGTCTTTCGTTTTGTAGATAGGCTGACCCAATCTTTCTTAATGGGCACTAAATATCTGCTGGGCGCAGGGAGTTGAATATCTGCAGGGGTAGGGAGTTTCTGTCTCCCTTAAGATTTCCATTTCTCTTTTAGGGGAAATATAATATTCTGCTTTTTAAAATATTTCTCAAAATATTTCATTCTTCTAGGAGGGGTGATTTCCCTCAGTACTATTGGCGGGGCAATAAAATAATTGGAAAAAGCTGTAGAAATCACATTGACACATTTTGATGATATATTTCTGATTTCAGTAATTTCTTATCGTTCATCTTAGCTCCATGTTCTGCAAGCAAGGAATATTTGCCTTTATAAAATAGTATGTGATAAAGACAGTGATCTCCTAAATCAAGACTCTGTGAAGACATGTTTTAATATCTTAACCGTACTGCAACTCGTCATGCAGATGACTTTGCCCCATGAACACTTATGTTGGATCGTCTACAATGGTATGCCACATTTTTAAAACTCCGAATGTAGTCCTAAATATTAAATATTGTCTTATGCCCCATATTGGAGGAATCTTTTGAAATTTCAACACGATTTCCAATTTGAGAGTTTATATATTTATTAAATTTGTTTGCCACTCATCTTTCTTTGAAGCAACTCTTTTTAAACAGTTAAATCATCTGATGAAGGATTTCACATTTCTCTTTACCTTTAATAATTTTCTGTATCATATTTTCAATGTTGATAGAAATGTAATGGGATACTGTGTTTTTAAGAAAATATTAACACTAGTATGTAAAATGTGTACAACTGAGAGGATAGTTCATATTTTGGAATTGCTAATGTTTAGGAAAAGCATCATAAAAATATTTAAAATTGAGATATTTTAATAGGGTAATACATTATATAGCCATGATGGCGAACCTATGGCCCAGGTAGCCATATCGGTGGGCATGCGAGCTCAGTTGATTTTCGGGCCTTCTGGACCCACCAGAAGTAGGGAAACAGGCTGTTTCCTGACTCCAGAGGGCCTTGGGGGATGGTGGGGAAGGCCCGTTTTTCTCTCTCCCCAGGCTCCAGAGCTTTTCTAGGAGTCTGGGGAGGATGAAAACGGCCCGTTTGTCAACTTCTGGCGGGGAGAGCGGGGCGGGGGTCGCATGCACGGGGGCGGGGCACATAGAATTATGGGTGTGGGCATGCACGCGCGTGACACTCCCCCTGCTCCTTCCCGCTCCTGGCACATGATGGCAAAAAGGTTAGCCATCACTGTTATATAGTATCAAGAATTTTATTACATATAAGATTCTGTACATTGTTCATAAGATATTTGAATTGTAGAAATGATACAGTTAGGATGTAAAATATTGCACCATTTTAATCAATATTTTTGGTTCATTTGTAAATAAACAGGTTGGATAAAAATAAAGATAGCTTGTAATTTATTCACAAAATGCATCACAATAAAGAACTATGGTGTTTATATGTTCCAATATTTTTTCTTATAGGTACAGTTCATATGTATACCATATGTAGGCACTTGATGACTATAGGCCAATCAGCTAAGGTACATGAAATAAAGTATTAGCATTTATCTGTTTGCCTGTTCTTTATCAAAATATTTTTAAAATTACTATTCATTGTGTTTTGGGGAATGTCTAAACTTTTATTTGCATTACAAATATGTATTGTTAAAATGCATTCCTTAAATAATAACAAGAAACCAAAACTTATTTTTTGAATAGGAAACTTTTAACTATAGAGATAATTAGGAAGAGAGATGTGTTTGCTCCAGAAGAGAAACTTTGCTTATAAAAGGGAGGGGGGAGGGGGGAGAAGGGGTGAGGGGGGTGAGGGACATGCTTTCGCAGGGATCAGATTTAGAAACAAGTAAGCAAATTGGGAATCCATTTTCAGAATGACTGCCTTGTCATTTTAATGTATGATTTATTAATCATATTTATTGTCTTTGTATTTAAATATGCATTATTATTTGAACTTAGAGGAAAGCTCCAAAAGGGTCCTGTGCATCATTGGAATGTGCTTTAATGGCTAAATCAGGAGTCCCCAATCCCCGGGCCATGACCTGGTACTGGTCTGTGGCCCGTTTGGAACTGGGCTTTGTGAGTCGCAGGTACACGCGCTTGCGCGCACAGCTCCATTTGCATGAACAACAGGTACTCACACTTACGCCTGAAGCTTCATTTGTGCCTGCGTTTGTGCAAATGGAGCTGCGTATGCAAGCGTGTGTGCGTACTACTCACACACAACCATTTCCTCTCCCCCCCCCCCGCTGGTCAGCAAAGGTTGGAGACCTCTTGGCTAAATGACTTGTGATGCTGTTTTCTGTTACAAGAATATGTACTTGTCCTTTGTGACTGTTAAGAGAGTTCTTATCTCATGCCAGGAGAAAGCATGATATTATCAATAAGGCTATGGAAAAATCTGATTCAGAATATTTTATCTTGCCCCTTTTGATTTGTGGTTGATTTGTGAACAAAATGTCAAATTAGGACTTGCTTGACTATGGATCCCCTTTTCTTTAAAAGTAATTATCTGTTTTCCTTTTTCCTTTTTCTTTTTGCTGACTATATAGGACTGATAGCTCTCTGGGGAAGTTCAAAACAAATAATATTTAAATAAGTATAAAACTTGCCTTAAGAATGTGAGAACTAAGATGGGTTCAGAACTATAAAGATGTGATCATGGAATATTTATAAAATATACTGTATATATAGTCCTGTACATATTTTTATTATTTTGTGCTTTCACATGTTCAAAATAAACTTAATATATAAAAATATTATACTGCACAACTATGTGCAGTATAAAAATTACATGGTTATATAGAGGACTCTTATTGTATTAGGTTGAATTCCAATGCCATCTAGTGGCTATTTTTCACAGTTACATTTTTTTTCTTTAGCTTGAAAAAAGTTGGTTAAAAAGATACTGTATTATAGATGCCTTCATTACTATGCAGGATAATTTAAAACCAAAAATATTAATTTTAGGAACATCAGCCAAGCCAATAAATTTTCATTATAAAAGGAGAAATGTTATCAGTTCTTTTCCAGTATCTAAATTTTAATTTGCCTTTGAGGACCAGGCAATTGCTCTTAACAAACATGATAGATTTTTCTCTTTTTAGTATCTAAATGTGTACATGGAGATTAAATTAACTTTCTTGAAATTCTATTTTGAACATAGCAAAATTAGTATTTTTCTGATCAATCTGTGTTCACTATACTGTCATTATTTCATGAAAAGCATTCCCATTTAGTAATTTATTTATTTATTTATTTATTTATTAAATTTGTATACTGCCCTTCTCCCGAAGGACTCAGGGTGGTGAACAGCCAAATAAAATACATATAATATAAATGCTAAAAAACCATTAAAATACAATTAAATAATTGGTAATTAGTAATGATTAATACATACATACATACATACTGTATGTGGGTGGCTGTGGGTGTGTGCATTAACACATGTGCCTTCGATTCAGTATTGACTTCTGGTAACTGCCTTGTCTAGTTCCTGTAGTTTTCTTGGCCAGGCAGGGAAAGTTAAACTATATCATTCTCTGATATCTTAATGAATGAATTAGAAAAAGAGATGCACCAGAAAAAGGGGTGTTTCTGCATTCATAAAGATATTTTGTTAGTAGTAACCATCAATTTACCTTTGTACTTAACTATTAGTTACCAGCTCTAAGTGAAGAATTTGAATATGTATACCCCTGTACTCTAAATACTCCAAGGGCCTAATTATCATTAAAATAAAGCAAGCCTTCAGTCCCTCCCTTCAATTTAAAACTGAACTTTGAGATACGATTTAGGACTTTCTTTATGTGAAAACACTACTCCTTAATTTTATGCTTGAACCTGGGAAGAGAGGATGGTCTCTGAAGTTGTGTTCTATTTGAGAAGGAGAATGTAAGGGTATTAACTTAAGTGACAAATAACATATCTGGAAAAGGTATGTGATTTATACACTCAAGCTTGGTAGCCAAAGGTAGTCAAAATTTGGTCTATAACTTGAAATGCCTATATTAAAATATCAAAGAAAAAATAATCAGTCTGGCTTATTAATAAAGGGACACTTTTTTTAATAGGTACTGGAATATTTATTGTGGGCATCAGTATGTATGGAATCATCAATTCCACTTTTAGCTGTACACTATTTGACATGGAGAGCCACTCTGTACAGTGCTGTTTGTCAGTGTTACTATGATTGCCAATCTGGTATTCATGGAGAGGTAATAATCTCTATTTTAACTTTTATTAAAATATATAAAAGATACTGCTGTTTGAGCTGCTCTGTAAAGCATAGCTAAAAGGAGTTTGCTTTATATTCCTCATTTAGGATAGGAATTGTTTAATATTTGGGATTTATCAGTCTATATTTAGGACAGGAATCATTTACATGAAAATTTAGGATTTTAATACATTCTTTATAGGAAATTGATTAATTGCCTCTGGCATTTTTCCTTTTTCTGCTTCCTAATCTTTTGAATTATAAGTATTATCAGATTTGGGTTTCAGTGCACAACCAACTTATTACTACTTTTCTAAATAGTAAGACCATCATTTTTATTTGTTCCTTCTAATTTCTTGCTACCATGAGGTATCAATTATTTTTGGTATTACTAATCAAACAATTTTTTTCTATCCTGCCTATAGGATAAATTCTCATCTGCTTTTCCTCCATTCATTGTTTTTTATATGCCCAATGTAGTCTCTCTAATGTGTTTCCAGTTTTGCTCAGTCTATTTGCTCATGGAGGATTTGAGCAGAATGACATTTGCATCCCGGGTATTGCCAGTGTTTCCAAAATCCTCCCCCAGCCTTGTTCCCTTTAGTACTTGCAATCTGACTATGATAGGGTGTGGAGTGTTGCATATAACGTCAATTGGACTGCTAGGTTAAAATGGACAGACAGTATTGCCATTTCATTTCTCTACCTGTTGTGTCCTTACTAAAAAGGGAAAATTTCAAACATTATTATGCGAAAGTTTCAGAATGCGTTTAATAAATGAATGAATATATTATGTTATAGGTATTTGCACGGCGTGGTTTGATTAAAATTGATGAACTAAAGCAAATGGAGTTTATGAGTTCATCACCTCTGAGTATAGAAACAAAGAAAAAATTCAAAGAAGCAACTGTGAAGGTATATATTTTTCATAAAGATTACCATAATTAAAAACAGAAGTAATATAATAATTATGCATTTCTTACTTTGAGCCAGATGGCAGCAATGATTTTTAAAAGAACAGTATTTGAACCAAGAAGGCGACCAAAAGGAGTTCTGAGACCAAGAATAAAAGCTAATCTGAAAGAAGCACAGCATGTAAGTTTAACGAATGTTGGCTTGTCCTGACCAGGAGTAGGAGCTCATGAAGGTGACTTTCCTGTCTGTCTGTCTGTCTGTCTGTCTGTCTACTTAGAAATAAATCCCTTTGAGCTCAATGAGACTTATTCTCAGGTGAGTAGATAGAGATTGTAGCATTAGAATACCTGTTTTTGAAAAGATTTGGGGCTCAACTGAAGGTTTTATATTATTGATGCTTCTAGATTCTGTCCCTTCTTGAAAAACGGAACTCTTTAAAAAGAGATATTTACATTGGAACATAACTCTTCATTCTGCCAGGTCTTGTTTTTTCGTGCTGTCTGAAATTACAAATAAGCACTAATATATTTGAAACCACTACCTGATGTGTAGATTTCTCAGGGGAATCTGGCTGTAACTCCAGAAAGAAATTTTGAGAACCCAGTTGCTGTCAGTGCCTGGCCTTAGAAACTTTTACTACTAGCCTTTTGAATCTTACTCATTTGCCTCTCCCATTTATATAAAGGCCAGAATCATGACCTTTAATAATTAAATGGCATAGTGTGTTATACATATGCACACTGTTTGCAGCATGTTTTATCTTTCCTTCCCAATAATTAATTTTTTAAAAAAGAATCAGGTTTATAACATTTTGCTTCTTATAATGGATTAAAAATGACAGGGAAGTTTCACTTGACACCGAATTCTACAATATAACATTCAGCAGTCATGGTAACTGTTTTATAGAAATGTATTACTGTAGTTCAATTTATTTGAAATACAACATGATCCTTTATATTTTTATTTTATTTTAGCTGCCTTGGCCTCGTACCATCACAGAACGGTTGCTGATGGAAATATTTGATTGCAATTCATCAATTTTTTTTGCCATTATGGAAGCTCTGTTTGATAAAAACAGACGGACCCTTATTCCTGGACCTTCTGTTCCTGATGAAATAGAAGTGCGTGACATTATTTCAGAACTCTGTTTTGCAGGCGCGGATATTCTTGAAGGTAATTGTATATATATAATATATGATAGAATGGTAAAAAAAAATAGAATTTCAGTGCTCTATACAAAATTAAGAGGTTAACTTTCCTCAAACAGGCCACTTTCCAGATGTATGGACTTCGATTACCAGGGTTCTTAGCAATAACTATGATATATATATATATATATATATATATATTCTCTTCTATTGGTATCAGTCTGATTTCCCTAGAATATATAATATTCAATTCCTTAACCATCATAGTTATTGCTAAGAATCCTGATCTATCTATCTATCTATCTATCTATCTATCTATCTATCTATCTATCTATCTATCTTAGACAGAGGTTTGATCAGTATTCCATGGTCAACAAGTCAAATTGTGAAAGGATAGGAAATTATTTTCCAGGTATCTAACATTTAAATAAGTGTTGCCTGCTTAGAATTGTGGGTAAGCTGAAACATAATTTCTACCTCTGTTGGAGAAGAGAAAGCAGATCAGACCTGAAAGCAAATCAGACCTGAAAAATACCATTTGGCTTTCAATTGGCACATTATAGAAGAATGAAAAGGTGCTTTTTAGAAAATGATCTCATTGTCTAAGCTGAGCCTTTTTTTTTTTTTTAATTTGATTTATATGCCGCCCTTCTCCGGAGACTCAGGGCGGCTTACAATGCGCTAAGCAATAGCCTTGTCCTTAAGCCTGTTAGCAACAACCAGTTTATAGCGCAACCCAGAAGATTTTCACCAAGGCAAAAATTCTAGAGATTTATCTTTCAGGACTGACTGCTACAGTGTTGAATTAGTTTTCCTTGGTATGTGTGTGGGGTCTTGGAGATGAAACTGCTAGTGCCCTGCACTTAAGGTGAAATTAGCTCCAGTAATGGGCTTTTTTGCGAACCTTTTAATAGCTATGGAAGTTCCATTTATTTAATTGATGGGGCTCTAATGTAAGATTCATTGGACTTCAGATGTACCATTTCACCATGCTGTGTTCATACTGTATATATGTCTAAAACAGAATGAAGCTTGAAAACTCTTGAGATCTAATTTCTCTTTTTTTCAAGAGACCAGTAGACCCCCAAGTTGATCTTGCAGTTGCTATGCCAATTCTGGAACTTCTTTCTCTCTGCATGTGTTTTTAAATGTTTTTTATACATTTGCAGATGCTTGTGCATCTTAAGCCTAAAACATACAGGGAGAACTCAGCTTGGAAACAGCAAATCTGGGAGGGACTTCTATTGATGTGCTTGTGAGCTTACTGATCCTGCATGCACTTTTCATTGTCTATTAACATATATTTGGCCTTCTGTTTTGTGGATATTCCCATTAACAATCTTTAAGAATTAATAGACTGTGCTGGTCAGGTGTTTTATAAGCCAAAAGTAAAGTGGCCATGTGGGGGCAATGCTTGAGGAGGGACATTCCTGTAGCAGATTTGTCAAGTCAAGGAGTTGAACAGGTATTAAATAATATATAGTATTTAAAATTTGTTTTATTATTCTGTTTGTTTCCTAGTATGATTTGATTGCTTATTAGTAACCTATGACTATTATGAAGTGTTGTATCTTATGATTCTTGATGAATGTATTTTTTCTTTTTTCTTTTTTTCCTTTTATGTATACTGAGAGCATATGCACCAAAGGCAAATTCCTTTTGAGTCCAATCACACTTGGCCAATAAAGAATCCTGTTCTGTTCTGTTCTGTTCTGTTCTGTTCTGTTGTACTCTACTCTACTCTACTCTATTCTATTCTATTCTATTCTATTCTGAAGAGGTTTATGTTTTTTTAAGGTGGTGGCATCAATGTTGCAATTAACACTTCTGAAGTCTCTTCAATAATAACTACTTCATCACTTATGCAGCAGATATTAGCAGGTATTTTTAAAATTTTTACAGTGCTTAATTAATTAAAATGATGAAATGTTTATATAAGATAGTGCTTTATAAGACAAGTCATAATTATAATTTTACTGCAGATAAAAATGTTTGGACACCTGTTAAACTACCTCCTACTCCTTTAAAAAAAACCCAGTAATTTGGCAGTTTAGGTGACCATATATTTATATTTATATTTATATTTATATATATGTTTATAGCTTTTAAAAGAACAAAGAAAAAGAACAAAAGGAACAAAACACAAAAACACATACATTATTAAAAATAAATGACAAGAGTTTTAAAAAAGATGAAAAAGATACAACAGAAAAAATGAAAATCCCTTAATATAAAGTATAATATGTTGCTATAATAAATAGAATAACAGAGACAGGTGAGGAAGGGGCCATGTCGTTATTCTTTCATCTTTAAGGCGTTTACTAGCTAGCCATGCAGTGGAGTACTTCAGTGCATGGAGCATTGTCCTGCTTAAAAATCATGGTCTTCTTGAAATGTGCAGACATTTTCCTGTACCACTGCTTGAACAAAGTGTCTTCTAAAAACTGGCAGTAAGTTTGGAGTGGATTTTGAGTCCAACTTCAACCTGAAAAGGTCCAATTAGCTTATCAATTTCAAGAGTGCTACATCCCAAACTTCTGGCTGATGTCAAAGCGAGATCAGACGTGAGGTGTGGTTCTCTGCACTCTCACACTGAGTTATCCCTGTTGGAGGGCTCTGAAAGGAGCTAAAGCCACCCTGTCGGGGTGGTGAAGTAAAGAGGGGCACTCTGCAGGTCACAGAGAGCCGCAACTCTCCTGCTTGACCCAGGGCTTCTTCCCTCTCATCCACGACAAGAAGAAGAGGCAGCCATCATGGCTGCAATGAAGCTGGGACAGCTGAGGCAACAAAGAAATGTGCAGGAGTGGTGTAGATGAACAGTGACTGGAGCTGGGTGAGAAGATTCCTTTTTTATTTAGACCTTAACTTTAAAAGAAAAAAGAAGAAGAAAATTGAGGAAAAGGAACTCTAAGGACTATTTCTTAAAGTGGTGAATTACCATAGAGAGAAAAATCCTATGTCAGGGTTCCAAGGAACACCCCCAACAAAATAAACCTCTGAGGCCTGAGGTTCCTCAAAGCTCCAATTTATTAGAGATGTCATGTTGACACATCTGGGAAAACCCGAATCTGAAAGCTTCCAGTTTTCCCCACTCAGCTAAGACTTCACAGCCCTGCCCCACACCCACAAGTTCATCACATTGTCCAATCAACTGTTCACACTCTACCGGATACAATCTTCAGGCAGTCTCCATCAGATGCAGGCAAAAGTCCTTGAATACGGAATGTTGTTATGACTAACTTTCTACTGCTTCAACAACAACCCCCTCCCAACTTCCCCAGTTAAAATATGTGGCAGTTTAGAAGCAAAAAGAAAATTGTCTTCCAAAACTGACATCCTAGACCCAAAAGAAAGTGACTAAGGGGAGAAAAGCTAAAGACCTTTTAAAACATAGAAAATTGGATTTTTAACTGGGTAGGCGTTGTTCTGAAAAGGCATTATAAAATGCTGCAACTATCTACTTAAATAGCTGACTTTGCTTCCATAAATTGAATTAAATTTGGATTAGTCAGACACTAATTACTCAAAAGAACGCTGAAACCTAAACTGAAGGTGCCATCTATTGGTAAATGGAAAATATATCATACCTCTACAAGCCTGCAAAATTTCAGATAAGAGAAATAAACAACATCCATCTGGAGGACAGTGGTGATACTGTTCTATAACTATCTACTTTATGATTACTGGACTCTATTGTGAAAACAAGGAAGACTTTTAAGTAAAGTAAGTGACTTGATTTTTGGAAAGCTGCCTGGACTACTTAAATGGAACAGATTAATAATCCTGTGATGTAAAGAACTATGATTATTGAACTTTCTGAAGAGCAATATTGGACCTGAATATATTGTTTTTGGACTATTGAGTGAGAGCGGGATTTACCAAAATAAGATAAGATGCTCCTTCAGGGGGAAATGAGTGAGATTTTAAAAGAAATGGTGTTGATGTTTCAAAGCATTAGGGATACTATGACAAAGAATCACAGAGAGATAAAGAACTTAGTGCAAGTTATAAATAGGAAAATAGAAAATATCCTACAACTGATAATGAATGAAGATCAAAGAGTTCAGGAAAGAGAGAAAGGAAACAGAAAGAATGGAGGAAAAGATAGAACAAATAAGCAAATAAAGCGAGATGAGAAGGAGAAGACGATAAAGATAATGACTGATGAAATAAACAAAGGGAAAAGTATTTTAAGAGATTTAAAAATGGAGTCGGATAAGCTGGAAGATACTTTTGAAGGTGAGATAGGGGCTTGGGTGGACAGTCTGGAGACCTGGCAGCTTAGGGGGATAGAGATGGGAGAAATATTTAGTCGGAATGTTGAAGATGCAGACGCATAGAGACAAACATCTAAGAGAGGAGTATGGGAGGCAAGCTAAAAAACGAATAAGGATTGAAGTATTAAAATAGGCCATGATGGATAGAAAGGAAATTTTCTAATATGATGGCCTGATTAAAAACTAGAATAGAGGTAGAAATAACAATTCCCACTTTTATATAAAGCAGTAGTTAGATGGAAAGATTGGAGCTTGAAAGATGGTATTATGTATGTTTAAATAATATGATGATTGGTTCTAGAATGGTGTATTGAAACATCAAACAACCAAATAATGAAGGACTATGTCTTAATATAAACGTGTATTAACACTAGGATTAGTAATAGTGCCCTGACTAGAAGCTAGAATAGAGGTAGAAATAAGAAACAGGAGGAATATTAGCATATATAATTTTTATATAATAGAATACAAGCAATAACTAGATGGAAAGACTAGAGGCTGAAAGATGGTATTACTATGTATGCTTAAATAATATCATTGGCGTTAAAATGGAACATTGAAATATTGAATGACTACTTTAAAACAAACATGTATATTAATACTAGGATTACATAAATTTGATTAATGTAACAAATATTATTAATATTATTATCACTACTTGTATCAAAATGAATTATACCCAGAGGCCACACTGTTCATGTATGGATATTGATGTATATTTAAAAATAAAAATCCAATAAAACTTAAAAAAAAAAAAAAGGAGTGCTACAGCCCTTTGAAAGACTTTTTTCAATTTTTGATTTTTCAGAGTCAGTTAAATATCTTTTTTGGCCCATTTTGCCTGAGGAAAAGAAGCTGCCTAATGATTATGCATATAGGGTGATATAGGGTGTTGATCTTCTTAGGCCACACCCTCTCTCATTACACAAACACACATCACCTGCTATGCTTATATCCACTAAGGCATTCAGGTGTATACAGCTTGGAGGTGGAAAATATGCATTAAAATGATGATATGGTCAACATACTCACGTGCCTAATAATTTAAAACAGTCTGTGAGTTTTTATTACAGTTTATGAAGAATGGAATATTCTTAAACGGTTCATATTACTCTTACAGGGAAAAATGGTATTTCAGCAGATGCTGCATTAAGGTTTATTAAGATAGTCTTCAGTTATGAGGAATGGGATTCGTTTGAACATGCAGTTGTACTGTTTTTTTTCATTTCTTCAGGTAATGAATTTTATTAGTTTTATTCAGTTCTATAATACAATCATAGATCATGTAGTTTCATTATTTAAAAATAATAATAAGCCCTATATTAATTCTTATTTCTCTATATATTAGAATCAAAGCAGTCCAGTGTGGAAGAAAGCAGAAGCAGAAATCAAGCTACTACTACTAATGCAGAATTTATTGACCATAAGAAAAGCAAGGCATGGTTTGTCTATTCAAGGAGATAATATCCGAGAAACAGGTGCTTTTCGTAGTCCAGGGAAAAAATATATAGGATTTCTAGGTGGGTTACAGATTAATTTACTGAATTTCATTAATTTAATTAAAATATGGTCTTTCTGATAAATAAAATAACCCATTATTTGGGATTTCTAAATTCTTAACATTAAATTAATATGTTGCAGTAATGTCCTGGTTCCAGTACTAGCATATTGGTATTGCATTTTGTTGTAAATTATGTTAACAGTCTATAAATGCTGCAGTAATGTCTACTTTAAACCTTGAACGTGTGAATTGGCACAACAGGATCAGGCTATTACTTTAGTTTTGATCAGATAATTATATTACATTCTATTAAAAAGAAACAAATCACAGGTTCATATTTTCACACAGAAGATGAAATAAAAAAGATTGGTAGAAAAATAATATTTTTGTTGCTGATGTGTTATACTTTGTATTTGCTGTTATTAAACAAAAATGAATTCTTATTTAAGTTGGCATTTTCTTAGATATAAATTTATTCCCATTTTGTTAGTTTTATTCAAAAAGAAATATATAAAATTGAAACTATACTTCATTTTCATAATTTTCATTTTCAAGCTAACCCTAATAAACGGAGAATTTGAATTTAACTAATATTTTAATGTAATATTGATTTATTTTCTTTCTGTTTAAAATAAATTGCAACTCCAGAAGGACCAGTACAACCATCAAAAATTACTGATGATCTTTTTCTGCTGGCAAAGTCTCTTTATTCTTCTGTCTGTAAATCTGAAGAGGTATAGTAAAATCATTGGTATAAAGTATATGAAATGGAAGTGTTAAATTAATGGGGTGTAAATATGGTTTATCTCTATGCTTCTGTTGATGCCTGATTTCATTATCCCCTAGCATTTTTGTATTCAGTTTGATCTAAAAAGTTAACAATTTCTTCGTTGAAACTTTGGGTGAGTTTTTCATGTGCAGTGACATTAAGATTTTGATCCGCGTCACAGGCATGTTGTTGTGAGGAAGATAGGAGAAGGAAGGAATATTAGGTAACTTCTTTGGGTCACCTTGTTAAAAAAGATTGGACTAAGACTTTTTCTAATCTGGTTTATTTAACTGTGATTAACTTCAAACCATAATTTATAAATGAAAATGGTTACACTAAGCAAAATCTAAATGAAGTGCAATTTGAATTAGTGCAAATTGAGCCAAGTGGTACTGGAAGGTATTAATGATTGCACTGGTTAGTCTGTGGACAAGAGACAAGAATACCGGAATGTTCTGATTTTTTTCAATATTTTTTCATTTTGCAATGAGTTTACCACTGAATAAATTTGAAATAAATTGTATGAACTGATTAGCTTCAAATAGCAGTGTATGTTAAGTGCATCTGAAATTAGAAAGTAAAATAATTCTGTTTAAAGTTGAAAAACACTATATGTTTTACAGATATTATGAAATCATAATATGAATCAACATAACGTAAAGTACTTTTATTGAAGTATAATTTTGATTTCTGAAGTTTTTGCACATTTTAAATATGTACTTTGTGAGGGATGCAAATATGCAGGTCTTTCAATTACTGAAGGAATAACGAGGATCATGCATTTGGAGAAAAATAACTTATTGAATAGAAAAGTATTTGATAACTATTGCTTTTTGACAACTATTTGTTAAGGAGCATTTGAAAAATATTTATCTTTCAGATTCACCAGCCGGCCAGAGAAATGATAATTGATGCAACCATGTTTTTGTGGCAAAAATGTAAAGTAGGAATTCAAAAGATCCAGATGAGTGGGAGTAACTTCTTAAAGTTCATTCATAAATACCAAACACCCAAGGTAAACTTTTATCATATACTTATAAATTTACAGATCAATATGAACCTACATACATATAATCAGGTAATTTATTGATTTTGAAGTGGGTATTTGCTTGTTAAACTTTGCCTAGTATAACTAGGATAATTTCTGTAAGAAAAATTAAGTTCAATTTGCTTATGATTTGCCATATAGGGCAAGGAGGCCATATGTAATCAGCTAAAAGCTGAGCATGTAGAAGACAACAGACATAGAAATGCTCCAGTTCAGCTTGATTTAAAGAAGGAGCCCCTTAGGAAGTAATAGTTGGAAGAACTAGAAGAAAGTAGCGTAACAAAGATTGTAGAGAAGAAATTGACGAGGAGATTTGGGAAATGTTTATACTTTAAAATTAAACAAGATAAATTGCAAGCAATAGGTAAGAGAAAAAAGAAAGAAATATAAATCTAATTCACATCAACACCATTCACCAAACAGTCTTCATATACAGTATTTCTATTTTTGTAAAGAATTTTTGCTTCCATCACATCCATATACCACTTTACACATTGCCTTTTTCTTTTTAAACTTGTCATATGAAGATCTTAGAAAGTTCATCCAACCATAACTTTCTCAATTTTCCTTTTTCAGTCTATTTACTCTTCTTTTATATACTTCTTTTACATTTTAGTCCTGATTCATATGACCAGACCATCTCAATATGTTTCTTTTATACTGGTGACTTATTTTTCAATTCAGTTTTGTTCAATATTGAACCATTCACTAAATGGAATGGAACCATTCAAAAATGGAAATCTTTCATCAAGCTTTCATTCTTCATATTCTTCTTCATTTAAAAGTTTCATTGATCTGATACAATTTTAAAAATCAAGAATCCCCTCAATTTTTATTGTATAAGATCAATGAAACGTATACATTTCGTTCCTTTACCATTAGTAGTTACAAATAGACATAATCAAACTGCATTCAAACCAATTGGTACCTATCACTGATTATTCATTTTTGGTTCTCCAAAGGACCCAATAATTATCTTACCTTGTCTTCACCTGTCAATTTATATGATCTTACAGATTAAGTTTTGATCTGGTTTGATTAATTGAGAAGGTTTATATAGTTCTTTTTAAAACTACTTCATGTTTTGATCATCCACTAGAGCATAGTATGCAGATGACACCAACCTATGAATTCCTATTTTCATACATAGCCACATCACTCTAAATGATAATGGTTCATAGTTTCTTAGATGCATTTTAAATTTTTCATTCATAACTAAATATATAGCTCCAGTTCTTCTCATGTATTTATCAGTTCCACTCCATAAAAAAAAAATACTTCAGTTTACATTTATTACATCATTTCCCTTCCTTTTTTATCAAAAACATATATTTGTATTTCTTTTTAACATTTCATTCATTGATTCACGTTCTTTACCACAGTTTCATACTTCAACAATCTTCTATGTATCATGGGCAAGCAAGGGTTTCATATAAGTTTTAGGAAGGAAAAGAAAAAAAAATAGATTACCATATCACATTTGGAACTCCTTAGTAATGATATGATAGACAGTTATGGCATGGTTTGGCCAGTAAGTCACAAGTATGACCAAACTGAGTTTACGCCAGTGATGCTGACATTATTCTATGAAAGCTAAATTCAGAGAAACCATTTTGAAATCATCATATAATTGTTTACCTCTTACCAATCAAAAAGAACATGCATTGTACTCAGAGGTGGGTTTCAGCAGGTTCTGATCAGTTCTAGAGAACCGGTAGCAGAAATTTTGAGTAGTTCGGAGAACTGGTAAATACCACCTCTGACTGACCCCGCCCCCATCTATTCTCTGTCTCCCGAGGCCCAACTGATCGGGAGGAAATGGGAATGTTGCAGTAACCTTCCCCTGCCATGCCCACCAAGCCACACCCACCAAGCCATGTCACGCCCACCAAGCCACACCCACAGAACCGATAATAAAAATTTTTGAAACCCACCACTGAGATGGACACTTAAAATACCATTTCTTGATGGTTCATTAAACAGTTGCTGTGAAAGCAATGAATATGTGAACTGAAATTTGATGAGTAAGGTTCCTAGCCTTTGCCTAGCTTTAGAAAATTTGAAAAAGTGCCTTGGGTAAGTGGGAACTAGTATTTTGTGATTGCATTGATTGCCTGGCCAAAAGTTATGAGTAAGCAAAATTATCTTGGTATATGTATTGTTCATGTCTGTATACAGGCATTTCTTGACCACCATTGAACCCACAAAATTTCCATTGCTAAGCAAGACATAGTTAAGTGAGTTTTATGACTTTTCTTGCCACAATTATTAAGTGAATCACTGCAGTTAAATTAGCTACACAATTATTAAGAGAATTGGCTTCCCCATTGTGATCTTTCAGAAGGTCATAAGAGTTGATCATATGATCCTGGAACATTGCAACCATCATAAATACATGCCAGCTTCCAAGCATCCACATTTTGATCATGTTACTATAGGATGCTGCAACAGTTGTAAGTGCGAAAAATGGTCATAAGTCAGTTTTTTCAGTTCCTTTGTAATTTTGAATGGTCACTCAATGAATTGTAAGGTGAAGACTAACTATTTATTTCCTATTTGTAAATTCTATAATAAATTTCTAACAATCTTGGCTTTAATTTTGTTTGTTTGCCTAGTGGCTTCACATTATTCATGTAATTAATGAAGTAATTCACACCATTAATCTTGGAATCACTAATCCTGTATTAATAGCTGAAGTATCATTAAGGCTAACATCAGTGATGGAAAATATTGCAGACTTCAAATCTGGAGACATACCAGGTACGTGGTTTTTACAATTCAGTTGACAACACATAATAACGCTATGTAGTGTTATAAAATATTAAACTCACTCTATTTTATTTAACATCTATATGAAGAATCTAGGAGATACCATCTGCCAGTATAGGATGAAATGTCATCAGTATGCTACTAATAATACCTTGCAATCTGTTTGTGTCAGTCTTATGTGATAGACCAGACAGAAAATATAACTAGATGAGCTAATTCTACTTTATTGTAAAAGTACATTAACGAAATCTTGCACGTTTGAAAGTACCTCTCTCCCCTATCTCCTTTATAGCCCAAGAAACTACAGAGGGCCTCTTCTGAGCCCCTTGCCCTGCTCATATTCCTGCTGCAGGCTCATCTTCCTTTTGTCTGACTGTTCCCTTAGCTGCATCGCCTTGTCCTCTCTCCCAAAGTTATTCCCACATATCATTACATCACCCTCCCCATCAGAGTCTGCCTCCCCTTCTAAATTCACAGGGAAAACTGTGGGTTATGAGAAATGTCTGTTGCTTCCCTTTTCTGACGTTATTTTCCCCAAATCACACAAAGTGTTCTGCAACCCAGCTGCACCTCTAGAGGCAACTGCCAGTCCCCTGATTAGGAAATTATTTGTTCCCCTTTATGTCCTGTATGTCTGATGTGGAAGGAGCTGGGTCACTTTCCCTTGGTATGATGCAGTTGAAAGTGCTATCTGGCAAAGGTTGTCAGAAATAAAATTTCTGGAAAGTGATTCCTTTCAAGGCAATTGTCTAAAGTAAAGACATTTTAAAGTTTAAATATGTAGGCATTAGGCTATGTAATATCTCCATGGTGGCGCAGTGGTTAGAGTGCAGCACTGCAGGCTACTTCTGCCGACTGCCCGCTGCCTGTAATTTGTCAGTTCAAATCCCACCAGGCTCAAGATTGACTCAGCCTTCCATCCTTCCGAGGTCAGTAAAATGAGGACCCAAATTGTTGGGGGCAATATGCCGACTCTGTAAACTGCTTAGAGAGGGCTGTAAAGCACTGTAAAGTGATATATAACTGTAAGTGCTATTGCTATCTCAATTACTGAGTTACTCAGTATTCAATTAAAAACTGAGAGCTAGTTACAGGTATTTTATGAGAGACTACAGGCCAATTAGAGCCTACATTTCATTTACGGTTAAAAATCTTTGTTTTACTTTTCCCTTTCCTGCAGTTTTAGCAGAAGATGATTCTCTGTTTTCAGAATATTACATCAGTAACATTTCTTCATTAATACAGGTATTTTTCCCTTAACAACTACCATAGATATTAGTAGATTGCTTATAATTTTGAAAACCCACTGATTCAGTACCAAGTGAAAATTGTAGTTTAAAAAAGTTTATTCCCAAAAAAGAGAAGATAGCTAAATACTGGAAAGGCTTACTGTGTTTCAGTCCAGAAATAAGAATTCATTATGTGAAATGTTAGTTTCAAAGAAAAGAGTTACAGTCTTCTTTTTCTAACTCAAGTAAAATCCAAAATAGAGAGGAATTCCCAGACCAACTGAAAGGAACTAAAATTCCTTTAAGAATTTCACATGCTAAATCAGTAATAGCCCACTATTTCAGTGATCGGGGAAGAAAGACGATAGAAGTATTTTATTCTTTTCATTCTGTGGCATGGCTATTAAGAAGAATAGCTTTTGGAACAGCTAAAATTTAAATTGAATTATCTTCTATTAAACAAGAACAAAAGAACCTTTATCTGATTTGAGTCAATCTAGTTCAATCTTAAATGGTGCCAGGTACACCCCCTCTTGTGGTTTTAATCATTACCTAGATGCACCTGCATGTCACTGTCTTGGAGGCTTTCACCAGCCAGGATGGACAAGAATCTAATAAGCAGATAGTTGCACTGACAGCTCCAAAGACCCTGTCCACTTCCTCAGTTTCAACAGGGTGAAATGATTCACTGATAATTGGGCATATACATTCCTTTAGGTCTTGGCTGGGGCCAGAACCTTAATTTGGCTAGACATATTTTTGAGAGGGGAACTCTACCATCTGGTGTCAGTCAGGTCTGTGACTTGTTCTCTCCAGAGAGGTCACAAATAAAGAGGGGTGGAGTCTTTTTGTTAACCAACCTGGCATTCATCAGCAGTAGCTGAAGGCCCAGGCCTTCAAAGGTCCATTGTCCAAGGTTTGTATGTGAGCTCAAAGGGCTGGAACATGCCTCCAAGGGCCTGCCTTTTGGCTCCCTTATCATCATGCCCGTCACCACTTGAATTTGTTACCCTGTTTCAAGCCCTTAGAGGATCCCCTGTCTCCTACCCTGACCTCCCTCCTCCTTGGCTAGTGCCTTGTCCCTCACCCAGCCATCCCCATATGTCAGTCTATCAATGCAAAGTGTGAGGGGGAAACTCGGGGGGGGGGCACTTAAGTAATAGCTCTCAAGGCCAGTCACAGTCCTCACACTCTATAGGTCCTCATTCCTATAATGTGCCCTTCTTAGTAACTGGTCTCTGCCACTGACTGGTTAGGGGAGGACACCATGCATTCACTCCCCCTACCCTGTCTCACTCTTTTTAAAATCTTATGTGTCCTTGTCCCGAAAGAAATTATGTCATTAAGTCTTTAAGCATATAGGTTTACCTTGAGGTTGTTAACGCTGCTTCACTGTAATTTTTAACGAACTCAGCTGTATTTAATATAGTGGTGCTGCTCAGTAATTCTGTCGCTTAAGGCTTAGAGTTTCACAATTTCCCAAAATTAACAACTAGAAATAATAGATGTCATTTTATTTCTCTTGGTTTTCTCTGTAGTCCTTAAAATAAAATCTTAGAAGCAAAAATTAATTGCCTTTTTCTCACTTTTGTCTTCATTAATCAAATGTATGGATATATTTCAGCAACCTCCCCAAGAACAATTATTTTTGGCTTATGAGTATATTGACAGAGCAATTATAGCAATTAATCGAGCTCATGTACTAACAGTTTTACCTGATGGAACATCAGTGCTTGATAATTATTGTAAAAAGGTAAGATATTCAAAGTAACAGATCTCTGCAGATTAGCTAAAAACTTAACTATCTCTGGAGCAATTGTCCACAGATTACTTATAGTTTTGGGCAGCATGGTCAGAAGGACACTTTTTTTTAACCTTATCAGAAAGTACACATGAGAAAACTATGATCAATTGATGAAACACGAAACACAAATTTATATTTGGAGAAAAAGGGTAAGCACTTGAAGAAACTAATTAAACGTGGTTAGCTCTGTTTGCTTTCTTTTTGAAATGTACTGCAAGTGGAATAAGCAGTGGATTCAATTAAATAGCAACATTTATTTATTTATTTATTTATTATTTAAATTTTTATACCGCCCTTCTCCCGAGGAACTCAGGGCTGTGCACAGCCACTGTAAAATACATATATCCATAAAGTTTAAAAACAGTTTAAAACATATTAAATAATTTGGCCCTTATATTAAAAAACTAAAACACCCATTAAAATTTGTTATTTAAGCCAGCCTAGTCTGTTGAACATATCCTACAAGCTAATTTCCCCTAGCCAGTAAAGAAGCTGAAAACAAGTTGGATATTTCAGCAAGACAACAATCTAAAACATAATTAATCATGGTCATACTAAAAAAAAGAAAAGAAAAGTACTGAAAAGAAACACACAGCACTACTGCAAAAATTAAGAATAAACCTGAAATTGAAATCTCAGGGTTTTTTTTACTTGAACCCTTCTAATTATTCTTGGAACAGTATATTAAAACATAGGGTATTTAATTATGATTACTAACTTATTTCTGAGTTAGAAAAGATTTTTCAAACCTTTATGATTTGTTTTTATCCATACTTGTGGTTTGTGTTATACTAATTATTACTCTTGATTTTTAATTGTTTTAATAAAATATTCCAAAAGAAAGCTGAATAGCCATTTTGAAAAAATATGCTTCCTAAAATATATAAAAAGAATTGGCAAATTTTCTTTCAATCAGATTACAGAAAAGCAAGTTATGAATAAAACTTTATCATCTGATAATGAGAGATCACCAATAGGAAACAATTTTATTATGGATCTACATATTGAACTTATTCAGGCTCAGCATCGAATAGCAGTTAAACTACTTAATGCAACTCAAGGTAGGTAAAGTAAGGTGATATAAACACTTTTTGGTAATTTCATATTTCATACCGGAGGATCATTCCAATTTTATGTTTCACAAAGATGAAAATATAACTTTTAAAATGTATAGTATTTATTTATTATGTCTATTACTTATTTATTATGGAACCAGATTCTTTTTATCATGGTACTATTCTCAGCGAATAGCATTTATGAATTTCCAGGATAAAGTTATAAAAAATGATATTTTTCTACCCAGCCAAATTTTTGCTTTGCTTATGCCCCATATTACAGACTTGCAAATGTGACCACTGTTGCTTAATGTTTACAAGTCTGAAATTAATTATATTGCCTTTTTTCTTTTATAAAGATACTTCTATGCTTTTTATATACAAATCTAGCTGAATAATGGAGATATGTCACATTTTTTTCTGACTGTATGTAATCAAAATGCCCATCTTGTTCAACTGCAGCCTTTTGTATCCAAAAATTATGTGGTCAGTGAACAGAGCTGGGTTAGAGAATAACATCAGAGTTGAGGAAGTGGCTGGCTATTTCTAGGTTGGAAAGTAGTTGATGTGAAGAACAAGATGAGTCTTTGATGGAAGGGATGTCTGCCTAGCAAAGGGAAGGAAAAGAATGGTCAGCAAGGTACACTGGAAGGTGCGAGTATGTACTCCAGTGAAACAGCAGACTTTCCTTTATTTGTGTCCAAAAACCTGCCATTAGGAGGGGCCCTACGATTATTTGGGATATATTAGACAACCAATCTATCAGAGTAGTAGTGTGACTGTTTTAAGAAAACTAAGACAGAGAAGCAGATAAAGTAGTTGGGATAGATAAATAGATAAAGCTGGACCTGATACTGCCAAGCATGGGTCCAGATTATTAATTATTTTTGGATTCAACTCCTCTTCCTCCTTTCTTGAATAAGAATAAAATACAGTTGTAAATACAAACCAGAGTAAATATTGAAAAAGAAGTATAAAATAACATTTGAAAAAAGAAAAAAGAGTCTTGATGGATAGCCAAACTATATTACCTACCATTTAAGGTACCATTACTGTATATACTTATGTCATGTACTTGTTAATATCTTTTACTGTGCTTTGCAGTATATAAGTTAGCTCTAGAACAATCATCAAATCCTGTTTTTAAAAAAGGGACAAGATTTCACTATTTTCAGTTAATTTCAGGTTGTTGAAGTTTTGTGATAATCACATTACATCGATAGTAAAGAAAGTCTATTTTGCAGTTCTTTTGAGTGTATATAAAAGAAACTGCATTTGAAATCTGTGGCTTCTACTTGAAAGAAAAATCAGAAGGAAAATATTCCAAAACCTAGGGTGGTATTAGAAAGTCAAAGGCAACACTTAATAAAAATATACAGATAACTCTCAGTTAACAACAGCAATTGAGACCAGAATTTCCAATATGTCATAAAGCTTAAACATGGCTTTTCCAGCACTTCCTGTTTGCTGTCTTTAAGCAAATCACAGTAAGTTGTTAAATAAGGACTTCATGTGGTTGCCATTTATGACTTTCTGGCTTACTCATTGACTTTGCCTGTAGCAAGCTGGCAAAGAAGGTTGCAAATGGTGATCATGTGACAGCAGGATGTTACACTGGTGTAATAGTGAACTGGGCCCTGAGTGCTCAGGTTGCAGTCACATGACTGCAGACAGACTGTGATGGCTGGGACTTCAAGAACCAGTCATAAGTACCATTTGTTCAGTACAGTCACAAGTTCAAGTGGTTGCTGAACCAGTGGTCATTAAGCAAGGATCACTTGTACAATTGTTACTTCTTCTGTGTTTCTGTATAATTGTAGACCATATAATATGTACACATACACACACTTATGCTTTTTTTAGATACTCAAAGTGGTGACAAAAGTCCAAAGGCCAAGGGTCTTGCAAGGAATGTAAGCCAGTTAAAATGTCTAACAGGTACGTACTTGTAAAAATAGCTAACAGAATTAAACTTTATATGAAAAAATTGCATTAACTTTCAAAAATTTGTTTTTACAGAATTGGAGATAATGGAGAAAATAAAAAAGAATAAATTATCCAAAGCTCTCTACTTGATGCAGAAAGCTACGCTGATGCTTCCAGTAGGATTGGATTGTTTTTCTGCAAATCAGCTTCTGGAGGTATATTTTTCATTCATATTCAATTCATTTTTCAGTTTATTGGAACAGTATTTATGTATTGTAGATTCCATACAAACTCAACATTCCTGAAAATTGTCATAGCAATTCTTTTAATAACAGATATTACTTAAGAATTTTCTGTATCAAAAAGCAATATAGAAGTACTTTTAAAAGTAAAATAAAAATAACCTACAAATCTAGGCAAAGGCACTTAATAATGAAATCCTTTTTATTACTGTAAATGAAAGCTGAATTATTACATTACTGTAAAGCAGGAATAGTGATTTATAGGCTAATTTACATAGCATGCTGTGATGAGTAGAGGATAGAATTAGGGGCATTTAAGGGACGAAATTGTGCCTTAAACCTTGTAGGTCTGCAGGTTATCATTCAGAAATTCTGAAGCCCCTTGCAAGTTAGGCACAGGGGGACATGTGCCCTGTTTTCTAATACTTCCAAAAATACAGGCAGAAATTCAGTGATATAAATTAAGCAACATAAATAAGCAGGGTATTAAAAGAAAAGGAACCAAACAGTATCTGGAAAGAAAGAACAACATTTTAGTTCTGGAAAACTGAATGAACTACTGCATTTGTTAATAAATTATAAATTTTACAAAAAATAAAATCAAAAGCACAGCAATGAACTAGAAGATATTGTGTCTTGCAGGAATGTAAATAACTGATCACTTGAAAAATCATGTAATAATTCTAATACTGTCTACTAAACTGTCCTTGGTTTTAACTGTGTGATTCTTTTATACTTTGCATATGAAAGAAATTAAAGTGAAATAAATACTTTCTTGGGATTTGTGCTTAAATTCTAGGAAGCATTTATTCTGATTCAGAAAACTGAAATTGAACAAAATACATTAAATGCCACTTTATTAAACCATACAATTAGCACGAAAAGCAAAGTTCCACCACCTCCAATACTTCTTTTTAGGACAAATTGTTCCATGGCATTTAAGCCAGCACCATTTGCTTCAGATGTGAAGGTAATTTATCTTTTTTCTTGGGTGGGGAGGAGGAACACCCTTGTGATTTAATGTATAGTATATCATCAACTAGTTCTACTCTAGAGAGGGACATACCTTAATTATATAGAGAAATATTTTGAATGCTGTATACACAATATTTGTTAGAATTTTAATATACACTACAAAATCTTCATCCGATATTGTAACATTTTACATTTACAATTTACTGATGTTTTTTGTTCTCATTAAGTATTAAAAGAGCAACATTATTGCTCACATACTGTACGTTGGTATTTCTGCACATTTTTTTAAATAAAAAACCCAAAATGTAAACCAAGTACCACTAGATGGTAGAATATAATCATTTTTCAATGTTCTTTCAACAGGATTTTAAAAATTACATACATACATGTTGTGAAAATACAGCAATTTTTGGAAAATGAAATATATTTTAACTGGAGTTGTAAAGTATTAAAATATAAAAATAACATTTTGGTGGTTCAATTTGTCTTGAAAAAATTATTATAATTAAAAGGAGTGTGTGGTTTTGGACAATTACCGGTATCATTTCAAACAGCATAGGTTTACATTTAAGCTTAAGTACCTGAACAAGCTCACTTTGAAAGAGTGAGAAGTACAGCTCAGCATCTGGCAAGGAGAGGCTAAGGGCAGCTGCTCTCCAGGTTTTGCGCTGCACCATTAGTCTAAGTCCTGCCAGTTTGTTGCCTGAGCAGAGAGTATGAAAGATCTGCAATGGTGGCAAAGGAAGAAGTTTCCAGACCTAGCTATTTTAATATCTCTGAGGGGGTGAAAGTAGGGATAGAGCCACCTCATAACCTGTTTTATAGTCACAGAGCCATTGTTCATTGCTCATTATTATTATTATTATTTTTTAATTTGATTTATATGCCGCCCTTCTACGGAGACTCAGGGCGGCTTACAATGTGCTAAGCAATAGCCTTCATCCTTTCGTATATTTATACAAAGTCAGCTTATTGCCCCCACAACTGGGTCCTCAATTTACCTACCTTAGAAAGGATAGAAGGCTGAGTCAACCTTGAGCCTGGCGAGATTCGAACCTGCAGTAATTGCAGGCAGCTGGTCTTAATAACAGGGTGCTTTAGACCACTGTACTACCAAGGCTCCTAATTGTTAAACTACTTCCCAGATTCTATCAAGCTGTGTGTGAATAAGGTAAGAGCCACATAAAATGAGCTGGAGGATCACATATGACCCATGAGCTAGAGTCTGAAACCATTAATTAGACAGTTTTTAAACACATGCAGAATTTTATCTGTAGAACTAAGAACAATTATGTATTTGTTTTTGTGTTTTAAGGTTTTTTGGTACAGCATTTTTGGGTGTGTAGCAGAAGGAAGCAATCCAAAAGCTCGGTTAAATAATTACAGTCTCAAGAACACAGCAGAAGCGGTAATGTCTTTAATAACGATGAAGGTGGTAGTTTGAGTTTTCTTCAAAGCTATTGCTAGGCATGAGCAGTGGTTTGAGAACCTTAAAAAAAAAAATCATGTGATGTAAAAATGGACTTTTATATAAACAAGGCCACCTTAAATTCATTTTCTTCTCACTTAGTGACAGAAGTTCCAGTCTCAATTTTGGTTGTAAATTGAGGACTAATTGAGTAGCATCAGCTTAATTATATAATAATAGAGAATAAAAAAAATTAAAATGGGGAAAAAAGTACCGTATTTTCCGGCGTATAAGACGACTGGGCGTATAAGACGACCCCCAACTTTTCCTGTTAAAATATAGGGTTTGGGCTATACTCGCCATATAAGACTACCCCTCTTCCAATGCACACCAAATAAAAATTAAAAAACATCAATTGGCTCACCTACAATGTAAAAGCAGCTGTGCTAGACCCAAAATGGCCCCTGTAACAAGCAGGAACCTCACACAGCCACAAAAAGCCCCCCCAAAAAACTTTCACACTCTAAACACACACAACACAACACAACTGGCTCACCCACAATGTAAAAGCAGCTGTGCTAGACCCAAAATGGCCCATGCAACAAGCAGGAACCTCACACAGCCACAAAAAGTCCAAAAAACCAACTTTCACAATTTACACACACAAAATTCCACATACAGCTTTGTGAGATTTTGTGTGTTTGTGTAGTTGGAGTGAAACACTACAGAAACACACTAAATCTCAGAAAGCTGCACAAATATTATTTTATTTTATTTTTATTTTTATATGAAAGCTAAATTTAAAACTTCCTAAACTTTAAATGGCTAGGTCTAAAAAAGAACAACTAAAAAACCCCCAATTGACTATTTTTTTTAAAGCTCCCAAAGGGGAAAAAAACTTACCCAATAGAACAGGGGTCTCCAACCTTGGCAACTTTAAGACTTGTAGACTTCAACTCCCTCCTTGCTTGATTGCAGGCAGGGAGTTGCTTGCTTGCCTGAATAGATTCAGGCAAGCAAAGCAAGGCAAGCGTTGCGACTAGCAGCTGAGGTAAGCAAGCTGGAGGGGGAAAACTTTTTCCCTTTTACATGGCTCTGGCCATCCCAGCTGAGTTGCAGGGAACTCAGCTGGGATCGTCAGAGCTGGGATCCTCAGAGTAAAAGGGAAAAAACTTTTTTCCTTTTACATGGTTTCTGGCGATCCCAGCTGAGTTGCAGGGAACTCAGCTGGGATCCTCAGAGCTGGGATCGCCAGAGCCATTTAAGGCTCGTCAGAGCCTTTCGGGCTGGTCTGCCTGGTTACAGGAGAACGACACCCGGCGTATAAGACGACCCCCGACTTTTGAGAAGATTTTCATGTATTAAAAAGTCGTCTTATACGCCGGAAAATACGGTATGTCCATCTAGAGTATGGATGTTTACATTGGTTTTAGTTTTAAAAGATTTGAGAGTGCAGTTGTTTTGAGGCTTTTGTCAGAGGAATAGCATAAAGCATAATAACTATAAAATTTTGGTATTAACATTATTTTGATATTGTCATGATTTTATTTTTATTTTAACAAATACATTTTTTATTATCAGATACCAGCTGATGAAACTTGTGTCTTAGAAGTACAAGGTTTAGAAGCCAATCAAAATTATGTATTTGCAGTTGCAGCCTATGACTCAAATGGAAAAATTATTGGTGATAGCATTGGAGAAACAACTAAACCAATTCTTGCCTATCCTCCCCTATCTGTTGCTATTGTCCGAACATACCTGATTCAGGTAGCATATAATACTTTTGCTTTGATAACTCCAATTCTTCTGTAATCCGACTCTCAATTTCAGGATACATATCCTCTAAAAACAAGATTCCCCCCCCCCTAAAAAGGAAAGGATGTTATTTATTTTAGTATTTTTGTGATCCTAATTTAATGCATATCCAGTAATTTTTAATATTTTAAAAATATTGTTGCAAGTTTTTATATAAAGTACAAATTTTTTTTTTTTGTATTATCCTGAATTGAAATTACCCATTCTTCAAAAATTTATAGGAAAAATTCTCAGCAGCCAATTCTGCTGAACATTCTTTACATTGCTTTATCTGTAGCTTATATCTTTCACCGTATTCTTCCTGGCCAGAGATTTTTTTTTTTTTTTTTTTAATTTGATTTATATGCCGCCCTTCTCCGGAGACTCAGGGCGGCTTACAGTGTGTTAAGCAATAGATTTAGCTTGTGAGATATCCCTACCATCCCTGATTTATTCAAGTTTACAGTAATCTAGGATTTGTGACTTCATTTCATTTAATTGTATCACTGCATCTTGCCTCCACTCCAACAGGTTCCAATGTAAGACATACAAAATAGATTATGAACCTGTCCATCTTGCTACTTTATGTCACTAGAATTCCTCCTTTGTTTTAAGGAACCTTGTGCAATGTGTTTGCTTTAGTTTGTATAAAGCTAAGAATATGATTATCATTTTACTGATGCTTTCATCAGCTTTACTGATTATGTATGATAATTTCAAATAAGCATAGAAAAGGTATTTCAAAATATAACTATATTTTTAGTCTGCTTTTCAGATTGAAAACTATGCATTATGCAAAAAAACATTTCAACCACTCTGGGATTATTTTGTCTCAGTGCCTTCAACTCCGGTTACTGATGTCACTATAGTTTCTGTAAGCAGCACTTTGTCTGTACCAAAGAACAGGTAACTAAGAGAGCTGTTTTTCGAATTATTCAGTTTATATGTTTATTTTTGATAGTGAATAGTGTCTCACTTTTAAACTGTTTGACAAATGTTTCTAAATACCTAGAAACAATTGTCAAAACATAGGGTCATATTTTAATAATAACACATTTCTTCAGTGGTTATGTTTTGAACAATGTAGTTTTTTTGGAAATACTGTTCCTGTAAAACAAGTAAGTTAAGATTAGTGAAACTGATCAAAGCTACATAGGTAAACTATGTGCTGTCATTATTTCACAACTTGCAGTATAGCAGTGGATACCACATGTAATGTGACAATATTGATCAATGACAATTGCAGAGGTAGCAATCATCGTCGTCGTCGTCATCATCATTTACAATGGCAATGTTACATTGCAAAGAAATGTGTACTGGTGCAATATGTTAGTGATTAGGTTGCCATCCAGAAAATTTGCCAGTTATAATAGAGTTAGAATTGTCTTTCATTTTAAGATATTGCAGCCAGTTAACTCTGTTGGTTTTAGTCATTATCTGCTATTATTACATTTTTATGCTATCCTTTCCTCCCTCCCTCCCTCCCTTCCCTCCCTTCAATTTCTATAGCTGCCCAACTCAACCAAGTTACTCTGGGCAGCTTACAGTTCTATAATTATAAAACAATTTAAATAATTTAAAAAGCATTAAAACAACAACATCCACAAAATAAATGCTATGTTCTTTGATTTGTTGTTTTTCTTCTTTTTGTAGGCTAAATTTTGAAGCTCTGCCACAGGCATCTCCAAACCTCTTATATATGTTTCTGAGAAGTATTTTTATCATCAGTGACATTAGTGTCAATGAAGGAAGTCTCTTCTGTGATTCTATTTGTTTCAATGAGCTTAAGTATAAAAAACAAGTATGTGCTATGCAAGATTAGTATTTTTGATGTGATCTTATTTTTCTTGCTCTTAATATTCTTACCACAAGTAAAATTCATCTACAAAATTATATGTTAAGTAGAAGGCAAATATCTTGCAATTCACATTTGACTTTCCATTATTGAAAAGATACCAATGAAAAATAGTATGTTTTAACCTACTTTAGAGAAATAGTTTTGAACTTTGAAGCTATGAAGTTGCTAAGTTTTACTTTCTTAGCCCTGCCCAAAAGGTTTTGAGTGATTCTATATGTTTATGACAAGAAATCATGTTTATGATTAGAAACATTCGGTAGTTAACTGACTACAGAAGTGAGCCATCTTCCTTTTATGTATTCTGTGGAACTGAATTAGAGAAGGATGTAGCTTATCGTCAAGAAGGAATGCAAGACTGGTTAAATAAAACATCTACTTAGCCATGGTGAGGAAGAGGGTGCTTCCTCTTCCTTAGAAATCTAAACCTGTTCTGATTCTCTGTTATAGGGAAGTTGTCAGGCATTTAAGATTCTACAGATAGTCCTCAACTTATGACCACAACTGATCCCAAAATTTATGTTGTTAAATGAAAAATTTGTTAGGTGAATTTGTCTCATTTTTATGACTTTTCTTGCCACATTTGTTAAATGAATCCCTGCAGTTGTTAAATTAGTTAACATGGTTATTAAAGGAATCTGGGTTCTCCATTGACTTTGCTTGTCAGGTCGCAAAATGACTCCTGAAAACTGCAACCGTCAAAAATATGAGTCAGTTGTCAAGCATCTGAATGTAAATCACATGACCACTGGGATACTATAATGGTCATAAGTGTGGAAAATGGTCATAAGTTACTATTTTCAGTGCCCGTTGTAACTTCGAATGGTCACTAAACAAACTCTTGTAAATCAAAGACTATCTGTATTATTATCCTCTACAACAGGGGTGTCAAACTCGCATAATCACATTGTCATCACGCGACATATTGCGACTTTCCCCCCTTCGCCAAAATGGAGGTGGGCATGGCCAGTGCATGACGCATCCTGCCTGTGGGCCATGAGTTTGACACCCCTGCTCTACAACGAGTTCTAATAGTCATTCTGTTGTCTCTTTTCTGACCTGACCTACCTTGAAGACTGACGTTGAAGGGGAGAACTGCTAGTCACAATGGTAATATATAGGCATGATGCCTACCTGTACCAATTTTGTGGATGCAGAAATACCACTGTAAGAGCAAAATTCTTACTACATAGGCATTAATTTATATTCAGTGCAGACTTTTTTACGGTCATGTTCTTATAGATGAACACTTGCAAATTAGTTGTGTTTTAGCTTTTTTATAATTGAATGAACAGATTTGCAAAACATACCATTCAGTTTTTGCCTTCTGCATTCACTTTTCCAGTAAGCATTTCCCTATTGGAACAGATTATATTCTAAATTTTCTAAGCCTTAATTGTAGGGGTTTCCATTTCAGATTTAAAGCAAATGAATTCAGAATGTCCAATTTTGTAAAATGTGTGTTTTATAATCATTTTGGAAGCATTTTGAATTCAAAACAAGTCTTGTTTTGAATGCCAAATACTCTTTCTTTGTGCTTGAAGCACTTCCAAAATCACAGAGACTACTGATTTTGTACTGAAAGCAGATGTTTGAACTTGTAACATAATATTTTTATATCTGAAATTCTTTGAACTAAAAATGAATTACATATCATTAATTACTTATATTATGCACCTCAATAGATGAAATTGTTTGAACTTGCAAGAGCTTTAATTCTAGTTTCCCTGATAACCCATAACTTGGATATCAACAGGAGGATAAAAAAATGCAAAATGGCACACCTAAAAAAAGATGGTTTTCAATTGCATAGTCATGACTATCATTTTGACTTTTTTACTGTAGACATCCCTGCCTCAAAACAAAAGCAGGAAAAGAAGTGAAATTCATTCCTGTCCTTATACACCTTATACCCTAAATTTAGTGGCTAATATAATAGGGTTGTAGTATGAATTTCTTTGGTCAAATAACCACCTGCGATTTTAAAGGACCGACCATTCTTATTCGATTCTTTCTTTCTTTATTTTAAAAAACAGATTTATGTTTTGAGTTTACAACTGTATCATAATAGTTGAAGAACTGTGGCATCTGGGTGATAATTGCATTCTGATCGGCAAACTATTAGGTCATTTTTATGTTTAAATGCTTGCCTATTTCAGAAAAAAAGTGCAGGGGCAGAAGTTAAAATGATGGTATTTCCTTTCACTCATTTATTAGTCATAGTGCAGACTTTGCATTAAAACTTTCCAAAGTTCAGTTTTGTTGTGAATACTGCATTTTAATCAGCTGCGAGAATAAAAGTTGCAAATGTTATAAAACCCATCAGAAGCATATAAAAATTAGGGTCCCAAAAGATGGCAAAAGTATTTTTCATATTTCTGTTTTGTAACAATGAAAATTTTGAAAAATTTTCTTTCTAGGTTGCTAGAGTAGATGAATGTGGGCGAATGCTGGTGGCAGTTGAACTTAGTAACTGGCTAAATGATGTTCACTATGCCCTGCAGTCAGTTGTTAATTGTTACGGCCTTGTAGCTCCCCTGATCTATCACAAGATTCCCTCCAAAGCTCTCATTCAGGTAAGTGTTTTTCTTAAAATACAAGTTTGTATGATGTTTGTTCAATACACTAAAAAAATGTAAGAGTAAAATACGTGACACAAATTGTTGAAGAAGTACATTGTTGTTTCTGGGTCAAAACCAAGCAAGAACTAAGACTCGTCAAAAATATGGAAACTTGATATGAGTTCAAAGATATAAAGGGCAGACATTTTTGTCTTTCCTGGGGCCACTTCTAATAGTGGAAAATACTGGTTCTTTCTACACTGCTCAAAAAAATAAAGGGAACACAAGCAGAAGACATCTGAGATCTGAATGAATGAAATAGCCTTATTAAATACTTTGTTCGTTACATACAGTAGTTTTGTGTTCCCTTTAGTTGTTTGAGCAGTGTATAAACTACTGTATGTAAAGAACAAAGTATTTAATAAGGCTATTTCATTCATTCAGATCTCGGATGTCTTCTGCTGTGTTCCCTTTATTTTTTTGAGCAGTATATTTTAAGGACTTAAAGGAACATATCTGAGTTCATTTTTTTACTGCTTGGATTATAAAAAGGTTATGCTGAAGTATATATACAAGATATAAGACAAACAGAAAGGAAAGATGATAGTAATAAATTACACAATTGAAACTTGCCATTTTTTGTCCATCTGGTGGTGCAGTCCTAGGGAGGGGAATCTAGAGTTCCAAAACTGTGGCTGGGAAGCCACAACAATAGAATTAAATTCTATCAAGTATGAAGACTATTGTAAGACTGTATTGAAGTCTTCAATAATATTGATTCAAAGAAAGCTGCATAAAGATATGATAAAGTGAGTTCTTTTACTGAGCATAGCAGAATATGTAAGATTTTCAGAGAGTAAATCATCACACAAAATGGATAGATAGTGGAGCATGGTAACATGTAGGTTACATTTTTAATAGGAAATTAAGGCAATATGAATTACTTAAGTTTATTTTTTTATTAAAATTGAACTGTAAAAGTTTAAATGGTTAGCTTTACAACTCAAGACTCATTTTTAGTTATTCTCTATGTAATATTCTCTAATGGTACATATTTCTTATTGTATTTTCAGATCATTATTAAGTATCTCATAGTTCTTCAAGAAATTCCAACTATTGTATTCCAAAGAAAATCAACAGGATGCTTTGATGGTATTCAGCACATGATAGCTTGTTCTTGCTTTTTCACAGCAAAGGTATTTATTGTTTTTAAAATATTATATTATTTACGTAGTTTAAAATATTTGAACTTTGTAATTAGGGTATATGAACAATAAAAGAGATATGTGTGTGTGTGTGTGTGTGTGTGTATTATCTGTCTGTCTGTATCGTCTATTGTCTATCTATATCTATCTATCTATCTATCTATTTATCATCTATCTATCTATCATCTATCTATCTGTCTGCCTATCATCTATTTTCCAGTGTGGTTTACAACTAGGATTTCTGATGTCCTGACATCTAAGCATAACTGCCATTGTTGACTTTGTCAAGATCAGCCAAAATTAATTACTACTACTGCATATTGTAACATACTTATTTGACTTATATCCTACCAATTTTAATACATTGGTTCACTGTGGTTTACAGCAAAAATGTAAAAGATCCACTATAAGGAACAGTAAACATCTATAGAAACAGGATTCAAACAAATGTAACATTAGAACATCCATAGTAGGTTTAAAATATTCAAAATTTTTAAAAAACTAAACAGTAACAACAATAAAACTGATGGCATAAATATAATGCGGAAGAGCACTAGAAGAGATTTATTTACTTCTTTCCTGAATTTTGTCAGGCAGTTGGTAAGCCTTATATCAATAGGAAAGTTGATCCATAATTTTGACACTACAATAGAAAAGCATTGACTTCTGAGAATAATCCCCCAACCCTCTTGGTAACAGGGTATCAGTAGTACAGAAGTATGTTGTTCTGGAAATATTTAGGTGCTAAGCCATGAAACAATTTTTATGTGAAAACCATCACTTTATGTTGTATCTGGAAACTATTCAGGAACCAGTGTAAGGTCTGAAGTATTATTATCTTATGTTGCTGATGGCAAGGTGTAATAAAGCAGCTTCTTCTGAGATACTTCGTCTCTGAGATTACCTATACCTACAGGTGAACAGTGACTGGAAAATTAGATATCCACCCATTTGTTACAGATTTCCTCATCATACCTTTGAGGGAATCAGGAAATGATTGAAGGGGAAATCCACACCCCATTCTAAGATTGGTTAAATTATAGGAAGGGAAGCCAAATAAAAGTTTTGAGACGTGATATCTCAGCCAAGGTAAAAGGCAATTGGTCAACTCCAGGATTAAAAAAATCAATTGGTTATGAGAGTAAGGTAACTATTTCTGGGTGCATAAATCTGTTTCATTATCTTTTGTTTTGTTATGGCCAGCTGCTCCCCACTATACAGAGGTTATTCAGAAGCTAGGTCACTGCATTTGGACCAATTATAGCTTCTGTGTAGTCTTTAAAGATAACTGTATATAGAATGCAGAAATTCAATTTTCTGGTGATAAAGTCACTACAGTTAGGTTCCCTTGCCCTAAATAAAACTAATTGCCCAGCGAGTTAGTTAGGAAAAGGCTTTCTGGGCATGGCCTTCATCTGCTACTTTATTGGGAGCTATGAGTTCAAGATAATCCCAAAGTCACAGATCAGCTCTTTCAGAGGTAATACTTCTCTATCAAGAAACAACACTGGATACATAATATTGCCCCATCAAGTATAAATAATAACTTTGTCTCCCTTTATTTGTTCTGCCCCATCCAGACACTTTCAGGCTCCAGACACTGGGAAATGACCTTCACATTGTCTCTAATCCAACCCAGAATGGCTATACTACTAAACTGGATGTCATCAACATACAGATAGTTCTCAACAATTGGGCCCAGAATCATGGTCATTGAGTGAAGTGTTCATTAAGCAAGACCCCACATGGCCACTTTGCAGAATGACTGCAATCCCAGTTCTCTCAGTTGTAGTCATTAAGTGGAGTGCTGGAAAGGGAACCCAGGCCTCCCACCAAACCCTACAGGCCTGGGTTCTCTCCCTGTTCCATTGGGAAGAATGTGAGAGATATCTTGGCATGCTTTAGGAATGGACTTCAAGTTGGCAAAACTGCTAGCAAACAGTATCATTCGGAGGCCTTACCCATAGTCTTATTGTATTATGGCAACAGACCATTAAGAAAGAATAAGATCTCATTGCTGAATAAGATCAAAATGGAAGGGAAACATTTTCACAAGGCTTGAGCAGATAGAGGTTAAGCACTCAATGATAAAATAGCATCCATCTGATAATGTTTGGATATGCTGGGAAGGGAAAAACTGTAAGTAGAAACTTTTTTGGTTCTTCTTGCAGCAGAATTCTTCTGATCACGATCCCCATATATCCCTGAATACAGCTGCTTTGGATTTAAAGCTTATTTTATAAGTTGGCACAAGATTTTGATTTTTTTAAAAAAACATGTAATATCCATTTAAAAAATATTATATATTATATAGAATTATATGATATATATTTAATAGATACTGCGCTTATGGAAAGAATATGAATTAGCAATAGTTATTATCAACTATGGGAAAAGGTTGTTGGATTGCTCACAAGCACCATCCCAAGTGACTATAACTGGAGAAGGAGCAGATGAAATACTAGAAGAAGAGGTAACTGCTTTTGTTTTTCATTTCCTCTCTTTTTATATGATTTATGATACATGTACATAGAAAGAAAAGGTGAACTGATTAAGTCTTCAAGGAGTTGACAAAACTCAAGTGGCTGTCGCATTGTCTGTTTCTCCCTCTCTTCTGTTGTATAGTTTAATATTTTGCCCTGTAGTATGAGGCAGAAAACTCAGAATGGGGATTAGAGCTGTATGTGGATAGTTAGATGTAGTGGCATCTTTTGGGCTCATAAGCTCTAAATGAGGTAACATTTAAGGTAACATAATCAAGGCTGTTGCAGATTATGTATTTTCCATTTAAATAAATGTAGTATTTACAATAAAGCAAGTACAACTAACTCTATGGAACAAGTCTACTAAGAATATGGTAATAGAGGATCTTATTAAAAGCAAGCAACTAGGTAGAAGGAGAAAATGATGAAAGTAAATGGTTGGAAAAGGAGCAAGATAGACAGAGAAGCCATTTTAAAGAGAACAGTAGCACAATGGCTCTCTCTCTTACCACCTTTATTGCATAGAGGGTGAATGTCTGGAGTAAATAATTTCTTCTGTCCATGAAAGATCTCTAGACAAATGATAAAAGATAAACATGCTTTTGAGTGCTCCTTACTACATGGACTCATCCATGCAGTTCTCCTCGCAACAGTATAGAAATGGCCTAACAGCCAATTTATAGTCTTAACTTTCCAAACTAGCCTACAGCCTGGAATTCCATAATGGTTTTCTATTCAAGTATTAACTAGGTTTGATTCTATTTAGCATTGGAAGTTAGATACAGGAAGTCCTTGTTTTAGGATCACAGTTGGGACCAGGACTTCCACATTTAAGTGACATGATCATAAAATGAGACATCACATGACTGCATTGCTTAGCAGTGTCAAACCTGGCAATCCCGGTTGCAGTTGTAACTCCAGACATGTGGCCTACATGTGGGAAGCAGAGGGAATCTCAGGTATGGAGTTTGGTTTCCACAGGGAGATGGAGGCAGTTTGGGAGGCGTGGCACATGCAACATGCAAGTTAGGAGACTGCGGCATGAGCTCAGGGAGGCTGGAGAAAGGGTGTGCATATATATTTGTGAGTGCAGACCAGGAAAAAAATATGCTATAAGCTGGGTGCCTCTTGGTCCACTGCAGCTCTGGGGCTGCAAAAAGCCGCTGCACCTTGAAAGGCACTAGCAATGCAGTGTAAAGCGGCTATACTCTGGGAAGCTCCAGTAGTACAGCACAAAGATGTCACGCACAGGCAAACACAAAGAGTCTTTGTGGCATACCACAGGTCTGGAACTGCAAAAGGTCCTCAAGCTGCAAGACAGTGTAAAGACCTGCCCCACCCGCAATATGGTGCAAAGGGGCTTCTTTGTGTGCTGTAGCTTTGCAGAAGCCCATAACCTATGGTGCAAAGCACAGCCCAGTAGAATGGTACAACAGGGTTTCTTGCCACATTAGGAAATTGCAGCTGCCCCAGCCCAGTCATAGTCACCCTTGCCACTCTGCACTCTAAGGCCCCTTCTGCCCTCTGCTCCAGTGTCCTAGCTGCCCACCATCTTCTTTCTCCTGCTGCTGACAGAGTTCATCCAGCCTGGCCCTACACAAGACAGCTTCTAGCCATTTGTGACTTTTTTCTTCAATCTTGCAAGGAATCCATTGTGTGCAACCTGGGGAAGAAAGCCTTGTGTTGCTGGCTGCTGCCTCACAAAGGGCCAGACATTCTTGGTCAGCAGTGGAAGAAAGATGGCAAAGATCAACTAGGATGTTGGCATCTGTGGAATGCAGGGGGCCAAAAGGGCACAGATGGGGGAAGATAGGCAGATGGAGTGAGTTGAGGTGCACCTGTGGTGTTAATTGCTGGCTGCCTGCCAATTGCCCAAATTTTGATCATGTCACCACAGGGCTGCAGCGGTGGCCATAACTTTGAGGACCAGTTCTAAGTTCCTTTCTTCAGTGCCGCCATGACTTCAGGTGGTCACTGAATGAATGATTGTTAAACAAGGACTACCTGTAAGGTTGGCTAGGGTTGCTCCTTACTGAAACCAAAAAACAAATAGAGACTCTGGAAAATTAGAAATCATAGTTGGTGAGTGGATTGGAAGACTTTATTGTGAATATTTTTCCTCTGTTTGTAGAGGGGAATGAGAAATGAATGAGATTACTATGCAGACTGAGCAGGACTAGAAGGCTAGTATATATAGCATAAACAGAACCCCAATGTAACAATAACTTATACATATATAATTGGAGGTAAGAGCATGTCATATTCATAGATTTATGTTTCCAGAATAAATGGTATAGAGTTATGTTTATTGAGCCCACTTTACTATAGTTTTGAGGGCTAGCTTATTTATTTATTTTTATCCTGCCTTTATTTTTTTATAAATAAGTCAAGATGACAAAACATACATATTGTCCTTCCTCCTCCAATTTGACCACAGTAACCCTGTGTGGCTTAAATCTTAGTGCCTCATTGATTTCATTATCATATGGTCTGGAATTCAAATGAAACACAAACTTGTGTTCTGAAATTAGATTAAAGTTAAATAGAAATATTTACTGTTTTGTTTATTATTGACCTGTTGTTTTTGTCTTAATTCTGCAGCTAGCTAAATGCTACTGTATATAAAATGGTGAATTAATGTATTATTATAGATTCCATCTAAAAGGCTGAGAGCAGGTACAGTTGCAAAAGTAAGTGAGAATTTAGAAGTTCTGGAAAACATGCTTCTGAGACTGATAAAAGCAGGTATATATTTAATATGAATATCTTGGTCCTAATACCTCTGTTACTGTTAAGATAATAATATATTTAAATATGTTAAGCCCATTAAGTATATTAAGCATTTAATCATATATCCTAAATATGTTAGGTACACTTACTCTTTTTTTAAATATGGAATTTAAAATCTGTCAATCTGTAATATGCAAAATATATTCCTGCATGTAACATTTTATTTACAGTCATTTCTGTGGTCTTCAAAGAAACTTACTTTGTATTTGAGAACTGAGATTGTTGGGGGCAATATGCTGACTCTATAAATTGCTTAGAGAGGGCTGTAAAGCACTGTGAAGTGGTATATAAGTCTAAGTGCTATTGCTATTGTTATTTAGATAACAAAATAATCTAAATATCCTGATTCTATTTAAGTATTTTCTAAACTAGACAACCAAGCCCTGTTGAGTCATCATTCAGAGATATTTCATTACTGCAACAGAGAAACAGAATGATCATGGGCAAACAAAAAAAGCAGTGGGAGTGGGACTGACTTCCAACTTCCTGCCAGCTTTCCCATTAAGTTTCCTTGTGGGAAGTTCTCATGAACTTCAAAAATTCCCATTCCTCTCCTCTCCCCTCCCCCTCCCCTGAAGTGAATTTAAATTTGGATATGTTAGAATATTTCAGTGTAGAAAAAAATAGATTTAAATGGAGCAATATTCCAATCTAATGAAGGATATATAACTTGATTAGGAATTCTGGCTATAGCAGACACCGTGATGATTAATAAATGAAATATGTCTATTAAAATATTTGATCACTAATATTAAAATGGCCTTCTTTTGTAATTTGTTTCTTGTTCCACAACCACTTTTGAGAATGTGTTAATCAAAATTATTACATATCTAGTTGATCCTAAATAACCACCGATGTATATTTGATACATATTTTATGCTCCACAAAACTGGTAATGATATAGCTAAAATTCATGTTAAATTTTGAAGGAAAAAAAACCCAAGTGTATATAACAACTAGAAGTAGAAATTTAATAAAATGAGAAAAGTTTATTTGAATGATGTCACTTTTTGATGAAATGTATCTAGTGTATCTGTGCACTTCTGTTCATTGTGTTGAATTTAGTCAAATCTGCTCTGTCTAGGACAAGATCTTACAGGAGAAGAAGATCCTTTATTCTTGTATCCTGTAGTTTCAAATTGGCAACCAAAGACTGCTTATAGGGAAGGTAATTATTTTAAAGTGTATTATTAGCATATTAAGTTTTCCCTCCCACTATATGTGTACAGATTTGAAAATATAATGAGTATAAATTTAAGAAGCAGCTTTTGTGACTTTTAAATAGTTTTCTTTTAAAGAAAACTCTTCAATGCAAATATTTTGTTTTTGGTATATTAGTTGTCTGGCTAACTTGGAGCATACTTTGTAGGAGTCTGTATTTTATGATGGAAGCAGGGTTTTGTTTTTAATGCCATTTTAATAAAGATACTGCATTTTCAAAAAAAAAAAAAAAAAAAAAGTGAGCAGCCAAAAAAAAAATCCTGCTTCTTTTAGAAAACTATTCTTCAGAAGGTGATAGGTTCAGATAGTAGCCCCTCTAGTAGCATTGAAATTTACACATGAGTAGGTAGACTTTTTGGTCCAAAAGTTGTTTGGGACATTAAATGTTTTAAGCACAAACTTACATTATTCTAGGACATGGGTGACAAACTCACCACCTCACATTGCCATCACGTGATGTTTCGTGACGTTTTTCCCCTTTGTGGAGCTAGGGTGGTGTGGCCTGTGTATGATGCCCCTGGGCCGCCAGTTTCACACCCTGTTCTAGGAGTATAAGTAAAGTTAGAAAGATATATAAATTTTTAGAAATCATTCTAAAGCCTATTTGCCATATTAGGGATGAAATATAACTTCTGAAGATCTAGGAGTAATTAGCAGTATGTTGTATTAATTGCCAGTGAGATTTGATGATAACTTTTTGTGATTTACTTTCAAATTTCAAAACAATTTACTTTCCTGTGATTAGTCTAGGAAGGAGTTAGATGCATTGTGTTTCTATACTTCACTACCATTAATCACTGTTACATGTGGTCTTTGGAGTCTCTGTTGTTCGAGTTTTGATTTCTGCATAACCATGCAAACTTACATTTTTAAAATTAAGGCAATACCCTCTCTTAACTAGGAAAAAATTGCCACAACACAGGGATATGTCGAATGTAAATAGTTGTTGTCATTAAAATATATCAAATAATTTTAGTGTTTTAAATTTTTAACCATAAAGAATTTTCTCTATAACAAGCATTATTTTATTATTTTTTAATGTCAAGCTTTAATTTTAGCTTTGGATGCAGATTAAAATTTAAGATTTTAGAAATCTTTTTTCAGATGTTATAAATTTATCTATTTATTTGATTTATGAAAATTTATATTGCTGCCTACTCGCACATGGTGATTCATGGCAGCTTCCATTTAAAGTGATACAAATTAGTTTGATTAATGGAATATTCTATCAAGAATAGTAATTAAAAATTAAAAGTACTACACATATAATGGTATGGAATAACTACACTTATTTTACGTTTACACAGTACTGAAATTTAAGAAGAACTCTCGCTTCCTTGAATATTTTGTCATGCTTGTATTCAGAGCACTAAATGAGGATAAATTGTTGCGAATAATGGAGTGGTCTGACGATGTTCAAGAATATCTTAAAAAGTAGGTGTAAAGTGTTTTGAATTGACAAAAGTGTTATGGCCATGCAATTGCAGAAACTATAACTGCAATGATAGTTGATCTGTTGTATGTACACTGAGAGCTGTACATACAAATTCCTTGTGTGTCTAATCACACATGGCCAATAAAGAATTCTGTTCTTCTTTCAATTGCACCATAATATTTTTTCATATTAATATGGCTGCTTAGAGATATTTCCAGAACTTGTAATGGACATTAGTTATTATATCGCAAGACAAATATCTAGCTAGGGAGTTAAGAAAGAAGAATTGTATATGTTTGTTTCTTATTTGTCTCTTTCTTAACTCCTTTTCTATGATGAAATCAGACTAAAATGTTTTGGAGCAAAGCACATTCAGCCTTTCTTCATCTAAAAAACTGTGTATTTTGTTTACAAAAAGATGTGACAAAAATTATTGGTGAGGTAATGTTCTAAATATTGAAAATAAATATTCAGAGCTGCTGCTGCTTTTTGAAAAAACCTAATGTAGTAATGTTAGATGTTTTTGTTTACTAGGAGGAATAGATTCCTTCTTGGTATCAAACAAGTTCCAAAAAAGAGAAAGAAGATTCGTGGATCTGCAGAAACAAGAAGGACCACAACACAAGATGTTTCAAAGGTTAATTTAATAATAATAAAAAAAGATTTTGGGAACTGTTAGTTATTTGAATAAAAATTCAGTAAGCAAAAGTTACAATTTATGTCATAGTTGAATATAAAATCAAATTCTGAAGTCAGAAATTATAACTGTGTTAACAATCTACTCTACCAGTGAAAATAAAATATATAAAATAATCTCATGTAGAATATGTTATATATTAATGTCTACTTTTTAACTCATGTAAGGTATGTGAAGAGGTATGTTATTTATATCTATGGTATTTGTGCTGACATAACACACTTTGGATGTTGGGAAGATACAAATTGGGCCATATGCATGAATGCATTTTGTAATTATACACAATATAAATTACGGAAATGTAGTTCTAAATTAAACGGAACAGTTAAGATTATAGCTTTGATGATTGAGAAGATATCTCAAGGATTTATATCAAATAATAAGGATAGGTTACAGCAGGAGCTACAGACTAATAATCAAGCATGAAAGTAGTCAGAGTTTTTTCCCCACATGATTTAGCACAGGTACATCAGGCATGTAATAACATGAAGTATTATATATATTGATTTAGAGGGGCATGCATAACACTTAAGTTTTACTAGGTTAAAGTCTTAATCCATCCTTATGTTTAACCTGATCTATACTCCAAATACTTTCCTTTAAGCCTATTTACTTACTTACCTACCAAGATTGTAACAACTTCTTTTCGTTTTTTTCAGACTGAGTTCAGATCACATAGAATCTGCTTTTATTTATGTCACTGTTTGTTTTACAGGCTGTAGTTTTTTCTCTTTCTTTCTTTCTAAACCACGTTCACTTTCAAAATCTTTTTACAGAGGCTTTTTTGGCTAAACGTGCCTAAATCTGCACTTCTCTCTTTGAGACATTCAGCAATGATGAAATACTTAGAAGTAAACTGCATCTCACCGCAGACCTTAAATTATTTCTCCTTTGCTTCCACATACTGTAGCTCTCAGTTGACTTTACTTCGTTCTGTCACTCTATGATAATTCAACTTTTGTCCTGTGCCTTGTCATTTCCTTGCCTGCCTTATGTCTTTTGTCTCATTTAGACAAACTAATATGATCTACTTCCAGCTCCATCAGGGTGTTTGCAGCATTGGCAGCCAATGAGCATCTCAGTAACCAAACCATTAGTAATCTTGTTCTCCAGCCATTTTGGCCTTTATTTGAGTTTTGTTTGTTAATTGCTTACAAATAAGCAGAGAATAGAGATTCCTGTTTCTTTGAGAAGAGTTGTGAATCTATTTTATCAGAAACTTGGTTTCCCTTAAAAATACTGGTGAGAAAATGTGAACAATTTTCCAGTCTATTACAGCTGTGCTTTTCTCTATATATTCATGTGAAGGAAGAATTTTCATTTTCCAGTCACTTCTGTGCAAGTTTCTTTCTATAATGTGGGAAGAATATCTTAGGATCTTAAGTAGACAGTCATGTGAAAAAGGAAGTATACCTTCTTTGAGTTCTATGTTTTATGTATCAGGACATAGTAAAAATCATCTGGTCCTTAGTAGTTCTTAAAAGTAGGTACTCAAGTGAACAACAACACATGACATATTACACCATGTCATTTATTTTACAAAAAGAAAGCCAAAATTCAGAAACCAATTTAACAAAGTGTGTAAAATATCATTGATTTCACATGAAACTTATGAAGCAAATGAAATTTATAGCAAAATAATGCTTATTATCATAAAACAAAAATTAGAGCCTTGGGTGGGAGGGAGATACTAGATGTTCAAACTGGTTTTAGGAAAGTGAAAGGAATGGGAAGCATTATTGCTGATGCAAACCGGATAATTGAGAAACCCAAAGAATATCAAAAAGAAGCTGGCATGTGTTGTAGTGATATCTACAAAGATCAGAATCATGCTAGGCTCAAATTATAATTTGAACCCATTTTATATGAAGACTTAGTTCTGTGAAGTCTATAATGTTGGGAAAGGTAGAAGGAAAGAAGAAGAGAATGACCAGTAACAAGGTGGATGGATTTAATTACAATTGTAACTGTTGGAAGACATTAAACGACCAGATTAGAAATAGATTCTCCAGATTCTGCAGGAAAGAAAAAAAAATCTTATTACTATGTTTGCATATATGTATGTATTTATAAAACTTGTACATTGCCAATTTTATTACAATTCATTATGATTGTTCATTATTCTCAGAACATAATTTGTTTTATTTTATGAAGCTATTATGATGACTTATTTGAAATCAAATGAATGTAGATTTGTTGTTTGAGCTCTTACTGGGCTCTGGGTAACTGAAATTAGTGTTTTGAACATTTATAATTATGATATCATGATTTCTTTATATAGGCCACAGAATTATCAACACCCAAGAAGAGGGGTTCCAAGAAGAAAAGTCTGCCTAAACAATCTATTAAATCACCAGGCCAGGTCAAAACACCTGGTGGGAAACGGTAGCTTATGTATTTTTTCCCCTATAAATTACAATGGTATTTATGTTTAGGAATTTATGACATATTACAATTTATGACAGAATGCTGGATAATTTTTGCTTTCATTAATATTCACTAAAGTTCAGTAAACTTCCAGGCTAAATTTTAGATGACTTGAAATAAGTTTTATTTCTTTTAAATGTTGAAATTATTTGAATTATTTGAGCAATCCAAAACAAAATGGAGTTTCTCAAACAGCTAATTGGAAGCAAATTTGATGTAATGTGTAAATTAGTGGACCCAGGTTGTTGTCCTCCCAGAGATACAGAAACTTGCTGGCTGGGGATAGTGGTGTTTTTGGGACATTACTGTCCATCAACCATAGACTGGGAAACAAAAATGCATCTGTCCATCCATATAGATTTGGTATAATGGTTAAGACACCAGGCTAAAAGTGGAGGACCATGAGTTCTAGTTTGCAGGGTGACCTTAGACGAGTTCCATTTTCCACACGAAAAACAACCTTGTGAATTTTCTTCATTGTCTCCAACTTTGTGATTCCAAACTCTAACATCTTGCTTGCATTAGCATCTTGCATTAGCATCTTGCTTGCATGTTCTGTTGATTTTAGATTGAACTTGATTTCCTGTTATTCTTCATCAGTGGTGGAATTTATGGTTGGATAGCAATTATATTAAAAGGGCGTCCGAGAAATCTAATTGATATTATTGGACATTGATTGAATCATATGCAAGTACTATCTTTGCCACTGGTAATCCTTGACTTACAATCGTAATGCAGTCTGTCCATTACAGTCGTAAGACATGATGGTCCTAAAGTTGGTCATCACATGACTGACCCAATTTTATGACCTTTTTTTGCAACCCTCATTAAGTGAATGCTGTGGTCTTTAAAATGAACCAATTGATCACTATAGACTGGTTTTGCCAAAAAATGGAAGTAGATGCCATTTTTGGCAAAAATGTCATAAAGTGTTCCATGTGACACTGGGACGTTACAAACAGCTGTAAATGTGGTCTGGTTTCCAGGTGTCCAAAATACAATTCACATGATTGCGAAGCGGATTCCTGGTTGTTGTAACTTTAGAACCAGGTCATAAATACCCGTGCAGAGTTCTGTCGTAACTTTGAACAGTTGCCAAGTGACCCACCGCAATTTGAGGACTACCTGTATATATTTCCTGACTGAGAAACCAATACTATTCCTTCTTTGTTTTCCATGTTCTGAATGGTTAACATTATGATTTTTCTGTTGAAATCCCAGTGCATTATGATTCTCTAATGTTAATAAGTTCATTTCATCTTTCACTGTTGGGCTGGTCCGTATTCATGTTTTACATTCCACATTACCACTGTAATTCTGTCTTGGTGGCTTGGATTTTCTTTTCCTTCATGGCAACAGTGGAAGCTAGGTGTCTCAAAGGATTTAACTTAGTTGCTTCATAAACATTGGTTGCCCTAAAGATCCTCAGCTCTTTTTTGGTAGCATATTAAATGCCACCAAGTCTGAAGGGGCCATCATTTAGCACTATATTATTAATCAGTTTATCTTGTCTATCCATGTGGGTTTTGTTTACCAGTGCATTCTCCCATATACTGTGAAGTGATGCTGTTGCTGTTGTCACTAAAGTGATCATCAACATTCAGCATTTTCCTTATCACAGTGATAGAGCCTGGATAGCTCAGCAGACTAATGCATTGTAATTTAACTCCAGCTGTCTGCAATTAGTAAGTTCGAATCTTGCCAGGCTCAAGGTTGACTCAGTCTTTCATCCTTTCTAAGGTAGGTAAATTGAGGACCCAGTTTGTGGGGGCAATAAGCTGACTTTGTAAAAATATACAAAAGTATGAAGGCTATTGCTTAACGCATTGTAAGCCGCCCTGAGTCTCCAGAGAAGGGCGGCATATAAATCAAATTAAAAAAAAAAAAGTTATGGAAACTTGGCTATCTCCATTACCAAGCAAAAAGTAAGCAAAGTCATCTTAACAAAAACCACTGCTTTAAAAAGGCCCTTGTGCCTTGAAATTGCTAACTAGAAACTTCATAATATACATGATGAGGGCTTTATAAAGATATGTCCCCCTAGATCTGGTCTGCGGAACAAGCTGGTCCCTCTTCTAAAAGTTGTTCATTTCTTCTCTATATGCATTCCTTAGACTAAATTAACTAAACTTAATTTATTAATGTGATGAAACATTTCTTTGTAGATGTAGATATCTACAAAGAAATGAGTTTCAAAGAAATATATTCATGGTCCATATCCATATCTATATCTATATCATCAGGAATGTAATTGTTTCTATAGTCTTAAAATACATTTTTCTCCAATGATTGCTTATCATTCAAGGTGCTGTTCCTATGATTTTATTTAGGAAACAAATAGAAGAAAAAAGAAAATTTGCTTTTGAAATCCTGATAATTAAGCTAAATATATGTTCTGATGTCTACATAAGACGAAGAAGGTTTCGTCGGCTATATAATGAAGAAATGCCATGGCGAGCTCAGCTTAACATTTACCTGGCAATTGTTCACTTTAATATGTTTAAAAAACGGACACAGGAGCTCTATAGTGCTGAAAATTTTGTACAAAGTCCAGACAGGTAAAAAGTGAAAAGTGAAAAGAATAACTAATGGGGCAATTTAACTGTGTCAGCCTCTTATTTCAAAAAATGTGTTTTAAATATATTTTAAAATTCTTGTGTTACTGGCTTATTTAAAATGTCTAGGACAAATATCAAACCAGGATACCAAAGACATTAAAGGAAGTGCCAAGACCAAAACAAACATATTTTTTATTTAAATTGTTCTCATTAATTATTTCTAATACTAAGAGTCTTTCCCCATTGGCTCAGTCAATCCAAATGATAGGAATGATCTCCCGAATCTGATTCACAAAGGAATTGCTTTCATTGGGCACCTTTTATAATCTTACAGCCTCTCTCTCCTCCTCCTCCGCTCCCAGTTTGCAAATTTTCAGTATTTCTGCATAAATATGACCTAAAATAATGTTTTTCACACAAGACCTAAAACTAGATAAATTATATTAGTCAAAAACATTATACTTGTTCATTTATTTCATTGAGGAAAATGATCCAAAGCAATATATTTGTGTGTGGCAAAAATATGTGAACTTCCAGGAGTATCAGTACATTTGAAGGGTAAATTAGAGTCAGTTATTTCAATCAGTGGAGCGAATCAACCGTGAGCATGGGAGATCCTACCTTATTTAAACAACAGAATTATAAGTATTCACTAGCACAGATATGTGGAATTTTGTCCCAAGCAAAGGAGATTTCTAAGGACCTTTGAAAAACAGTTGTTGATGCTCACTAGGAATAAGAAAATGTTGCAAAGCTATTTGCATAGAGATTGGCCACTACCAGTCCACTGTCAGGTAGATTGTGTACAAATGGAGGCAATTCCTCAGGAGTGATTGACCAACTAAGTTCGCATGAGGAACAAGGCATGTAATACTAGGACAGGGGTGTCAAACTTGTGGCTTGCAGCCCGGATGAGTCATATGCTGGCCACCCAACCGGGCCACCCCCGGTTTAGCGAAGGAGAAAAAAGTTACAATATGTCACATGATGACAGTGTGATGCGGCAAGTTTGACACCCCTGCTCTAGGAAGTCTCAAAGAAGCCCAGGGTAATTTCTAAGAAACTAAAGGCATTGAACAGAGAACTTTGAATCCATAGAGCCATTTGGAAATACTTGAGCTATGGAAGCAAATTCCCACCCACTCTGGATGCTCACATCCTTTATTGTTCTTTGCTGAAGCCATATTTTAGATTTTCAGAAAAAAATCGTTGAAGCAATAAGAGAAAGACTTTGTGAAGCAACTCTTCAGCCTTTGCATAAGATAACAGGTTTTATACAGCTATTGTCAATTCATGACTTTGATGTTGTGAAACTGGATTCTATTCATGAAAGTTTCAATAAAATCTGATATCTCAATGAGAGCAACAACAGATTCACCTAAACAGAATTCTTAGAGAATTTCTCCTTAGGTTCTGTCCAGTTTTCAGCCAATGCCCTAGTATTTCCAGTGGTTGTCTGATGGCTCAAGTATTGGCAATTATATTATTTGTGTAATGTTGGCACCATGAAAATGATGTCAGTTAATGAAAAGTAGTAATTTGTAATATTTGTGAAATGACATCATACAAATGATGGAAATGTCCTTGATATGATTTCCTTTTCAGTTTAAAAGAAATATGTGACTAATATTAGCCTCCTTTGATTTGTCCATCAAGATGAGAGTCAATTATAACTTAATTAAAATGATGCAAATTATTTATTTATTATTTTTCTGTACTGGTCTTTGATCAAAATGAATTATTACCAGTACTATAACTGCTATTATAGCCTTTGTAACAAACGAACTCAGATTTTTCTATATACAGTAAATTGACAGAATGTCGATTCAGATTTGTCTTGCTTATATTGACAATTTAAATACTGGAAAATTTTCATTTAAATTATTTAATAAGAGCTGGTTGCTGTCACCTGGCTATTAAAAGATGCAGTTCAGAATGTTAACTTCTGACACGAATAAAAAAAAAACAAAGAATGTTAACCAATATAGTCGAGGCTTATCCTATTGTTGCCACACTTTAGACTATCCACAGGATTGTTAACATGTCTTTAGATGAGGGGTGTCAAACTAGTGGCCTTTGGGTGGATGCGTCATGCACAGGCCACACCCACTCCAGCTCCGCGAATGGAAAAAATGTCATGAAATGTCATGTGACGGCAATGTGATGCGGCAAGTTTGACACCCATGCTTCAGATGAAGTATTCTGCATCAAGAGTGTATAATGATAATATAATATTACTACATTTCAATTATTAAGTATGTGCTTGTGTTTGTGTATGTTTTTATTTTGCAGTTATAATGATCTCAACCCTGAAATATTCTCATTAAGCAATTCCGGCACAATCATGATAGCATCAGAGGAAGAAAACACAGATTTTAAACATCTGTCTTTTAAAAGAATATTTTCAGAAAAAATCAGTCGAAAAACTGGTAATACTATAAATAATAAAATGTGAATTTTCAACTATTGTGTTTTATGCAGTTATTTATTAAATTACATTAAGACATCCACAGTAATCCTTTTGGATCCTTGGTTCCAGTACTTTAAGACAGGGAACAATAAAATTAGTATTGTTGCATGTTGACTTTTGGAATGATTTTAAAATATTTTTTTGAATGGCTAACCTTTGGTGGCTAGGTTTGAGTCAATGGAACACATAAGCCATTAACACTGAATGTTTTTGGGGCAATCACTGAATTCTAATTTTGGAAGTGTCTGAAAATGTGCTCTAAATATGGTTTTTCAGTATGCATAGATAATTATACCATTTAACTATGTTGCTCTAGCCGACTTTCTGATTCCTTAAGGAACATTTCTAGTGTGCATGTTTTTTCTTTCATAGCCAATGTCTTAATTCAATCTATTCTTATCTAAAGTCTAACCATACATTTGTACATTTTATCTTCTGTAGTCTTACTTATATCTTGTATATTTGTTCCTGGATTCTTTGTTCTATATGTGCATTATATTTTGAATCATCATTCTATTTTCTTCCTCTTTTCTCTCTTTCTCTCTCTTTTCTATTTTGCAACATTTTCTGCTTCTGGGATTTTAATGGCTTTTGGTTGTGGATTCTTTCCAATTATCTGCCTTGGGCTCACTATAGAAACTTTACTGTTTCTGTCTCTCCAGTAGTTATTTTATTCTAGATGGCCATTTGATCTTAATCTGCATTACCACAAACAAGGATCTGTTTGTCAGATAATAGATAACAGTATTGCATCTTAAAAACCATAGTTATTATATTCAGATATTTAAAATGAGAATTGATATAGTGAATATTTAATATCTCAGAAAGATTTCCATAACTCCTTAAATAGTAGCTGTGCTGTTTTTAGAATTAACCTTTTCTCAGTTTTATATATTTAAAAGATTTCATATGTCCCTGTGGGATAGATAAATATGTTTTTCCCCCTTCTGACTCATTTATTCTATTTCAGTATTCTTTTTTCCTAGATTGAACATTTATTTTTCATTCTGCCATTTCTTCTGTCTGGTCTAACATATTTTCAAACTCAGTATCTGTAAATTCATATTTATATGTATGGAATACATGGAGTGACAGTACAACTAGTCTTACAGTAAACTTCACATTGTTGATTTCTCTTTCAAAAGCATTATAACTATGTCCATTGAACATATTTGAAACTTAAATTTGTTGTTGCCTAGAATAGCTTCCATTATAAGTCTAGTAAGAAAACGGCATTTTTAAGGATCTGTCTGTGTTGGTTTGCTAATCTCTGGAGTCTGTGATTTACAGCATTCTATTATCTGGATTTCGTGTTGTTCAGCTGAATTAGGTAGATGTCAAACATTATTCTCTCTTTGGAAGCTGAGAGAGTCACATAGCTTAGCATAAATCAGACCTCCTTGATAGTCAACTTCAAAAAATGGTTGATGAATTCCTCAGAGCATCTATAAATTCCAGGGCAAACATCTTATAATTGATTCCAGAGAATATAACTTACATGGATCTATTGTGATTTTGTTTATTGTTTATATTTGGGTGTAGACAGTTACATTGTTAATACAACAAGTCTTGAAGTTATGTTTCAAAAAAATTCATTGACTTAAAGTTACTTCTGTGGAACAAATACAGTTCATGTTGAGGCATTTTGATCATAGCAACAGCTTACCCTGAAAAGAGTACTGCAATTCTTATTTAAATGTACTTTCCTCAGTTTTTACATTTGAGTACTGCATGTCTTTCCTTCTTGAGACATTTCAGAATTCCCAGAATTAATGGAAATGGAAACAAGACTTTATTATTTTTTCCTACATATCTTTAAACAGAATGGCCATTCCATATCATTTGATAGCAACAATATAATGTATCACTGCTAATTCTTCTTGCACATCTTCTTTATTACTAGCAGCAGATAAGTAATCAAACACAGTAGTTCCTGACTAGCTGTTAGAGAAATGCTGAAAAACATTTCTTCAGATTTTTTCTAGTTTGATCTTTTGTTAGGTTGAGAGCAGTTATAAATTTCCGGAGAAATACTTTCCCTGAATATTCTGCTGCCAACAGCTCATCTTCAATGAATATAACCTTCCTTGCTCTTCTTTGCTCAGACACCCCTGATCTTACTTCCCCTGCCTTCGACAATGGGCTTTCCTTGCCTGCTTCTAGCCCTACATTACAAAGTATTTCTTCAGGCACTGTTTCCAGCTCAAGCATACTTGACCACAATAATTGTCTCTCCCCTGAAATTGATGCCATGAGTGAATCCATTGAACTGACCCAACTCTCAACTTCAGGCCAAGATTCAGGTGGGTTGCCACATGCATGTCGGGTACTTGACAATTTTTGAATTGATCATATCCTCACAAATTAGGGAACTATTTTCAAAAAAGTATAATTTACTAACTCACAGTTAAACTTTCACTACATATTGCCAAGTGCTCTATCTGTGGACCTTGAAAAAATTATAAGACTCATATGAATATGGCAAAGTTTATGGACGGATAAAAAAATCAAAACCAGAGTAGTTGTCAATAATCCATGGGAAATGGTAATTTTCATGTAAAGCAAGACAATATACAAACTGAGGAATTTTAAAAGGAAGAATAATCTCATAGCAACTGGTAAGGAAACCAATTGGTTTTCCTTGGTAATATGGATTTGAGATTGCAGTTATAAACATTATAAAAGAAAGTTAATAATTTTCCTATTATCATCTGGACAAGTCGTTTAAAAGGTTTGCTATATCTTCCCTGCCATGCTTATTTTATTTATTTTTATTGAATCAAGTAACCATTGAAATATAACATGCACTATAGCAAGGGTCCCCAACCCCTGGTCTGTGGACTGGCACTGGACTGTGGCATGCCAGAAACTGGGCCGTCTCATCTGCAGGATGCAGGCAGCACGTGAAACCATGCCCACTCTGGTCCCTTTAAAAACCTCTCCCATGGAACCCATCCCTGATGCCCAAAAGGTTGGGGGCCACTGCACTATAGCATTTAATACATATTTTTTCTGGAAAGCAGAGTGAGGAATATATTCTCCAATGACTGAGTGAAGTGATTAACTCAGATTGTACCAAGAACCATCTTTCATTGATTAAAACATCTTGATTGGAGATGTGGGTGTGATGCTTATTTACTTAAAACCCTATCTTACAAGAGATTTAGGTGTATATTCTGTGGCATTTTCCTTTATCTTTGAAAAAATATTATTTTAATAAACTAGTATAACTAAAGACTCACTGTACAGACTTTGTTCTCTTAATAAGAGGATTAGAACTGTTTTTACAATTACTTTGTGAATTGCTGTTAGTTAAACTCAATGATTTTTGTTTGTTTTTATTTTAGAACCCACTATTTCTCCTGATCGTAGTTCTAAGTTGAGTGATAGAGACACTCCTCGACTGCCTCAAGGTTATAGTTCTGTTAAGGAACGTGAAAAAGCAAGTTGTTATTCTGCAGTGCTGGAACATTTCACGAAAACATTCCTGTATTTTAGAAGAGCTGTGGTAATGTTAACTATGTTTACAATTCTAGTAAACATATCACTTCTGATTTTGTTGAGCAAATAACGTTCTCACATTTGGCAAGAATATATTTCTGTCAATTTCTAGTTTCTTGCTGCATTGTTGTTCTGTTTTTGAAGATAAAAACTCTAAGAAAATGATGTAGGATAATTTTAAACTATTTTTAGTTCATTCCCTCTCTTTTCTCATTGATTCATGGAAGTCATTACTAGTCAGGTGCAATCTATATACATCTCCAGACATGCTCTTTTATTTCAGAGCAAGAGGGAGCTGCATTATTATTAAAATAATTTGATTATTTTTCAGGGCTGGAGATACAAGCCTATGACAGCAATCTGAAATGGCTAGGTTGAAAATCAGCCTCTTTGGTGTCAGTTGAGCTATACTGGAAAGACCAGGGGTCTGCAATTTTAAAAACTCAAAAGAGCCATTTGGACCTATTTCCCACAGAAAATAAAACACTGGGAGCCACAAAACCTCGGTGGGCGTGGCCAACTTGACGTCACTCACTTTCACCAGTCACATGACCCCTTAGCCACGCCTACCCAGCCGGTCATTAGGGCAGAGAACCGGTTGCTAAAAAACAACGGGAACCACAAAACCCTTTTGACATCTCTCTCTCTCTCTCTCCCTCCCTCCCTCCCCCCCTCTCCCTCTCTCTTTCTGTATCTCTCTATGTCTCTCTCCCCCTCACTCTGTATCTCTCTGTCTCTGCCCCGCTTCTCCATCCCCCGCCGTTGCCCTTACCTTCTTAGGCCAGGCAAGGAGTGATTGGGAGGGGAGGGTGAGGGGTGGGGCCAGCCAGTGGTGGGATCATCCAACAGGGAGCCACAGCAGAGGGCCCAAAGAGCCATATGCGGCTCCGGAGCCGCACGTTGCAGACACCTGGGATAGACAATGGCTACTTCCAGTTTGAGGAATTCATTACCTTGAGGATTTCACTTGGACATGACACACACACAAAAAAGAATGAAGTGGTATTTATCACAAGAAGAAACTTACTGCAGCAATGGAAAACTTGTCAATGGTTAATGATTGCATTATAACAACCAAATCTGTGTCAACTATCATAGTTGTCCAAGTCTACACTCAACAATTAATGCAGCAGAGCTTGAAATAGAAGTTTTCTAAGTGAGCATCAGAAACTTTGAAGCAAGTGCTCAAAAAGAATATTGTTTAGATCCATGGGTTTTTACATAGGTGATTTTAATGCAAAGATTGGCAGCCAAGCAGAAACATGAATTACTAGAAACTTTTGACATGGGAAGAGAAATGATGTAGGTGATTGTTTGCATCCGTTTGCTTTGCATTAATTTTGCCATGAAAATTGATTTCAAATCATGAATTTTACATTTGGACCTCATCAAATAGATTGCACCATAACAAGATCAATTATGTCCTGTGCAGCCATCAACAGTACATTTCAGTCATCGTCAAGATTATTTTGTATCCATTATCATTCATATTAAGAATTGTTGGCAGCTAAAGTCAGAGTTAACTTATGCGACATCAAAAAGACAGCACCATCCCAAAAGTTTGATATCACCCAAATACCTTCCATGTATGCAACTGAGATGAAAAATATGTTTGAACTGCTGGACACTGCTGAGAATATGCCCAATGCACTGTGGCAAAAAAAAATTCAACCATCATTGAAACAGCAATTGAGCATATGCCAAAATAGAAGCCAGAGAAAAAGCATAATTTATTTATTTTTATTTTACTTCAAATTTATATACCGTCCTTCTCCCTAGGGACTCAGGGCGGTGTACAGCCAAGTAAAAACACATAAATACATAATACATAATACATAGTTTAAGAACAGATTAAAAGGATATATCTCAATTTGGCCCAAAATTTAAAAAGACAAATGAATTTAAAATCATTTAAAATCATTTAAAAGGATTTGTTAGGCCAGCCCGGCTTGTTGAAAAAGGAAAGTTTTAAGGGAATGGCGGAAGGCACGAAGGTCTTGGATTCTCCTTATCTCTGGGGGCAGTTGATTCCAGAGGGTGGGAGCCCCCACAGAGAAGGCCCTCCCCCTGGGGGTCACCAGCCTGCATTGCTTGGCTGATGGCACCTTGAGGAGGCCCTCTCTGTGGGAGCGCACGGGTCGATGGGAGGTCGTCGGTGGCAGAAGGCGGTCTCGAAGATAACTAGGTCCTATTTATTTATTTATTTATTATTTAAATTTGTATACCGCCCTTCTCCCGAAGGACTCAGGGCGGTGCACAGCCAAAATTAAAATACATACAATACAAAATTTAAAATAATTTAAAAGCAGAATTAAATCAAATTGGCTTCCCAAAATATTAAAACCCATTACCCTTAAAATAACCCATTTAAAATTTTAAGCCAGCCCAGCTTGCTGAAATAGGAAGGTCTTCAAAGCTCAACGGAAGGTCCAGAGGTCCAGGATTAGTCGTATTCCTGGAGGTAGCTCGTTCCAGAAGGCGGGTGCCCCCACAGAGAAGGCTCTCCCCCTGGGGGTCGTCAGTCGGCATTGCTTGACCGACGGCACCCTAAGGAGGCCCTCTCTGTGGGACCGAGTTGGCCGGTGGGAGGTTATCGGTGGCAGAAGGTGGTCTCGCAAATAGCTGGGCCCTAAGCCATGGAGCACTTTAAAGGTGGTAACCAACACCTTGAAGCGCACCCGGAAGACCACTGGGAGCCAGTGCAGCTCGCGCAGGAACGGTGTTATGCGGGAGCGCCATGCAGCTCCCATAATTACCCGCGCGGCCGCATTCTGGACCAGTTGGAGCCTCCGGGTGTTCCTCAAGGGGAGCCCCATGTAGAGAGTGTTGGTTTTAATAATTCGTTTTCATATGAAGCCATCAGAATAGGTGAGTGAAGAAAAGCAGCCAAAACATCAGGCAGACAGGAGGGAGCAAAGAGAATGAATGTAAATTTCCAAAAAGCAACAAGAAAAAATAACAAATTTTACTGGGACCAATGTTGCAAGGAGCTAGATGAGGACTGCATGAAGGGCCACACCAGAATACTTTCGTGTAAGTCAAAAAGGATTTTTACATCATTTACTGCTCATAAAAGTATCTTCAAAAACAAACAAGGTAAAGATGTGTCTCACCAACAAGATTTCAACAACAGATGGTGAGAATATAATAGAAGAACTGTATGCCAGCAACAAAGAGGCCAAATTTCCTCTGGATGATAAGGAAAAGGAAGCAGAAATAGAACCTGCCATCCTTCAGGAAGAAGTCATGTGGGCATTGATCTGTCAAGCAACAAAGTCCCAGGTGTTGATACCATCCCCACAGAATTGCTGAGGCCTGTATCACCCACAAGCATCACATTCTTGTGCTAGAAAATTAGGGAAACAAACACACAGCTACAGGATTGGAAACCATGTTCATTCCACTGCCAAAAATGATGACTCCAAGGATTTTTGTCCTCATCCCTCACACTAGCAAGCTGCCAAGAGTCACTTCAACAGTGAGATAGGAAGAATATAAATAAATAAATAATAAATAAAATGAATTCCCATTAATTTATATAACATCTGGTGCTGACTATCAAAAGAAAATAACCAGATGTTCAAGCTTGCTTCAGAAGAGGTCATGGCACTGAGTGCCATATTGCAACTCTACACTGGAGCATTGAAAAATTTCAGGAATATCAAAGAACATTTACCTCTGCTTTATTGACTACAAGAAAGCTTTCAACCCTATTGATCATGATAAGTTGTAGAAAGCCCTAGAAGACCTGTGGCTGCCAACACATTGCCATGTTGGTGTAGTCACTGAAAAAAATCAGGTAGCCACTGTGCAAACATCATATGGAGACATTGATTGGTTCAAGATATAGAAAGGTACGTGGCAAGGCTGCATTCTTGCACCTTTTTTTTTTCAACTACAAGTTGAACATGATTTGAGGAAACTGGAACTTGAAGAATCAAAAATAAGGGTAATCATTGGAAGAATAAACGTAAAAATCTTCGATAAGTTCACAACACAACTTTCAAAAACCAAAGAAGGATTGAAAGATCTGATCAAATGGATTAAAGAAGAAAATGAGAAATTTGGCTTCTTCCTGAATACCAAAAAGACCAAGTTTATGACAACTACAAAGAATGGAAATGTCAAAATAACAATTGAGGGTGAAGGCATGGAAGAACTCACATTCCTAGGATTGCAGATTGATCAAAGTAGTAAATGAAGTCAAGAAAGAAAGTGTTGAATTGCACTGAGTTCTACAGTAATCATGAGCATGAATTCAGTATGGCAAAGCAAGGACACCAGTCTGGCAACAAATGCAGTTTAGTCCTCCCAATTGTGTTTTCTATAGTTACCCATGGTTGCGAAAGTTAGATAAAAAAAAACTAGACAAGAGAAAAATAAACTTGTTCAAGCTGTGGTGTTGGAGAAGCTTCCTGTGCATTCTTTGGACAGCAAAGACAATGAACAAGCAAGTACTGGAGCATGTAAAACCAGACATATTACTGGAAGGGAAAATTCACAAAATTCCACCTTACTTATTTCAATCATGTTATGCAATTAAATTCACGGAGAAAGGCAACTTTGGAGTGGTCAGCAGTAAAAGGAAATGAAGCTGCAAAAAACATAGTGGCTTTATACCAGGGGTATCAAACTCATGTCGTCATGGCGGCATCACTTGACATATTGGGACTCTTTTCCCCTTCGCTAAACCAGGTGTGGGGGTGGCCAGCATGTGACGCATATGGAGTTTGACAGCCCTGCTTTACACCATCAAAACTGACATCAGCCAGAATGTACAACAACTGGAACAAGCTGCACAAGATCAAAAAATGTGGAGAGGGAAGGAGCTGATCCATAGAATTGCTGAAGAATTGGATGTGATTGAATGGAGAGCATTATCATCATAATCATCAGTCACCATTGTCTAATTTAAATGATGTAATAATATAGAGAGGCAGTTTTGTGTAGTGTATAAGGGACCCAAGCTAGAAATTGGGGGACCATAAGTTTTATTTCCACCTTCAGCAGAAAGCCAACTGGGTAACCTTGGCCCAGTCACACACTCTCAGTCTTAGAAAACAGGTAATGGCAAACCATTTCAGAAAACATTATCTAGAAAATTGCAAGGATTTGTCCAGGCAGTCACCAGAAATTAACACTGACTCAAAAACAAATAAGTATAAGATAAAACGAAACAGAACATTTATTTATCACTGCCTTTATAACCCATCTTTTTTCAACAGCAGAAAATAGATACATGGAGTTAGACCCTTTCTTTTATCCTAAAGATAACCCTATGAGTTAGGTTGGACTGAGAGAATGACTAGCTGAAGTCATCTGGTAGTCAGGTGGGGTCTCAAATCTGGGTTTCCATGATTCCAGTCAGTACTTTCACCCGAACTAAAAATATGCTGCTTTCCCTAATACAGTATGTACTGCTTTTGTTGCTTGTTTGAGTAAAGTTTCTTAGCAAAATCAGTACAAATATAGTTAGTGTTTACATCACAAAACATTCACATGATATAACAAAAAAACTGAAATTACTAGGTGGAATCTAGGAAGATACCATCTTGTAAAGTGGCTGGGAATTTAGTCCCTGCAAAGCAAACTCAAAATTTAAATGACAGTTTACAATGATCTGGGATGTAATGAAGAATAAGTATATTGGGCAACTACTCGGAATGTAATGAAAAATAAGCATAATGAAATTGACACTTTTAAAAGGAATAAACACCATATTTTTCAATTCTAGAGAGAATGGGATCTTAGAATATTGTTTATTGAGGACCTATAGCAATTCAGTAGTTTCTTGGGCAAATAAACACCAGGGCTCCTAAAGTATGGTTTTCAAATCTTAAATTGTCTCCCGTAAAACAAAGCTATAAAGTTATAAATTAGTTTTTGTTTTGAGGCAAAGAAAGGCCAAGAGAGAGGAATAAAAGCAAGCATAGTTTCAATCAGAATAATCACAAAAGGATTGAAAATTAGAATTTATTAATGACTTAAACTAATTTAATAATATACTGTAATAGTAGGAAATGTAGGAAATGATGCTTTTGCTAAATTAAGTGGAATGGAATTTGCTTTTTTCTGTAAGGGTTTCTTTTTAAAAAACTTAAATACAACATGGAGCAATTTGTGAACTGGAATAGCTATTTTTAAACAGATCTCTTTCCCAACACAGATAAATAAATAGAAGAGAGCAGAGTTAAAAAATAAGTTCTTAAATGGTCAAAATTACTAATTGATTTTCTGGTTGTTAGTGGTACAAGAATCAGCAGATAGCTGAAATAATTTCTAGATAGCTGATTGCAAAAGAAGTCAAGAACTCTGATTTACATTTAACACAAAGTTATAGTTTGATGTTGATATAGCATGGTATGCTAAGCACTCAATATGGATTAATATTAAAGCCCCCAATCGTTGTCCAACAAATCATAGTTTTAAGAAAAACCTGACTTAATAATAGCAATAGCACTTAGACTTATATACCGTTTCACAGTGCTTTTACAGCCCTCTCTAAATGGTTTAGAGTCAGCATATTGCCCCCAACAATCTGGGCCCTCATTTTACCTACTTCAGAAGGATGGAAGGCTGAGTCAACCTTGAGCCTGGTGAGATTCAAACTGTTGGTAATCGGCAGTGAGCAGAAGTATGCAATAGAATGCAATATGGCATTCTAATCATTGCGCTACCATGGCTCTTATATAATAATATCTTATCTAATAATGTGTTTACCCAGTCATAACTGTTAGAGGAGGCTAAACCATACAGAAAAAGGAATAATAGCTATAATTCAGATTAGAAATCCATGATGGTTCATTCCAATATTATAGTTTATTCATAGACACAAGTGATTTAATTTAATATCTAAAAGCTTTTATGGTAAGCTGGTAAGCTTTTATAATAAGCATTAGGTGCAAATTAATTAGGAAAAAAATGCTCCTAAACCTGTGCATGTTAAAAGAGATGAGAAATATAGTTATCTCATTAAGCTATGGGGGCACAGGTTCTATACCTATTCCTCTACTGATTAATTAGTTTTATTTAGGCTTTGGATGTTTTGATTGCTAATATATGGATGGTTGCATTTCAGTGTATGCTCTTTTATTGTAACTAGTTTCTAATTGTCATTGTGGTATTGCTTTTGTCAACTTGTTTTATCTATATTAGCCCAAATAATGAATTTATGAAATTGTAGGTTGTTCAATTGTAGGTTGGTTGACTGGAATGGGTTATAAATAATTAAATAACTGGCTTACATAAACAACTATCTTGCTCAGTATTGCTTTAGATTTCTGTCCTAAGTAGTTCTAGCAAAACAGTTATAATCTATGTGAAATATATACCAACTAGTATCTTAAGAAAGTGAAATAGTTTATTCAGTAGATTTATTACAAATGAACACACTTAAGTTTGAAGTTCTTTATAAATGAAAATATGATTTATACTTATTATTTAAATCACTGTGATATCCAACTCCTACTTATTAATTGTGCATTTGATAAATATGTTCCAGGTTATTGCCCATCGGGGTCGCCACTGGACATTGCTTCAGAATGCCTGCCGAGACCTTTGGAACTATACTCGGGAAATACAAATGATTATTAAGCATTCAGGATCTTTTCATGCACCTTTTCCTGTTAACAAGGAGATTTTTCTTAAGACCATTTGGTTACCATACTATATGGCATCAGATACATTGCTTGATCTGATAGTTGAGCTTCAAGATAGCAATTATGTTAAGGTAAATATATTTTTACTTCATTTTTACTTCAATTTACATAATGCATGTTTTTATATTTTGAAGCAACTAAACAAAGATTAGCAATGTTTAATTCATTTTAATTGTGTACATTTTTTCCGTGCCTTTACATTTAAAAATATTATTTAGAAAAAGATAAATACTTTATGTGCAATATTATTACACAGTTTTTTCTTATTTCATGTAAATGGAGATGGGTTCATTTCTCAAGAAAGATAAATGTTTTTGAAGATCTGATGTAGCAGTCTTCTTGTACTAGGTTTTGTTTATTTTGTATGCTCCCAGAAGGGAGGTTTTTTTTTAAACAAAGAAGCAGAAGATAATACATAAGAAAATCTTGGGAGAATAGGAGCATGGATTTGCAAGAATGCACTGAATGCAGTATTTGTGCAATTAGAAGTTCTGAATTTGTGCATTAGAATGTATGCCACTTCCTCTGTCTTTGTCTAGGAATCATTATAGTTGGAGGAATTTACTGAAACAGTCTTGGTAGATCTGCTCAACATGGGTTTCATAAAAAATATGAAGTATCTTTCTTTGTTAGTGCCATCTTAGGTAATATCTGCTTCATTATACACAATGTGGGAATGTTCACAAGGACCAGATGTGTCTCTGAGATGCTCATATTCTAGCATCCAGTATAATTAACATGGTGACTGTATTTATTAAAGAGAGAGATCCGTATCTACAGAGAGAAGGCTTATGTTAGTAAACATCAAAGACTAACAAAATATAATATTGTTATGAGTTTGATATTAATGTAAATCAGGGACACAGATTTACATTAATATCACTGCAATATTATTAAAAATTGAAATGTTTATGAACAATATGCTTGATACAATGTAAAGAAAATTTACATAATTAGAAATGCTAGGTGAGTTTGTACTTGATATTTGTATGATGATTTGCTTGCAAAGATGAGATATTATGATCTCTGTTTAAATTTACAGATTATTGAGCCCAAGGGAAATTTTGGTGTTCCAAGCTGCATAGGAGGTATTACTATTGATGAAGGTGGCTCCAATCTTTCTTTTGAACATCCCCTTGACGATGTGAACATTATAGATTTCCAAGGAATACGCCACTTCATTCTGCAAACTCTTGAGTTTCTGTTTCGTTTGAAGAAATGGGAATCCCTAGTTTACATAGCTATGCAATTTAACACAATTACACAGTAAGTAACATAAAGTGACTTTGGGAAGGAAAGGAGTTTGTAAAAATTATATTAACAATATTTATTTTAAAATGCATCTAACTTTTTCTAGTGAGAGATATACGGAGCAAGTAACTCCTGTGTTGGTGTTTGCCCAGAGACAGCTGCAGGAAAAAAAACAACTCTGTGAGTCAGACAATGCACAGTCTTGCTTAGAAGAATTTATCACTAATACTGGAGACAAGGTAAAGTATTTTAGATGATAAAGAAAAAAACTTGTAATTGAAATTTGGGTCAAAAGTTTTAAAAAATATAAGAATATAGTCTTTAGTTATGTATTGGACTGCCTGAAAAAGATTTTTGAGTGGGCACATTAAAGTTGCTCGTAACTTCACAAAAATGATATGTAATTGTTATTTTTCCTAGAGCAAATGAGTAGGTTCTAAATCTCATTTTCTAACAAGAACACCCATCCTTTACTCTCAGACTGGTTAGTGAATAAAGAGGGCAGACTTAATGGGAATTCCATATGAACCAACTTCTTTCCCTGTCCTTTTTCATTATTTAATAAAACTTGTTTTTCTGAACCTCAAATGTATTCTAAGAACAGAATTAGCTAACAGGTATCTGTTTATTTTTTTTTCTTGATTGGGAAAAGCAGTCTTATCCTCCATATCACTTGGTGGGGATAAAATGCTATGGTTCTAAGCAACAAGATTATAAGTTTGGGACCATGCATATCACCTCGATTTCCAGCTAGGTTGGGCATGTTGAAGAGAGCTGACACAATAGGAGCATGGCAATGATAGAATTGTGAGTTCTGATTAGTTTGGGAAGTTCAGGTCAGATTACTATGTATGAGAGTTTCTAAGACTAAATTCTGAAAAGTCTTGTCACAAGGGAATACTGTACTGGTTTTCATGCACATCTTGTTAATAAGAATGTCCTATTTTTTGGTTTAGTTTTTCTTGTGAAGATAGTACATTCTAGATAATGAACATTGGCTTTTATTATTTCTTTGCTTTTTGAAAATGTAAATAATTGTGATGGATTTTCAGAGTCTAATTTTAAATGTTTAAGATTAGTTTACTTAACCTGGTCCCCTTAATTGAAAAGGCTGTTAACTGTATACTCTCTTAAGGTATGCTGCAGAAACTTTGTTGCAAAAAAACTGTATGCTGCTACAAAATGGAAAGGACCAACTGTTGAACATTTTGATCATTTAGGTATGAAGATATGTAAATTATATTCTTTGAAAGTTTCAGAGCTCATGCTCTTTGGGATAATTAAATGTTTGTGTTCTTTTGGATTATTTTTATGGATGGATAAATTGTTTTGTTTCAATCACATGCAGGTTATATTTGTTGCATAGATTTGATATATCAAGTAAAATGTATTTATATATTATTTTATCCATATAAGATACTTGTAAAACCAATTATGTAGGTCTTCTACATTATAGCTATTGAGATATGCTAACAAACATTGATTGAGTCAAGGTAGTTCTAGATTGTGTATAAACTAATAGCTTCAACTAATTCAAAAAGAACAGTAATATATATTAAAGAAAATACAACATATATTTATAGTTTAAGTATCACAATTAATATAACACTCCTACACTCAAGTCTTTCAGTTCAGTGAGGTTTTTATAAACTTCTGGAAGGCATTTAGAGTAGAAGCTGTTCTTGCCCTAATGGGCAAATTATCCAGTTAAAGAGAGGGAAGAGGCAAGATAAGGATGGATGTAGAGAATTGAGATGCATGATTACCCATTGTATATGATTAGAACGTTGCGTGAGCTTAGGGAGCAAATCAGTTTGGTGTGGGAGAACTGTTTGTTTTCATATATCAGAAAAGATTTAACATTGATCTTTTGATAGATATTGGGAATCCTGGGGACATCTTGTCTAACAATTGTGCACAAGTTGTTTGCCTTTCCTCCCCAAAAGTTTTTTTTAAAAAAACTTTTTTTTAAAGTTTTTTTTTAAACCCCCAATTATTCATTAATTCTACATTCCACTGGCACTAACTGAATATTCAACTGAATTATTCTTAATTTTACATTACTGGAAACATATCACATATGGGAGAAGTAACTAAGATACAGGATGTAGTATCATGCATGAAGCATCCACTCAGCCCAATAGATTCTTTTCCTTCCTCTTATATTTCCAAATCTATTTCAGTGATCAATCCAAATCACTTAGACATTCTACTGAAGATTGATATTCCCTCCACACATGATGCATTTACTCTTGCCACAAATTCCATCTCCAGACAAATTGACACTGATCATTGCTCTCAAGCTGATTTCACTGAGGAGCTCATATTCACCAGCTGATCAATTACAATAATTTCATCGTTCCTAGCCTGGATTTCTTCTGGATATATAATAATTCAAAGCCTTCCACTTTGAGTTCAGGGGCTTTTTTTTAGAATTCTACTACTTATATGTATAGCTTTTTCCAGTTTGAACCATGCCTATGTGTGAACTCGGTGAGTTGATCCATGACTGTAATAAAGATACTACTACTAGTAGTTTGAGTAAACTACTACTAATTTGAGTAAGCAATTTTACTTTTGTATATTACATTTGTTACTTAGACATAGAATTTATTAAAATAACTATGGGTTCTTTATAGGTGTCAGTCAAACAAGACCATTATTTTCTGTTCCTCTGGATCCGATGGATACGCTAAAATGTTTTAGAGAAACTCTGGAAAAATCAAAGAACCACAGTAGAGCCCTTAAATACAGCAGGAAATTGCTTTCTTTATTTCTTGCTCACGTGCGAGGTGAGTACCTCTCATTAGAAATAGGATGTATATATAACTATAAATAAACTGTAAAAAGTCAAATATTAAAAAAAATTGTGTGCATATGTGTGTGCACACATATACACACATAAACACATACACGCTGATTTGATTTTAGAATGTTTGATTTTTTTTGACAATTCTGTTTAAACATTCCACACTATCTAATAATTATTAGAATTGTAATAAAACTTTAACTACATGCTATTGTGTATTTATATGATGTCTGATGAATTAATTTTCATATTGCTATAGAGAAGCAAACGGAAGTATTTCTAATAATAATTTAATAAAAATATAAACTGTCCTATTTACTGCATGTTTATATAAATTATATTGGCACAATTTGAAATTAAAAATCCCGAAGAAATCAAGTTTTTTTTAGATCTCCTCCTTTAAAAAGAGCATGATGATAAATGCCTAAAATGAGAAACATAATTTCCAAAAATTTAAGGTTTTCTTAACCTGACTGAATTTGCCGTTTTCTCAAAAAACCAATTTCTAATGTATTGGCTGATATGCATAGGAACAAAGCAGTTTAGAAAGAAGTAAATTGGTTTATATTTGTTGTATGTGTTCTTGAAAGATATAACCAAATGCCATTCCATCAGTAGAATGGCAGAGCTCGTACATAGTTACGTCTCTCAGACTCGTTTACATAAACACTTTAAAGTTTATAATTCCTCAAGTAATGTTTTACCAAAATATCAGGTAAATTTTGACATTTTATAAAGGGAAATTTTTTGTAATGGTATTACTTGAAAATTTTAAGTTTAAAATTTTCATTGCTTTTTTCAAGTAATAAACTCAATCTTCTTAAATAAGTACCTTCTTAGATAAGGTACTCATAAAAGAGCCAGGCAAGAGATGTCTAAGAACTGTTTGAAGAAAGATTGAAGCATATTATGTAAACAAAAAGCATTGCACCTTCATCCAGGAAGTCATGTGTAATTTATGTATGAGCACAAATAACCTCCTCTTCACTGTGATATCATTACAAGATTATTCCAGACACATAAACCCAAAAATAGTACAAAAAATAACATATTCTGTTCCATAATGTTCAGCCCATTGTAGCTGTCCTAACAAGGATTTAGGCTAAACCAAACATACCATCCATCCTTTTGAAGGCTTGTGGGCCTTATAGGAAAAAGTGTCAAGAAGGGCAGCCTCTTTTTACCCAACCCTAGAAGAATGCAGCTCCCTGGAAATGGTAGAGCTGGACTGAAGGCTGTTGAATGCAGTTGTTGCTCTGCACACTTTTGAACATCAAATCTGTAAAGATTTTTGAAAATGTTACATAATCTTGGGACTTTAGTTTTCTGATGGAACGTAATGGGGCTCCAGCAATTTTTCTTCCAGCTTATTTTGAAAAATTACTTTTTATTTTATTCCATTGGTTGATATAAATCAGAAGGAATGTGATTTGGAGGTGCCAAACTACTCCCTTTTCATAAATATAACAATGCTATATTATCTCTTCCAAAGATGAGAAAAAGACAGGAAATTTGTGTGAAGGAAGAGAAGACCTAGGGAAGGGAGCATATGATAGTATAGGTGTTCTCTAATGCCTTAAATTTAATTAAAAATCAGCTGTACATTGTAAAATATATCTACTTTCAGTATGAATCTCTCTGGAATAATAGTATAATATCTAATATTATATTCAGAATCTCTAATCTATAAAGACTGCTAATATGTTTTCATTAAATCTACTTTATAAAACAAGACTCTTCTGGAAGATTAAATACAGAAATATATGCAAACCAGAAAATTTCACGTGGAAAAGTGGGGTTTACTATGGGAGCTGAGTTGACATATGAACCAGAACCACCTGATCTTTCAGAAGAAAGTTTTACTTGCCTCAGTATGGTTGAGAGCAACTCCATTCCCCAGTCAAAAGTCTCAGTAGTCATCTCTTCATATGAACAAACAATTGGTAAGTTTATAATCCATTCTATTTCGTACATTGAATTACTTTGTGATCTGATAGGAAATTTGAACACGTTGTGCTTGCAGAAATGTATTATTTTAAATAGTTCAGAGAGAGGAAAACAGTAAGGAGCTGGTGTTTTGGCAGACTGCTGTTGGAGTTCCAGTAGACTCTGAGAAATAACCTTCCTTTCCTTTTTTCTCTCGGATGAGAGAGAAATTGAATAGCTACTGCTAAGATTCATCTAACAATAGTTAATAGGCAAAGAGAATAGGCTTCCCAGCAAAACCACTACAAAAGTATATGTAGTTCTAGTGGTATGCAAAATATTGCCAGTTCAACCAGTTTTAAAATTCAAAACAACAGTTGCTTACAGTGTAAACATCCAACTCAGTCATTGTGGAATTGTTTCAACAATACAAAAGTGTTTCAAGCTTAAAACACTTCTGCAATTATTGAAACAATACCATTTTATTTCAAGAGGAGATGTAGGAGATAATAGGCTGAGCCTGAGGCATGGGTCAAATACCTCATCAGTCATGAATCCCTTCGTGCCGACAACAAATCTAAGTCCAGCCTAACTTGAATTTCTTTTTCTTAACTCCTGCTAATTTCCCTTGACTATTAGGGAGTAGTAGTTCATATTCTTATAGAGAGCTTATGCTTACAATAAATCTTTGTACACATTTGAACTGCTTGGATCTCCTGATTTCTCTGGTGCTGACATTAATCTGAATTTAGATCTCTTATGGACACAAAGGGACTCATGACTGATGATGCGTTTGACCCCTCCCTCAGACTCAGTCTGGTCATTTCCTGCAAGATATTTTTTTTTCCTCTTTTACACTACTCCAAGCTTGAAATGGGGCATTTTGAATGCAAAAATAATTGGCTTTAAAATATTTTGTAACTTGGTATTACAGAAATGGCAAGAAATAAAAAAAAAGAAAAAAAAAATCAAAATTCTAACACAGATTTGTAATAGTTCCCAGAGTCAAATACACTGTCCTGGAAGTATGATGAGCCCTAACTGTCTTTATTTCAGTAGGCCTTTGACGCCATAGGGTGATTGCGACAAATGTTAGTTTATTACTGTTTTAATTGTGGGTGGAGTGTTAAAAGTGTATTTTAAAAATGTGTTTTGTACTACCATAAGTTTTCTAATTGGATAGTATACTCAAATGGTAGACTAACTAGTATAGCAAAACACAGCAACTTATTTTAAACCAGTCATATTAAGTTTCTTTCTCTAAATATATTTACAATTAAATATTTAAACATTTCCCCTTCAAATTGATGAAAAACAGAAACTCTTCAAACAAATAATCAGCATGGTCTCATGGTCCAGGCTTTTCATGAACTTGGAAATCTGCATTTTTTCACAGGAAGCAAAAGGTATTAGCATTCTTACATTTTCTATATCAATCTACACCTTGTAAAATTAATAAAATGTATAACCATTGTAGAGAAAACAATGGGGCACACAAAGTCACAATTTTCATTAGAATTATAACAACAGGTTTCATTCTTCTAAATTCCTCTTTGCCTTTTCTTCCATTCTGTTTTGTTCATTCCTTGGAAGGAATGGAATTAAAAAAATAAAATAAAAAAAACATTACTACTAATTTTCTACTCTCTTTATCCGATTTTTGTTTGTGCCTTCTATCCTAACTAGTTAACTAGTTGGATTATACCAATAGTAAAGAATATTTGTAGCTCAGGATTGAATCTGGGGTCCTTGGTGCTCTGTGATCTTCATTGTTTTCTTGCAGATGTCTATGGACATTTTCAATCATCCAGGTCATGGTTGTCCCAAAGGTGCTTTTCAAAAGATGACTTGACTTTCTTAGTTTTTTAAAGTTTTTTTTTTAAAGTTTTTTGCTTCTCATCCATTTGTGAAGTGATTATTTTGTTTCTCCAATGCACAGTTCTGCACATGTCTCACTGATTTGTATTATATACAGTTGCAAGAAAAAGTATGTGAACCCCTTGGGATTACGTGGAGTTTTGCATGAATTGGTCATAAAATGTGCTCTGAACTTCATCAAAGTCACAACAATAGAAAAACACAGTCTGCTTAAAATAATACTACACAAACATTAGATGTTGCCATGGTTTAATTGAACATAACATGTAAACATTCATAGTGCAGGGAGGAAAAAGTATGTGAACCTTTGGACTTAATAACTGGTTGACCTTCCTTTGGCAGCAATAACCTCAACCAAACATTTCCTGTAGTTGCAGATCAGACCTGCACAAAGATCTGGAGTAATTTTGGACCACTCCTCTTCACAAAACTGTTTCAGTGTAGCAATATTCTTGGGATGTCTGGTGTGAATCACTCTCTTAAGGTCATGCCACAGCATTTCAATCGGATTGAGGTCAGGACTCTGACTGGGCCTCTCCAGAAGGCGTATTCAGTGCTGTTGAAGCCATTTTTTTGTTGAATTACTTGTATGCTTTGGGTCATTGTCCTGTTGCATCACCCATCCTCTGCGGAGCTTCAGTTGGCGGACAGATGGTCATACGTTTTCCTGCAAAATATCTTGATAAACTCTGGAATTCATTTTCCCATCAATGACAACAATCCATCCAGGCCCTGAGGCAGCAAAGCAGCCCCAAACCATGATGCTCCCTCTGCCATGTTTTACAGTGGGGATGAGGTTTTGATGTTGGTGTGTTGTGCCTTTTTTTCTCCACACATAGTGTTGTGTGTTCTTCCCAAACAACTCAATTTTGGTTTCATCTGTCTACAGTATATTTTGCCAGTAGTGCTGTGGAACATCCAGGTGCTCTTTTGCAAACTTCAAACGTGCTGCAATATTTTTTTGGACAGCAATGGCTTCCTCCGTCCTCCCATGTACTCCATTCTTGTTTAATATTTTCCTAATGTTAAAATGTTAGCATATGCCAGAGATTTCTGTAGGACTTTAGCTGACACTCTAGGATTCTTCTTTACCTCATGAAGCATTCTGCGCTGTGCTCCACACCTGGCATGGCAGCAGCAACAGCAGTTATGTACCCAATGTGACAGCAGCAGCAGCAGCAATGGCTCCGTGCCCAGCACGGTGGCATCATCATCAATGGCTCCATGCCTGGCATGGTGGCAACATCAACAGTGGTAGCTTCGCACTCAGCACAGTGGTGGCATCAGCAGTAGCTCTGTGCATCAACAAGGCTTTGCGCTCTGTCCACTCACCTGCCTGCCCATTTCTCTAGTTGCCTGCAATGAGTTGTCCCCACGGTGATTGGCTGTGTGGAGTTGTGCGACAATTTCATGGCAGTGAGTTGGGAGAGTTGAGTTGGCAGCAGTGAGCTTGGCCATGGTGACTTGGTGGCGGCAAGTTATCCTAGGCTCGTAATGGCGAACCAATGGCACGTGTGCCACAGGTGGCATGTGGAGCCATATCTGTGGGCAAGCGAGCGTTACCCTAGTTCAGCACGCCAGCCAGCTGATTTTTTGGGCCTTAAGGACCTACCAGAGGGCCTCAGGGGTGGGTAGGTGGGGAAGGCCTTTTTCACCCTCCCTAGGCTCCAAGAAAGCCTCTGGAGCCTGGAGAGGGTGAAAAACAGGCCTACCAGGCCCACCGGTAACCTTTTTGCCATCGCATGCCAAAAGCGGGGGGAGTGCGGGGAGGTCGCACACAAATGCGCGGGTGGCGGGGCATGGGGCATTGAATTATGGGGGTGGGCATGTGCACGCACAACACCCCCGTGCTCTTCCTGCTTTTGGCACGTGATGGAAAAAAGGTTAGCCATCACTGTCCTAGACTCTCCATTCACGGGGGTGGGGACTGACATACTTCACTGAGGTACAGAAATGAAGTTTGGATCTTTGGGATCCCCACTTATTTTCTGCATCTGAGAACAGGAGTTCATCTCACCTTCATTTGCAGAAGGGAACTCCTGCACTGGATTGGAGAAATGAAGCAGGGATCTTGAAGATCCAAGCCTTGTTTCTCCAACTGTTCACAGGAGTTCCCTTTCACACACAGAAAGGAGCTTGCTTCCTTTCTTCAGTAGGTAGCTCTTTCTCTTCATTTAATGATACTCATGGTTAACAAACGCTACTGGAGAGCCGGGATCACAGTCCTTGAGTGAAGCAGTCATGTGGGCATCACATTTAACAACAACTTCACTCATCACTGACATTCCAGGCCACAATTTTGGTCATAAATTGAGGACTATGTGTACTTTATTTGCTTTCTATCACTTTCTAATTCCATTGCATTTATCTTTTTACCTTCCATTTGAATATCAGTAATGTAAATTCTAATGTATCTCAGAATTGCTTTCAAATGCTGGTGCCAGGGCCTTGATGAAGCTCTCAAAATGGATGATGCACTTCATCAGTGGCAAGAATTGGATGACTCATCAGAGAAAACTACTGGTAACTTGTCAAAAACATCTCAAGTTTACTCTGAGAAATTTATTTCTCGGGTTGGAATTTGGGGTTGCCTGCAAGGAGCAACCTTAGCAGCTAAAATAGCTCAGTGAGTATTTTTTTTTTCCTATTTGCTAATCTACAATTTTTTTTTTACTTAATGATTTAATTTCACAGTAATTCAGACCAATGATTCATACATATTACATTTATTATGAATACAGGGCTTTCTCTGTTCCATCTAAAAATAAATTATCTTACAGTTCTACTTCATGTTACATTCCTATTGCATCTTTGCATCATCACATGATTTTATAAAAGTTCCTGGTAGGCAGAATAACATAAAATTTTTACATGTTAAATTTACATCTTCGATTTCCATTACAAAGAAATATAGTAAATTTTGAAATACAAATAATAAATGTTGAAATATAAATGGTAAGTTGACTGCAGATACAGCTGAAGTCCTCAGAACCATAAAATAAATAAATAAATGTGATAAACATATAGTTCTCACTTACCTGCTGACCATTCAAAATTATAAAGAAGGTAAAGGAATCCCTGCAGAATTTACTTCGGTAATCATTGCTGCTATAAGCGCGATGCTCATCTCTATTTTTCTCCAATTTGCAGCTGTTACATGTGATTGGACTTAAGTTGCAATCCCTTAGCATCTCCTCAATTCTGTACATTGTATTCAGATATCTTAAAATTACATTCAGACTCCCTTCACTTTTGTCAATTTTGTTATGCTGCAGCCTGATTCTATAGTTGTTGAAATTCATTTTTTGCTCATTAATCTACACTCAGTTCTCCACAATGACAAAGTGAAAACAGAATTTTAAAAATATCTGTAAATTTGTTAAAAAGAAAAAAACTGAAATATCACATTGGCATAAGTATTCAGATCTTTCACTCAGTATTTTGTTAAAGCACCTTTGGCAGCAATTACAGCCTTGAGTCTTTTTGGGTATGATGCGACAAACTTTGCACACCTGGATTGGGGGATTTTCTGCCATTCTTCCTTGCAAATCCTCTCAAGCTCAGTCATGTTGTGATCATCAGTGGACAGTCATTTTCAGGTCCCTCCAGAGATTTCAATAGTGATCAAGTCAGGGCTCTGTCTGGGCCACTCTGGGACATTCACAGAGTTGTCCGTAAGCCACCCTTGTGTTGTCTTGGCTATGTGCTTAGGATCGTTGTCATGTTGGAAAGTGAATCTTCAGCCCAGTCTGGGATCCTGAGTGCAGGTTTTCATTGACGATATCCCTGTATTTTGGTCCATTCAGCTTTCCCTCAACCCTGACCAGTCTCCCAGTCCCTGCTGCTGAAAAACACCCGCACAGCATGATGCTCCCATCACCATGCTTCACAGTTGGGATGATATTGGGCAGGTGATGAACAGTGCCTGGTTTTCTCCAGACATAATGTTTAGAATTGAGGCCAAACAGTTCAATCTTGGTTTCAGATCTTGTTCCTCACAATCTTAGAGTTCTCCAGGTGCTTTTTTGCAAACTCCAAGCAGGCTTTCAGGTGTTTTGACTGAGGAGAGGCTTCGGTCTAGCCACTCTGCCATAAAGCCCAGATTGATGGAGGGCTGCAGTGATGGTTGTCCTTCTGGAACTCTGTCCATCTCCACATAGGATCTCTTGAACTCAGTCAGAATGACCCCCGGGTCTTCTCTCTTACTAAGGATATTCTCCCCCAATTACTCAGTTTGACCGGGCGACCAGCTCTTGAAGAGTCCTGGTTGTGTCAAACCTCTTCTATTTGAGAATTATGGCGGTCACTGTGCTCTTAGGAACCTTCAGTGCAGCAGAAATTTATTTGTAGCCTTCCCCAGAATCTGTGCCTTGCAATAATCCTGTCTCTGAGCTCTGCAGGCAGTTCCTTTGACCTCATGGCTTTTGCTCTGCTATAGTAGGCATTGTCAGCTGTAAGACCTTCTGTAGAGAGGTGTGTGCCTTTGCAAATCATGTCCAATCAATTTAATGTACCACAGATCAACTGCAATCAAGGTGTAGAAACAAGTCAGCAGTGATCAAGAGAAATGGGGGGCACCAGAACTAAATTTCAAATGTTGTTGCAAAGGTTCTGAATACTTATGCCAAAGTGATATTTCAGTTTTTTAAATACTGAATACAGTTTTTTAAATCTTTACAGACATTTCTAAAATTCTGTTTTCACTTTGTCATTATGAGGTATTGTGTGTATATTAATGAGCAAAAATGAATTTCAATAACTGTAGAATCAGGCTGCAGCATAACAAAATTGACAAAAAATGAAGGGGTCTGAATACTTTCTGAATGCACTGTCTATGAAACCAACATACTGATCAATTTTATACATCAATGTCTGATAAAATCTGTGACAAAAATTTATTTGAAAGCTCAAATATTTGGTATTATAAATCAGTCACAAACTATACTATTTAACTATATTGCTTGATTTTTGCATTTAGGCATTCATTACAGTATAACATTAAATTAAGAACCAAAACCTGCATTTTATCTGCTATCCTCTTCAAGGTAATTAATATATGTATTAAAAATTAAACATTATATAGTAATCTGTAGATAAACTTTTGTTATTGAAAATAGAAAATTATGCTGTGATATGATGAACGTGCATGAATATGGATAGATGCTTGGTGTTGTTTATTATAATCCCATATAAATTTGTTTGTTTATTTGTTTGTTTGTTTATTTATTTATTTATTTATTTATTTATTTATTCACTCACTCACTCACTCACTCACTCACTCACTCACTCACTTACTTTACATATTATGGAAAAGCTGGAGAGTACTGTGATATCAAATAACATTAATTGGTAATCATTATGGGGCTATATTACAGATAAAATGGTTGTCATAATTCTTATGCAAATACTTCTTAAGCAATATGCTTTCATTTATACATGCAAGTCAGGAGATAAGCTAGTTGAAGGAATCAGCCAGAAGTACCTATTAGAGAAGAAAGAAATGTAGAATACTTTATAATCCCACCAACATTAGTATTTTCAAAACAAATAATGCAAAACACTTGCTCAGTGTTTTACATTATAGTGCAGTATATACTTTTCAGTCCATTACAGGATTCAATCCATGGATCAGCAAATAGTCTATTGCAGCAGTCCCCAATCCTTCCACCTTGGCGGTCAGGCCCGGCGAGGTGTGGTAATGGTGATGATGGTATGAGTGGCATGTACTAATGCACATGCACAGCTCCATTGGTATGAGTGTCAGGTGTGCTTGCCCTCTGCTGGAGCTTTGTGCGTGAGCAAAGGGTGCTTGAGCAGAGGGCACTTGTGCTCGTGTGTGAGCCTTGATAAATGAAGTTAATCAGATGGCTCTGAGCTTTAGAGTTTTAGGATCTTTTGGAATAGCCAGTCAAGAGATTTATTTCTTTCTCCCTCCCTTCTCTCCCTATATTCTTAAATTGACATTTCTGTTCCAGCTACTTCTATGGTTAAAATTTTAAAAACAAACAAAATGCTCACCATGGCTTATTTGGCAATAATTAGGCTTATCTTTGTTCTGATAATAAAGTTATCAGTTTGTTCAGTTCAGTTCTGGTTTACTTTAAAATTAGTAATACCAGCATTCTCTGCTTACTTTCTTCCACTATTCCTGCCTCTTCCACTTTTTTGATAGTGTCTTTCCTACTGCCTAGTATCAGAACAAATGTAGCTAATCAATTTATTTTCTCTAGTCACTGAAGTGGAAATGTATCAGCAGTAGAATGGTGCAAAGTATTTGAAAAACATGTTTTACAGTAATGAGAGCAAAGCATCTCCTTTGGAAGCACTGAAGTAATTGGAAGATTCGTGCAGCAGCTTAATGCTCACCCTGTTTGAATATGTGCGGATGCACAGCAATTTTCTTTTCTAAAAATTGCAGGAAGTGCTACCAGTGCTTGCATGTGCAGAAAGCAAGGTATAGTCTTTGTAGTAGCTGCATGAGCATGAGCTCCTTGAGGAATGCAATTTTTGAGGAGGGGAACTTTGCTCAGACAAACGCATTTTGCAAAAAAACACTTCTTTCAGATGCTTTGAAGCACTCTAGTAGAAATCTAATATGTGTTTGAAACTAAATAGTTATTTTAACTGATTATTGTTTAGAAATCTCTTTCATTTCATATTTAGTTAATAAAAACAGTTTATAATTGGAAAGTAAAGCAATCTTGCAAAGTGCCTTGGTTCTACTTATTATAGGCCGAGTATTATATTTTGTTTCATCTTAGGAGTTTGAAACATTAGAAATTAATTAAATGTGTTTATACCTTTATAGAGCTTGAATGTTGTTATTATTTTGTATTTCAGTCTTTGTTTAGAGCCTCACTACCACATCCTAAAGCTGATTGTGACTTTGCACAATACGAAACAGACATATTAATTCCTGGCATTGATTTATTTGTGGATTACTATAGAGCTGATATTGCAACAGTTATTGCAAATCTCAGTTTTGTTCTGCATGAATTGCATTGTAGAAGGCAAAATCTAATAGTAAGTATTATAAAGGATATAGTAATTATTTACACTTGTTAGAATTATAATTTATAATATTGATTAACATGTTTTTTCACTCTTAACTACATGGGACCAAACAATCAATATGTACAGTTATGCATCTTTTTAGTTATATAATTGATACTATGGTTGCTTGCTTAGGACGAACACACTTGCTAAATAAATTTACAAATAAGGTTGCATGTATACACATAAATCATAAAATTCAGAAAATTTGTCATATAAGGATATATTTTGTCTAATATGTTCTTGAACTGAACTTGAACTTGCTCTATTTGTATATATTTGTATATAATTTGTATATAATCTCAGCAAATTGATCTATCTGGGTTGGGAGGCTAAGCAGTTTGGGCTTGTTAAGTTTTGGGACAAAATATCAGAATTGTAGGCTACACTGGGAAATTAAAAAGAAGGGGAGGAGGAGGAAATGTGAAGATACTTCATGGAAATATTGCTTTCTATTGCTTAATTTAAAATGTACTAAATTAGCTCTCTAAAATAGAATTAAAGTTTATATTCACAATTCTAAATATATTAATGTAGAAGTTATTAGAGCTATGTTCAGTAACATAGAAAGCTGCCTTATGCCAAAGTGTCATTCTAAATTTTTGGCACAGGTTTTTTTCCAGCTTTGATTTACAACAGATTAAACTTGAGGTCTACTGCAAACAAAGCATTTCTTCTTACCACCAAGTCGCTATACTGGGATTATTGCCTTAAATATTATTTCAATTGAGGTCTCTTCTTTACATCTTTGAAAATTCTGATGAGCTTTCCACATTAGCAAAATGCCTTGCTAAACAATCTGCACAGGTCCACTATTCATGTTTTGGATTGCATATTGTTTTGAACTGTGCCACAAAAGTTGAAGAAAGTTATATGTAGATGTAAATAATTATTTAGAGTTGTCCTTTTTTTTTTTTTTTTAGATTTTGCCATTGTTCACATTATATCAGTACTTTGTGTCAGAGATTTGTCGGAATGAAATTAAGTGTTTTGAAGGAAGGATTCTAAAGGTAAATGTGCCAAAAATTATTTTATTAAAAATAATTTAATGCCATTCAATTGTCAAAATAGAAAACAGGTTACTAAAGCCAAGCAATCCCCAAGCAATTCTTTTAAAATACTGTTTAATTTTTATTTTTCCCTTTTTGAAGAGTTCCAATACAAACTTTTAACCTGTTTCCCTAAAAATAAGACTTATCCCGAAAATAAGCTCTAGCATGTTTTTTATGTATGCGCCTAATAAAAGCTCTACTCCCAAAATAAGCCCTACTTAAGAACCTGCGCAGCCACCCAGCCGCCCATTCCATCTGGTTGCTTGTGGTGCTGTGGCCATGAGCAAAGTGGGATAATGGTGTAGCTGCCCCATGCGCCCAACACCAGCTTACCTCAGGACCCACACAGCCAGACCAAACATGCCCTGCTACCTGATACCTGCCTTGCGGTGGCAGCAACAACAGCAATATGCAGCAGGAGCCCACGTGGCTGCCGGCCCACTTCTGCTTGCTCACAGCTGCAATGGAGCAGGAAGCCAAGCAGTGTGGCAAGGCAGGTGTCAGTGCATGAATGGCCTGGCTGCGGGGGCCGAGGTAAGCCAGTGCAGGACGCATGGGGTAACTCCACCCACCTCACCTTGTGGCCGCAGCACTGGCACTGGTGCATTGCTCGGCCTCCTGTTCTGTTGCAGCTGTGAGTAAGCAGAAGAAGTGGGCCAGCAGCCACGTAGGGTTCTGTTGGATGGGGATGCTGGTGCGGTGGCCAAGAGGCAAGGCAGGTGTTGGGGCATGGGTGGACTGGATGCAGGGGCCCTGAGGTAAGACAGTGCAGGATGTGTGGGGCAGCTCCATCCCCCTTGCCTCATGGCAGCGGAACTGGCAAATCACACAGCCTCCTGCCCCACCACGAGCAACCAGAAGAAGTGGGTTTCCTGTACATGGAAAAAAATAAGACACCCCCCTGAAAATAAACCCTAGTGCTTATTTTGGGATCCAAAAGAAAATAAGACCTGGTCTTATTTTTGGGGAAACATGGGTATATTCAGTGAGTGATGAAGAAAACAATTCTTAGGACTTTCATTCAACTTTTGGATTTGATGATTTCTTGTGAGAACTACATTGCTACATTTCAGGAACCGATATTCAAACTCTCCTATTTATCCTATTACTTCACTGACTTGTTTCTGTATTTACAAATACATGTTTACGTAAACGTACAATCATGTGAAAAAGAAAGTACACCCTGTTTGAGTTCTATCGTCTTACGTATCAGGAGATAGTAAAAATCATCTTGTCCCTAGCAGTTCTTAAGAATAGAATAGAATAGAATAGAATAGAATAGAATAGAATAGAATAGAATAGAATAGAATAGAATAGAATAGAATAGAATAGAATTATTATTATTATTATTATTTATTGAATTTCTATACCGCCCTACTCCCGAAGGACTCAGGGCGGTGCACAGCCATGAAATAAAACACATAGATATACAAAATTTAAAATCGAATAAAATGAATTAAATAAATTTGGCTGAATTAATACCCAATTTAAAATACCCATATTTTAAAATCCATTAAAAATTTAGAATTTACACTTTAGAAGGGAGGAGATTTAGGCAAGGCCAGCTTGATGAAACAAAAGCGTCTTCAACTCGCGGCGGAAGGTGCGCAGATCCGGAATCCTCCGTATCTCTGGGGGGAGCTCATTCCAGATCGTCGGTGCCCCCACAGAGAAGGCTCTCCCCCTAGGGGCCGACAGCCGACATTGTTTGGCCGACGGCACCTGGAGGAGCCCCTCTCTGTGGGAGCGTACTGGTCGGTGGGAGGCTGTTGATGGTAGTAGGCGGTCCCGTAAGTAACCAGGTCCCAAGCCATGGAGCGCTTTAAAGGTGGTAACCAGAACCTTGAAGCGCACCCGGAAGACCACCGGGAGCCAGTGCAGCTCGCGCAGGAGAGGTGTTACATGGGAGCTCCATGTTGCTCCCATAACCACCCGCGCGGCCGCACTCTGCGCCAGTTGGAGCCTCCGGGTGCACCTCAAGGGGAGCCCCATGTAGAGAGCATTACAATAGTCCAGACGAGAGGTGACGAGGGCATGAGTGACTGTGCGTAACGAGTCCCGATCTAGAAAGGGACGCAACTGGCGAATCAGGCGAACCTGATGAAAAATCCTCCCGGTCACGGCCGTCAAGTGCTCTTCTAAAGACAGCCGTGAGTCCAGGAGGACGCCCAAGTTACGAGCCCTTTCCGTGGGGGCCAATGATTCGCCCCCAATAGCCAGCGATGGTGCCAGCTGACTATATCGGGACGTCGGAAACCACAGCCACTCGGTCTTGGATGGGTTGAGCCTGAGCCCGTTTCTCCCCATCCAGATCCGTACGGCCTCCAGGCACTGGGACATCACTTCAAGGGCATCGTTGGGGTGGTCCGGGGTGGAGATGTACAGCTGGGTGTCATCAGCGTACAGATGGTACTTCACCCCGAAACCACGGATGATCTCGCCCAGCGGCTTTACATAAATGTTGAACAGAAGGGGCGAGAGAACCGATCCCTGCGGCACCCCACATATAAGGGGCCTCGGGGTCGATCTCTGCCCCCCTGTCAACACAGACTGCGACCGGTCAGAGAGAAAGGAGGAGAACCACCGTAAAACGGTGCCTCCCACCCCCAACCCTTCCAGCCGGTGCAGCATGATACCATGGTCGATGGTATCAAAAGCCGCTGAGAGGTCTAACAGGACCAGGACAGAGGAACAACCCCTGTCCCGAGCCCTCCAGAGATCATCAACCAACGCGACCAATGCCGTTTCCGTGCTGTACCCAGGCCTGAAGCCCGACTGGAATGGATCTAGATACGACGCTTCATCCAGGTACTGGGGTAGCTGTCGCGCAACCACACTCTCAACAACCTTCGCAACGAAGCAAAGGTTGGAGACTGGACGATAATTAGCCAATACTGCCAGGTCCAGGGAAGGCTTCTTGAGGAGAGGCCTCACCACCGCCTCTTTCAAGGCGGCGGGAAAGACACCCTCACCCAACGAAGCATTTATAATCCCCTGGAGCCAGCCTCGCGTCACCTCCCGGGAAGCCAGCACTAACCAGGAGGGACACGGGTCCAACAAACATGTGGTCGCGTTCAATCTACCCAGAATCCTGTCCACGTCATCTGGGGTCACAGGATCAAACTCATCCCAGATAACAGTCTCAAGACCTGTCTCCGTCACCCTCGCTGGATCTATCCCGTCAGAGTCCAGACCTGCCCGAATCTGAGTGATTTTGTCATACAGATATTGAACAAAATCCTCGGCTCTCCCCTCCAAGGGGTCCTCCCGCGCTTCCTGGTGGAGCAGGGAGCGGGTCACCCTAAACAGGGTGGCCGGGCGATTATCTGATGACGCAATAAGAGCAGTAAAATGAGTACATTTTGCTGCTTTTATCGCCACTAGGTAACTCCTAATATAAGATCTTACCAGTGTTCGGTCAGATTCAGAAAGACTAGCCCTCCAACAGCTCTCTAGGCGTCTTTTCCGGCGCTTCATCTCCCTCAGCTCCTCGGTGAACCAAGGAGCCAGGCGAGATCGGCGCCGGGTCAGAGGCCGCAAAGGCACGACTCGATCCAGGGCTCCAGCAGCCTCCCTATCCCAGGCGGCCACTAGGTCCCCAGATGAGGCATGAGCCAGAACCTCCGGGATTGGCCCAAGTTCCATCTGGAACCTATCAGGTTCCATCAGGCGCCTGGGGCGGTACCATCTTACCGGTTCCGCCTCCCTGCGGTGGGGTGCTGCGGTTCGAAGGTCAAGGCGAAGGAGCGAGTGATCTGACCATGACAAGGGCTCGATGACTATATCCCCTATCTCGAGATCACTCAACCACTGTCCAGAGACAAAAACCAAGTCCAGTGTGTTTCCCCCAGTGTGCGTAGGGCCATGAATTAGTTGGGTCAGGTCCATGGCCGTCATGGAAGCCATGAACTCCCGAGCCACCTCAGACGCCTCACCCACGGATGGCAGGTTGAAATCCCCCATGACCATAAGTCTGGGGGTATCAACCGCCACCGCGGCAATAACGTTGAGTAGCTCGGGCAGGGCTGCCGCCACGTGGCAGGGAGCCAGGTACGTGATCAGCAAACCCATCTGAACCCCGTGGCCCCACTTCACAAGGAGGGACTCACAACCGGCCGTCTGAGGAACAGTGGTCTCCCTCGGCCTAAGGCCTTCTCTAATAATAACCGCTACTCCCCCACCCCTCCCCTGTGACCTTGGCTGATGGAATGCGTGGAAACCTGGTGGGCACATTTCTACCAGAGGGACCCCTCCCTCTGGGCCCAACCAGGTCTCCGTAATACCCGCCAGGTCCGCTCCCCCCTCGTAAACAAGATCACAGATGAGGGGGGCTTTATTTACTACAGACCTGGCGTTGCACAACATCAGACGAAGGCCCGGGCCCTGAAGGTCTGTACTACCTGGAGAACGGGTGGAGCCTTGGGGGCCGGAGCACTCTACCGCTTGAAGACAGCGGGTGCGTGCTCCCTTAACATGATATGGCCCCCTGCTCCCGCCATATCTACCCCTCCCACACACAGTACCGATGGTGAAAGCATAGTCTGGACCAGCTCGACCCCCTCCGGATCCCCCACCACCCCCGCCGAACGTCCTGGCCAAGCCCGACTCTCCCCCTAGTGGGTTATCCCCCAAACCCACAATCCTAATTCCAATCCCACCCCCCTCCCCCCTCCCAGAACCCCTTAAAAGTTTAAACAAGGACAATTTTAAAAAACCCCGCAGCCCCCTCTTTGCGGCATGCCACCTCTCGGGACTCCAGAGCCCGTCATCGAGGTAGGCCCTCGATAAAATGGAGGGCCAAGCCTGCGAGAGGGGGGAGTCTCGCAGACCAAGAAGCTCCGCTGCTGAGTACATTAATCATAATGGGTAACACGACCATATCCTGAGGTTGTATATAAAGGACCGAGGAGAAGATAAAAGAATGGGGGATCTCAGAGACATATTTGCAGGACCAAGTC